TAGCCGCTCCAGTTCAATGTTGATAGTATTCGACTTAGCCTCGAATTATTTCTAGTTAGACGATTATAGTAAACACGTTCACTTTTGAAGTATTCGTACCTCATTAAAGGTTTGGAGCATTTACTGACTACTCATGAGTGTATATTAATTTGTGTAATCATCAAGTGTCAATCGGTTCAATTCGACTTCGCTGTTGGCTAACAACTGCTTCCTGCAAGATGTAAATATAGACCTTGCTGCATACCTTTTACATAGCTCGTGCTAATAAAAACATTAGAGCCAGCGCTTACAACTAACCTAACCTAAAAAGTAGCTTTCCATAATAAATTATTTACATACTTGTACCTCATCATTTCGATTTCACTCATTTGTCTATTTAATCAACTTTAGCTGTAAAGTCTTCGATATTGTCAAACACTAAAAGTTTCTAAATTTCTATTTTGTTAGTCTGTCAGCTGCACTACGTGTCGCTCAAGTCGATAAAAATGAATGAATGGACGAACTTTATTATTCCACATACACGTTCAACACCATGTGTGTTTGAATGGCCGGTCAACGACCATGCATAGATTGCCAAATAGAAGTCAACTGGTAATTAATCCGCTATGTTCATAGAGTTACGGCAGTTTGACTACCTATTCCTTATCTTATTTCACCCTGTATTTTTTTTATTGTGGCAGTATCTACAATGAAAAATGGTTTTATTTCAACAAAAACTTATTTGATTTAATACACCAGAGATGTTCTATAGTTATAATTTAAAACAGTTGCATGCAGATTTTCCTATTTAAAAAGAACAGGACTAGAGTTAGGTCTATTTGGGTATTTCACGTCACATCGACAATAATAATAATAAAATAATAATAATAATAATATAATATTATAATCCTTTAATATATAATATTAATAATCCACACCTGGACATAGCCCTCTCCTTAGAAAGGTTTTGACCTACTATACCACGTTGGCTAGACGGGTATTTCATTTGTGTTAAGTTTTCCTTCTATTTGGAGTGCCGTTGTCCTGATTAGTTTGCTCCCTTAGTCAACTCTTACGACACCCACGGGATGAATAGGGGTGGTGACACTCCGTATTCTTAATCTGTCACCGCATGGTTAACTTATACATTATAGTATCAACTAGGTATTTTTAATATTTTTTTAAATTCATTTTTCGATCTTAAATTTGATCTAACTAATGAGAATTTCGCTCAAATACTATTTCTGAATTTAAACCAGGCGAATAATTAAAATTAATAAGAATATGTACTATGTTAGTTCTTTTTTTAATTGATTGAGTCGAATTTCTGTGAATCGACCATAATTCATTAGTACCATCACCGCGACCAGTAAAATGAATAGTAAGAAAACTGTCTCTATCTGATGAGCAATAACGGTACAAAGCTAACCCACCTACAACAATTACGACAACGGAAACGATGACGCCAGAGTATGCAGCCAAAAAAAATATGGGTAGCCATACGCGAATTAAATTTTAAATATTTCGTCTGTTGTCTATTCTACTAGTTATTATTCTAACAGGGCATATATCGATGTGTTTTCTTGTGCAGACATGCAAAATAGTCTGGTATTGTTTGTTTGCTATGCAAATTAAATATCCAGTAGGAAATCTTCACATCATCACGAGAGGTTTAAATGTGTATTTAATAACAATAATTACAAATCTAACTAAAAAACTATAATAAGTAACCCTTAATAAAACAGCTCACATTGTAATGGCAATAGTCCTTTCTAGTCTGTTTGAAGTCGGTGCCAAGCCAAATAGGTGCTTGATAGGCTTGGTAGAATGTAGCGCGGCAGCTGCAACAGTCTTCGCAAAACATGCTGAACGAGCTAAAGTGGGTTATGGACATCTCCAATGATATTAATATTTCTATATTAAGTAGTTGATAAGTTTGCGCACGTAATTGATCTGGTTGTCTTTATTAATTAACAAAATCTGCGATGTTTCATTAGAATTATATTAAATTCTTAATTTTTATTGTGTTAATATAAAGCTCACATAGACGACCCGTATTACTTATTATGCATCGGGCTTGGCACCGAATTCAAACAGACTAGAAGGGACTATTGCTATTATAATGTTACCTGGGCCTCAATTCCACTGACACGCTATTTAGATGCCATCGAGTGGCCATTGGCATCGGTATAAATATCGGTAGTCTACACCAACATGACATAACGACTATAAAGCTAGAGAAATAAGCTAAAACACGTTGTCGGGCTGTAAAATTCGAGGGGTAAAATCCCTCGATTTCTCTAGGATCCTATCATCAGATCCTGATTTGGTGGAAATGGGATCACCTCGGGAGCATTCCCTTTCGATTACAAAAAGAATTTTGAAAATTTGATATCGCGTAACAAACACGCAAAAAAAAGTAGACGAATTGAAAACTTTTTTGATAACTCATGTGATTTTGAAGTCGTTTAAAAACGAATCAACCTTTAGTGAAAAAACATATACCGTACACATGACTTGGCTTAATTTTCTATGTCCCCGTGATAGAGCAGAGGGCGTCAAACAGCGATTCTCCATCGGGTTCGGTCTTCAGCTTCGCAATTGACCTCACTCCACGTCCTGCCAATTCTCTTCACGTCATTTTCACGGCTTTTGTGATACACAATACACATTTATGTAACAAAAAATAATAATATATTTTTTCTGATCTAATTTATTTTAAAAAATTTCAAAATCAAATCTTATCCGATAGACTAACTGCGTCGCTTACTTAAAAAATCGCGTCGCAATAATTCTCATGTGAGACGCACTTACCCGTGAAGGACAAATTGAGAAGGTTGAAAGGACAAGAGCAAATTGGTAGTTTATAAATTTTTTCGTTTGGTTGTACGATATTTTTTTAGTTTTAACTTGGCTGTTTGTGCTATTTTATGCGAAACTATTTGTAATGCTTTTTGCAAAAGGTTGTATAAGGATGAATGTATTCTTTTTTTGCGATTATTATCAATTTCTATATGTTTGATACCCTTTTGGAGTTGTAAAGTAATGAACAAGATTTTTTAAAAATTGGCATCAATTAATTTCACATAATGTCTTCTTTTGTTGGAAATGAAATATGTTGGAACACAGGTAAAAAAAAAAACCAAGAATGTGATAAAGCCTCATTAATAATTCAGATGTACCAACACTTTATAAAATGTTTTATTGTTTTCTTAATTAATTGTGCCAAGTAATTTTTTGTGCATAATTTTAAAATGTTAAAAGTCCGAAGTAAACTTGTCAATTTTTTTTTTGGTTTAATAAACGTAGGTATTTTATCAAAATGAAAATTAATAGCGTTTTTCAACGTTTCCGTTAAGGCTGTTTAATCTAAACAATAAATAATCGCCAAAACCTATCCAGGTCGGCAGTGAACTGAATAAAGAGCTAGTTAAAAGCACCCGTAAACCTGGATGAATGTGGCAAATGTCAGGATTATGGTAAATGGCGTTCTAGCATCTTTGCCTACCTCGAACGGGAATGAATTACAATAATTCGAGTACAAGTTAAACCATTTTATATTATTTTTTGTACCCATGACAGGTCAATGTACTTATGTACTGAAACACTAGGGCAACATTGTTTTATATTCGTTTTCACAGGCTTTTTGTTTTACATTTCTTCTACATATAATTTATTAATTAAAACGTGGTACAAAGAATTATGATAACGATTAATGCAAATACAAATATATAAATACAATATTACGAGTGTATGTAGATTAGAATTATGTAAGAACACGTGCCCATAAACAGCTTGTTATTGTTAATGAGTAACAGAAGCCTTGAGGTATATTTAAAAAGGTGTATGTATTAATTCGAATAATGATTGCAAGAAGTAAATGATTAATGTTTTTAATTATAAGCATTTTGCTAATGTACTGCGAATCAAATTATTTTGACTTTGACTATAAACTATATCATCTGTTTTTCTTTTCTTTAGAAGTTTGATTCTATCATTTTGTATATATCTATTACCTGTAAATATTTATTTATTTCGCTATAATAAAAATTATATAATTACATTAAATACACATACATGTCGGGTGAAATACCATTTTAATTTTGCAAATAAAAGTATACTGAATAAGTAATATTAAAGCTTAAATATTTTGGCCATCCGTTCAATACTTTCAAGAATGATAGTTTAATTGACAATAATAAATTTCAACATGGTTGCCTTTTTTATTGTCATCGTACATCAAAAGTCCTTCGCCAGCTACATTCGATAAAGGACAATGAAAAGCGAATGAATGTACTGCCATTGCATGAATATAGCATCCAAACAATTAATCAGATGTTTTATAAGGTATAGCGAGTGCATAAATTGAATATATTCATAAAAGTGCTTATTGTAATTGTAACGTATCTTTATGTCCACAATGATTCACATTTAAGGCCTGAAATAATAAGGCTCGTTGTTTTTAGACGTGTTTACTGCATATCAATTTGGTATATTGTATGTAAAACACGCTTAATACCTTATTTTTCCTTTACCAATAAAGCGTAGGCTCTCGAACTTGCCTTGAATTCTAGAAAATTCGAGATATCTACACCATTCCTTCATTTACACCCTTAATGCATAAGAACTTTCTAGACGAGCTTAACGCATGCGTCAAAATGCGCCAAAGTCGACCCTATGGCATTTACAGTCAATATGTATGTTACTCGCTTTATACGGTTTTGAAAATTCACGTGCGACCAGACGCAGACATGTATTTTGTTCAATAAAAATATTCAGTTGAGAGAGCTCTCCACGTTTTAGTATGACGGCGCTGCAGAGCCGTTTCTCGAACGCTCCGGACGGTTCGCGAACTCTCGACGCCTCGGTAAAAAACGCCGTATAAATACAATCGTACAGCAGCTACGGTCGCAGTATAAATCGAGACAAGGTAACGAACGTTACACCGCATTATTCCAAACTTTCGCGATATAAACTAGTGAAGTGACTTTGTGATACATTCCAGTGTTTGTAATAAGGAAATGGAATCACCTGTTGTAGTGGATAAACCGCCGGAGTATCATGGCAACGAAGTAAGTTGCTGTTGTTATCACATTCTACTTACAAAAGTTATTTGTTGTAATTAAAATTTGCAAAAATTTTAAAAATTAATTAACGTGAAAATTATTTAACAATATAGAACAATATAGAATTAAGAAATTTTGTTATCAAATCAAATTGGCGACTTTATAAAAATGAAATGCTTTAATAAATTTTTAAATATTGATTGGTGATCTAACAAATGGATAATAAGAAAGTCGAATGAACCGTGTGTTTCCTTGTCCGCATTTGGATTTTGGAAACTGGCCAGGTGGTGGCATGGTCAAAGACTGTGTCTGGAGAACAGGTGTTGCCCTCGGTTCCGTTTATTTATTTGTTTAAAATTAGTTTATAATTATGCATTATCTAACGTTTAGAATTAACTTTTATCTTAATTTAATAATTGTTAGTTTATGTACGAACTTTTTATATCAATGAATACCGCAGTTTATTCGACATCTAAGGAATATTTTGTTTACATTTCGTCAGGCAAAACTTAATATTGAAGATACGTATTTTTTTTAACTCAAACATTTTCAGAGTTTGCATTGACTCAATGTTGAATGTAACAAAGAAACTTAGACTTCGATGTAGACCTTTTGTTAAAATTGTTTAAAAACACAACTAAGACGGCCTTACTGTAAACATTTGAACGTAACGCGTCGGAGTCCGTGAGTCACAGGCAAAATATTTATCGAAACTCAAGCTCCATATTTAGCTTCGCCTTACGAAATGCATTTTCTCACTCAGATATACTGAATATTATGCCTAAGAACACTATTTGAATCGACGTTCTAGGTAAACTTGCGGTTTAAAACAAATGTTCTCAATAATGGTGTATAGTCTGTGTTGCGTCGGTTAGTAACATTTAAAACAAACATTTACTGGAATAATCACGAGATTAATACATAATTCGGTCGTAGTCTTTGATCAGTGCATTCGTGAGCACTCGATCTTCAAAGTTCAGTTACCTTTCGAGCTCATATTGAAACTAAACCCCTTCTGCTTAGTTTATCTGTAAGTGCTCGGTCTAAATATGCTCTAATAATAGTTCCTCTTCACTTTGTAATATTGTTCATTAAGCATTCCGCTTCCATGGCTATGGCCTGAATATAAAATATACGATATCGCTTTAACGATTATGATTATAAGATACTTCGCTTTTAGCTCAGATTTAAATATTGTCTCGTCTTGATTATTAATAATCCTAACCATTTTATTCCTAACTTCCTCGATATTAAACTTATTTTATGAATTTTTAAGAAACTAGACCGATGACAATCTTTTATCGACTTTACAAGGAGGAGGTTCTCAGGAGAAAGTTTGTTACCTCAGAACTCCGTCCTTTATTTATAAACCGATTTGGATATTTTTATATTTTTGGAAAGCATGCTTTGCCTCTTTGACCCATTCATATTTGAAAAAAAAATCGATCCTTAAGAGTGAATGAAGAAGTGTAGGAATTAGAATTCATCACGATGAACGCGTATTAAAGTTGGTGGTACTTTAAAAAAAGTTTATATTGTGTTTTTTTTTTAATCTTACGAGAACATGCTTGTTTGTTTAAAGTGAATAAACATTCACACGCGAAAAGGTTTTCTCAAGTTCACGGGTAACCGGTTTGTAAGTGATTGAATTATCTTTGTAAATAATTCAACTAAATCAAGACGATGATGTCAGTGTATTAACATATCTTAGGAGGTAAAAAGTGTCGTATACATACTTGCACATAAGCTGACTTAACTTGTTGTCTCGTGATAGTGCGTCATTATCGCCCACTGAGATTAGCGCATATTCAGATTGACTCGAAATCGGTTCGTTTGTACATATTAGTAGAAAAATAATCACCGGACGTTTTACTTAATACCTTAAGTAGACTGCATATACATCCCACGTTCTGATTCATATAGCGCTCGTTATGGATAGTATTTGGGTCATCATTGCGATTACCGATTTTATCTTTAATGCAACTGTTAATATTCGCATGTGCAGCTTAATTCATTGCAGAGTTGTTTTTCTACAAAATTGTTTTAACCATTTTGTCTCGTAACTGAAACCTGTTTGAGACAAGGCTTTTTTTGTACTTTTTTAACTTATAACTGCCTTTGTAACATTAGGAGCTTGATTGAGGGTCAACGACATCCTTATGCCGTCCGCCCCATCCATGTCTTGAAATATTATTAGACAGTTGTGCTTAACCGTCTTTTGCTTATATATATTCTTATAAAGATTGGTTTGGATTAAAAAATATTCTAGGTGCTTCAGGACTTAAAGAGATCGTAAAGTGAACGCCTTTCACGCTAATATATGGGTAATTTTTGGAACAAGTCATTTTCTTTGAAAATAAATACTGCTGATCTGAGCGCAACATGAATAGTGTAGTATTTTCGCAATTACTATAATTGTAGAACATCACGAGGACGGACACGTGTCTGTACAGCACTCTTGCTCGCACCTCTCCGTTTTCCGGCTAATCGTCGTCGATCGCATGACGCAACACTGTTCTTCGGTTTTTGTTGACTGCCCACACGGTGATGTCACCAAGCACAATCATCTAGTCGCTTTTGTACATGAAAGTGGGGTTTCGAACGTTTTCCGGACCTCGAGTAAACATAATAAATCAATATTTGTTGAAGTTAGACGCGAATAACAATGGTATGTTATATGAAATTTTGTTGCCCTTGGCGGCTTTGTTTCTTTTGCGAAATATTTTTTTATATACTCATATTTTCTTCGACACTAGATCCTTATTACATGAAAAAAGTCAATAACATCCTTCATAATCGATTATGAAAGTAATTTCTTGTACATATTAAACTTGTAAAAATTATATAGAACATTGTAGGAACTTATACGAAAATATAATGTATCTCCTTAATTGAAGTAACAGCTAAAATTAACATTCTACAATGTTCCTCGTTACTTATTTTCGTGTAGTAATAAAACAATGGCGTTATGTTAATTGATCACTTTTTACGTCCTTCAAGCTACCGGTGTTGACTTGTCAGGGTTATAAATATTTATTCGTGCAATTTAAATCATTCGAACGTTGCCCATATCATGATACCTTAGTATCAATATACGAAAGTCTCGACAGTAAGGTCACTTCCTCGGCCGTCCTTGCCATATATGGTTGTATCTGGCGACGTTAATGTGACTACTAGGTATGTACCTTTTCTGTTTTGACGTGAGGTCTTCCATCTCTGTCACACATCAAGCTAAGAAAAGTGCTTCCGTAGTGGAATTTGTATGTGGGTAGTCGCGTTTTAATATATATTGGCCATCCCGTTTCTTGCAAAACTGACGCTACAAACCTCTTTCCTGGATAGATGTTTATAAAACGTTGATTTTTAGAAACTGTAACGTTATAATCAAAATTTTGGGAATCACTATAGCATGATCACGTTGTAATAGCCAGTCGGGTCTAAGGCTTTATAAAATGACCTCAAATATAGAAACTTCAATGCCGACATAGTAGTGTGACAAATAAGGCAATGAATAGGGAAATTTAAGAGAACCCATCAAGTCGACCTTGAACGTGTAAACGTGTACGTCTTCTCAGTTGTAAAATTGTATGTAAAATAAATTTTTATTGATGAAAGATGTAAAAAGTTCACCATTGCCAAAGTGTCAGTTAATTGGTATATCGTTATAATTCGAAATAGGTTCTTGTTTATCACACCTTTTCATCGTACACATTCTACGCTTTCAAATCAAACTAATTTTTTTTCTATTTGTCTAGCGTGGTTTTCCGTTTGACGAAGACGAGGGGTCAGGCGCGTGGAGCGAACTAGCAGCGCGTCACCCTGACATAGCAGCGCGGCTGCGGCAGCGCCCAGCCACCTGGACCAGGAAGCGGCGACCGTCCAGCCAGGACGCCACTGACGGTACGTTCATACAGCTATAGTGAAATGCCTAGTCGTTTTAAATTTTTGAGGTCACTTCATGACCACATTGTAAAGCGAGATTCATCTAACTTGGATCTTGTTCTTTACAGGTATTATAACAAAGCGTTTCATAATTCCAGATTTTGGCGACGGTTTCGGAGGCTTCGACAGATTTCCATTCGACGACATCCCACCAGAGTTCAGAGAACACTTCCCGTCACATTGGAACCGTAGATTTGGATCTCGCGAAGACCATCCTCACCACGAACAACAAACACAAGCTGCGCCGCAATCGCCGCCGGCACAGCAACAGACAACCGCTACACAGACTGAACAGAACCCCGAACAACAGGAACACGAACAGTCAACACACTTACCACAATACGGCTTAAGAAACACAGTCGATCTCGGTCAAAAGAGCCCCGCCGACCCTAGTCTGGTCGATGCGGACGACAGAACTCAGAGGTCTATGTCAGCACCGCCAAATAGTTGCGCACCTCAAAACCAAAGCTTTAAAATGAGTGGACAGAACCACCAGGAACATCCTCAACACTCAGAGCAGCATTCAAACGTCCGACATATCCCAATATTCGTAGAGGGCAGAGATGAACCCGTGATAAATAGATCAGTTGACCATGGCGCACACTACGGAGAAACGAAACCTGCTTACCAGTCACCCCCGCAGCAGCAACCGCATATTGACAGAGAACAGTATTTTGCTGACGATGGACCCGTCGGTTTCCATCATCCACCTAACTTCTCGAGGGCATTTGGTACGCCTTTCAATAAAGGATTTAGGCAAGGTCCCCAGCCTTTCGTCCAGCAGAAGGTATATCCGCAGGCAGCTTACACACGAGGGGCTTCACCGCACAGATCTCAGTCGCCTAAACCTCAGCCACACGCTGATGAGCATTATATAAAAGTACCAGTACACCATGAGCAGAACGCAGCTAAGACTGAACCTCCGTCCAGGACACAACAGCGGCAGGCGCCGCCACAACAGAGGCAAGCGCCGCCGCAGCCACATCCACCCAAGCAGCATCAGCCACCACAACAACCTAGACAAACTTCACCCCAGCAACAAGCCCCGTCTCGGGAACAGACGCCTCCGCAACCTAAAGAGCCAACAGCAGTAAACGATCCTATTACGAATATTCTCAGTATTCAAACTGATGTCCTGAATCTTATGACACAAGTCGAGAACTTTACAGGGGCCAAAAACGATAAGCAGTACCTGTTTTTAGATGAAATGCTGACGAGAAATCTTATCAAATTAGACAATATTGAGACAGACGGCAAGGAGAATATCCGACAAGCTAGAAAGGAAGCTATCAAGTGTATTGAAAAGTGTATAGCTGTACTAGAAGCCAAAGCAGAAAGCAATACTGCTAATAAGAGTAAGGCTCAGTCAGCAGATGTCGAAATGACGGAGAACAGGGAGACAACTGAACCAGCCACAGCTAATGGTGTAGTTGAGATAAAAGAGGCAACCAAAGAACAAGATCAGAACGCAAAACAGGAGGCAAAGACGGAGCCACAAACCCAAGAGGAAACGAATAACATGGAGGAACAAACGAATGCTGTGGAACAAACTCCTGAAGAAAAGGTCGAATTGAAACCAGAAGCACCAGTTGAAAATAATGAAGTCATCGAAACACAAGTGGCTGATACACGACCGGAGGAGAAAGCTCCCGCGCAGCCGATTGAAAATGCCGAACAGGAAGAAAAAGAAGAAAAGAAAGACGACATAGCAAAAAGTGCTACAAACAAAGTTGTAAAGAAACGCAATAAGAGTAAAGATAATAAGAAAGATGTACCTATCGATAGTAGTAAGCAAGAAAAGGAGGATAGCAATAAGGAACAGAAACAAGTGGATGAGAAGAACGATAAAATAGATATAATGCAAGTAGACGATAAAGGCGATAAGTTGGAGCCGCAGATAATGGAAGTAGATGGTGCTGCTAGTCAATAAAGTTAGTTCGCGTTAGTGAATTGTCGCATTAGATACACATTTTTAACCGTGCACGGGGCCTAAACGTTTGCCTTCCTTAATATTCGTGTTTGTGCATAAATAACACAGGTGTTGACATTGTCTTGTTTATGTTTGTACATTTTACGTTTTTAATATTAAACAAATGTGTAAAGATATTTGTTATCCTTTAGGATTTGAACGGTCTCCTCGTCCTAATATTTAATTAATTTATTGTTTATCATTACTTGATAACACAACACTTTCTCAATAAATAAATTATGAATCCATTTGAAAGTTTTTTTATTTAATTATATATTACATAAAATTAAAACAATAATAAACTATAATGCACTAAATGTTTGAATACATAATTTAAACCAAATCAGCTATACTTATATCAATAAAATATGATTATCACAGAAAATATATAATATACACAGCATCTTATATTTTATAGGAAAGTTATATAATCAGTCCACTTAAATACTTCTAGCATCTCAGGCGTAACAGGTAATACAAAGACAATACTCAAATATTGACAATGATTTGATCATTAGCACGGCACACATGAACATACTATAGATAAAATATATATACTAGCTAGATGTGACGATTACATAACTTTAAAACATGTCTGGGTATTATTACTTAACTGGCTGACATTTTGTTACTTTTGTTCATTCATTCATTTGTATGAATTTAACTTATAAAAAGTTACAAGTTCTTGAGATGAAAACTCAAACATACTAACACGTCGAGAAGTGTCGATGTAGTGAAGTAAGAGAAGAATTTACATACAATATTCATATACAGGAGTTGCGAGCATTTTTCTATACAACTTATTAGGATGAACGAAAATTTAAAGTATAATATTACGATACCCTAAATACGATACGAGTCCCTAAATACGACGCATCGTGTCTAAAGCCGTGGTTCACAGGAGAGCATTTTATAGTTTGGAACTAACCTGACGTTCAAAAACTTAAAAAATAATTTTCGCTTTAGCTATGATGTACGATCATTTACTAACTTTAGGTACTTTATATTAGCGAAGTAGTTGTTTTTATATGTATCATATTTCCTTAACGGCGACATAACTACTTTGCCAACTCTGAAAGAGAAGCTTTAACATCAAGTCTGAAGATATGGTAATAAGTGTGAAAAGTTAAACGTTAACTATAAAAGCAATTCGCAAGTTTTAATATAAATTTATATTATAGAGATCCACGGCCTTTTAATATAAAAACTAAACAAATATAGATTTTGTATGACTGTTACACTAATTTTTAACGTGCAGAAATCTCCATATTCGTTACTTACATAATTTGTGAGATCTATAAATCTGTATTTATATGTGATAAACATTAAAAGCTATAAATGGAAAGGTCATTACATAAAAGCTAGTTGAGTTATATATATATATACAACATCATTTATCATTTTTATGTTTGGTAATTCGTAATCATTTACCTAGAAGTAAAGACTAGCCACTAATGTCAATAAACTATGACATTAGTACTTTCTATCAAGCGTTTCTGCAAATCTCCAAAGAGAAAGTAAACTGGAGTCTCACTTATAATATGTTCATTCCCACTCCTTCATAACTCTATCCCAGTCCTCGTCGGCAATGAACGGCTTATCGATACACTTGATCATGTACTCGCCACAAAATATACACTCACTGGCAACAATGTCGTCTATCTCATTTTTCAAGATTTCCCTTAGAGGTAGACCGCTCGATGTGATGGCAGACAGTTCGATGTTGGGGAGCACGGAGAGTTGGCGCTGCAAATCTGTGAGCTTGTTGCGGCGGGTTGGAGCTGAAGAACACATGAATACATTTTTTAAATTTTTACTGAACTATCAATTGTTTTATATTTTATATCGTAGGCACACTGTTAATTGGTATTGTATGATAATTAGGTAATTAATAAAACTAATGACAGCTGGAGAAGACTCAACGCACGGCTTGAGCGGGATCTAACCCCAAACTAGGCAGTGTACTAGACTAACCAGATTGCTGACAAGAATATAAAAAAAAAAAAACATAAGTTACACCCAGATTGAACAATTGTTAATGCTCATTAGTAGCCACGACTTCAGCAGGTAGGCCCCTCTTATTTCCAGGTATTGGACTTTAACAGTCTCTGATATCATCACTTACTGAGTATAGGCAGTGTCTCAGCCGTCAGGCAGTCGCTGTGGAACTTGTGGCCGCAAGGGAACAGGTAGAAGGGGCGCAGTAGCAGCGTAATGTCGCACAGACAGCAAGCGTCTGACACTAACACGGTCACGCTACGGTTACGGAACGACTGAATCTCTGCCCGAACCTGCAAGTAGAGATTACGAATAGAAAGAATAGATAAACGCGCCCGAAACACCTTCAAGTCAAAGCGATGATAATATAATATTGCAATAATGCATTCAATTTATTTATTTAGTGTAATACTGAAATACCCTAATAGTAATAATATTTACTTAAACTAGTCTACCCTATTGATGTCGTTCTATCAAAGCATTGGACTGAGGTACAAAATGCAATTAAATTGTTTCCCTTCATAAGAATGATGTTCGTACTTCAAAGAATTTAAAAAGAAATAGCTCCCTTGGTCCAGCCATCTTCGAGTTATGCGCTTATAAATACACTTGGCCTTTCGTTTTTATAGATTTAAATATATTTTGTTACATCATATACAAATATGATATCGGACAAAATTTCGTGTTTTACATTATATTTAAACTTACACATTCAGCAGCTATTGTTGCTTCCTCCATTTCAGTTTTCATTCCTTCTATTTCCTGATTGTACTCCTGCAAATAAACAAAATAAATTTAAGTTCGCATAAGATGCTGTGTGAATGCTCTGGAAACACATCTGTAGATGTTATTATGTTCTACAACTGTACCTGTAAAGATTCGCAGATGGGCTGCCTGAAGTGGTCTATTGTGACTACATCGCTGAAGAATGGCAGTATATCTTCTATCTTGATAAGCGAACATTCTTTCAAGAAGTTCATCGCCTCTTGCATATCTTGGTTCTTTGTTATGACATGCTCAGCTATTAGGAAAGATTATTAAAATATATTAGTGATATTTAATACAGACAGTATTGAGAAACAGCATTGGGTAAATTGATGAATGATGAAAGTCGAAAGCAAATTTAATTTTCTCCATATATGAGCCGACTCGGCTTAATTTGTTACGTAAGGAAGTCTGGTGCAGATCCAGCTTTTAACGTAGGGGGGTCAACTTTGTGTAGTCAGGATTCGCAAATAACTTTAATTTGATCACCTTGAACGTTGAAAACAGCCCAGCCCAAGGGTGGGAGTCATGACTCATAAATCACCTAGACCTGGACTGACCTTGAGCGAAGTTAGGCATAATTACAACATCAAAGCGATATGAAACTGCGAATATTAGATATAATTAAATGCTATTTTCGTGTTTGTGTACTGTAATATATTTATTAAAACTTTTAAGATGCTATACGAAAGTATGTCTGACAACACTTCTTTCGTAGACAAGGAGTTAATTAATATTATGAACATACAGCGTTATCGCGATCGTTTAGCGGCTAATAAATAATCATTAATAAATCTTAATGAGCGGCCTTTATGTGCATCTGATGTATTATTGTCATTAATCACTAATTGATATGCTGCAATCGTTCCGTTGAATGCGTTACAATTGCTGCAAGGTCTCTGTGTTTGGCATGCCAATTTGTTAAACGCGGTTTTGAATAAATAGCCTTTGAATTATAGATGACATCTTAAAGGCAAATGTGGTATTTTTTTTAATCACGTCCACAATACGTGCAGAGTATTGAAAACCATGTTGACATATAAAGAGTAGAATAGGATTTTCTGATGGTAAACGAAAGCCTACCCATGTAAATAATTATCTCAGTCTCATCTCTCAATGACTGAGTCAGACTGTGACCACGGCCTGTATTATCTATCGTGAGCGCGTTAATTCCCGTAATACTTAATGATATATTAGGAAACGCGATAGTTTAAAACAGGGATTCCCAAACTATTTTGGTCTCTGGCCCTAAAGTTTCTAAAATGAACTGATATCTCAGATCCCCATAGCCAAACTACTGCACGCTTATCGACTTCGATACTTTCTACTAAAATTAATTTATTTTTGAAATTTCTTATTACATAATTTTTTAGTCATTGTTATAACAAGCTGGTACACGTAACACAACTAATTCAGTATCTTAAAAGTTTCAAATAAGAACGTGCGTTAATTAATGGGAGACGATTTTTAGACCTCGTCGCCACCAAAATCAGTTTTCGTTTATGCCGACCCCTGGGAAACCGATTTCGACGCTTAGGGCTCAACCACTTAAGGAATTCCCATGTTTAATAGTTAGTATAGGCTATATACACTCAGTTATTCAGTATACATTTGCAAGTAACTCTTATATGCCAAGGTTACATGATCGCGTTAATGATGGTTGATGCAAAATGTATGTTTACACGGTACGTATGCCAAAATAACATTTTTTTAAATTTTTGTCTGTCTGTCTGTTTGTTCCGGATAATCTCTGGAACGGCTGGACCGATTCCGACGGGACGTTCACTGGCAGATAGCTGATGACATAAGGAGTAACTAAGGCTACTTTTTTTAGACTAGCTTCACCCCGCGGCGTTGCCCGCGGATATAACACCAAACGCGGGTAACACCGCGGGTCTCAGCTAGTTATATATATATATGTATATATACTATGAAATGAGAAATTTTAAAAGAATCAATTAAATTTATTATTATTATTATGTCATTTTATACCTTGTCTGGTCTCCCTTTTATTTTAAAGGGGTAACAAAATCTAATACACGGGCCTTAGCAAAGTGTGCCAAAAAGGGATGATGATATGAAGTTAAGATGATGAGGATGAAGCGAGAAATTTGCGTGTGAGACGGCATGTATTAGGACTGCTTTTTGTAAGACTATGAGAGAGGATTTCGGCATTTCCAATGTGTTGAGGCTATCTTGAAGAGTCTTCGGTACTACACCAGTTGTAGATATGACAATGGGTACTATTTTAACTCTATCTACCTGCCATTGCCTTTTTATTTCCGTTGCTAAGTCTGTGTATTTGTGTGTGTTACATACTGCTATGTCCTAAATAAAAACTATTTTGTTAGTTTTGTCTAGTATTGTTATATCCGGTCTATTATAATGTATGGTTTTGTCGGTAATTATTGTCCTATTCCAATATTTTTTTTTATTATTATCAAAAACAAAAGTATACACATACCAATATTAAGCCATAGCTGCCTTTGCAGTTCCGATTCTTCCGGCATGTTGGCAATATTCTTAGCAAGGTGCAAATCCACTTGCAATGCTAGTTCAACCGCAGACTCCCAAAGACCCAGCAATGCTGAGAGGTTTACACAAGCAACAGATAGATTTTTCTCGCGACACAACCTGGAAAAGGAAATATAATTTATGATCGTTTCTTTTTTTTATGTTATACCTAATGGGCAAACGACCAGACGGGTCGCTCTATGGGACGGTTAATTTAGCACTTTTTGAGTATGGAACACTAATTTGTCCTTACTGTGGATCATGTCATTACTATACTACAATTAGAAGTCCCAATGTATTTTACCAAGTGGGTATAGTAATAGGTTGATAAAAAAATCTTACCTTAATGCATAGTGCACATCATAGTTGACCAAAGTGACATCTTGTCCCTGCCTCGCCAAGTACCGTGACAGCATCTCATGATCATGTTCAACGTACAGCGTCAATAAATAATTATGTATCGCCTTGTCTTTCACGTTGAAATGTTGCAGGATAAATTCCAAGTACCTAATTATCTCTGATATATGCTGTTCATCATTTTGGCAAGAAAGGAATGCAGGTAACAGCCTCCCTGGTACCAATCTCGTTCCTTGAGACATCAACGCAGTCACCATATGCTTTGGACAATTCTCGATCAGTGACGGAGCAAACTGGTAGAAAAGCTCAGGTTTCTTCAGCGTCTGAAGGGTCTGAATAGCTTCCAGGTAGGATTTTTTGTCAATATACTGAGCAATAACATTCTCATAATCCTCGTTAATAATCATCAGCTTGATTAAGTTATGTTTGTCGCCATGAGATGCCATCAAATCATAGACAATAGACTTAACATGATGCATGCATTTGGTAACTTTCGGATGCAGCAAGAACACCTCGAAGTCACTTTGAATCTGCAGATACTGATTCGATTCTTCCTTCCCAGTGCGACGAAGTAAACCTAATTGCGACAAATATAACTCGGCCATCCAAATCACAAGCATGGATATTAATGTTTTATCATCTTCCTTTAAAGAATCTAGTCTCTTTGCTAAGTAGATTTTTAAAGCATTTGTCTGTTCTAATTCTAAGAACTTTAGGCATATAGTCTCGAAGCTGCTCTGAGTATCAGCGTAGACCTCAGCGCTTTTCTCGTAGTCTCCTTTACTGAATAACAATTCGGCTTGTTTCACGTTAATAATATCTATGAACGCGGGATTGTTGAAGCAGTAATCCTTGGCTAGGTCAAATTCTTCTTTATCACAATATATTCTCCACAAGTTGCGCTCCTCTCGGATCACTTTGTACCTGAACACTGATATATCTGTAACAGCCCAGATCGTTCTCTTCTTGCTATCTCTGATTACACTCCTCAGTTTTCCATGTGCTTCTGTGTAAATATCCTCATAGACTAGTTCGTGGCTCAACAGAGAGATGACTTTCACTCTATCAGAGTACATGAGCAGTGCGTGAAATTCTGTCAGAGCGAATGAAAGAGGTGCACTTTCCTTCTCTTCGTCATTTGTTGGATAAGTAATTAGTGTACTTTGTGTAAATAAAGAATTTGAATTTTGTTGAGAGCTGGGGTCTAACTGTAAAGAAAAAGCTAATATTTATCAAATCAAATCAAAGTTTATTTGCTATGAATTTAGGTACATGAAATTACAGGTGAAATGGTTTTAAATGCTCCCTGTACATTCTGCCTTAAAATTAAGCATGCAAAAATTTATAAAATTAGGGTCGATAAAAATTAAATTAAATGTGGTGTAACGGTGCATTTCGCGCCATTACAGTAATTTGAACCTTAGTCTCGCTTTTGTTTTGTTAGATTGAATTTTTTGTCGTTTCTGCGTGTGCCGATGGTCGAGGGACGGACGAGAGTAATAATCGATGTTGTTCGCCCGCGATTGGTTAGTCGATTTATTTTTCCTGTCCTGGCAACATTTTTGTTTCCCCGCTCTATGAAGCGAGAGGCTATTGCACTGGTATCACTTTTTTCACTTTTGGCGTCGGTCCGGGACGAAGCAGTTTGGATTTTTTTTAAATGTAGACTTTTTGTTGTAATTTATTTCTTACGAGGGCTTATTTCTTACTTTTATTTTTCGGCCAACCTCGTTAAGAATCAAATTATTGATTGAGTTTTTATTTTCGTTAAAAAGGTGAGTTTTGTTCGGCCACGTGCTTCACGCTTGGCTTGGCGGAATTTGTGGTTTTAACTCTTTGTTTAATTGGTTACAGGCAATGCTTATAATGCTTATAATGCCGCTGCTTGATTTGTGAAACGTTTTGGAACCCTGGTAAGTGAAATATGATTTCTTGTCAGAGTTATGATTCATACTGTGAGATAGGCTTTTAACCTATAATTTTTCCTTATTTGCAGATGAATCAGGGTTTCTTTTTTAGTTTATATCTAAAGTTTTTTACAATGCCTAAATTGCTTTACTTTCTTATTGGAATGTCCTTGCGTGGCATTCGGATTTTTGTCTCTCGCCGGAGTTTAACCCCAAGAAATTGGTTTGCTGTGGAGCGCCAGAATGGTAGAAAAAGCTGCTTAGCTGTACGCCATGGTCTGGAGCCTGGGAGTGCTGACCCACCTCTTCCACCACGTGGGAGCCGGAGTGAGAAGTTTCGGAGTTGGTTTGATTTCATGTCATTCGGACTGGTCCAAGGTCATTGTTTTGTGGTATGTAGTTTTGTTATATTTTTCTTGGCGACGTGGCATTGAACACTGCAGGTCCCCAAGGGGTGTTATTTTTCATTAGAGAGTAGGTCAATGCTATGTCTACCTTTAGAGTTTACTGTTTTGTCTATTTAGTCTTTATGTGACTCTTTAAAATTTATTTAACCTTATAATTTTCTTATTGGAAAGGATTGCATTAATGACAGTACTAATTTGTGTATAAGAATTACCTATTGTAATTAGAGACATAAGACACATTGTACTCTACAGACACTACGGGATAATAAACAGCCATTAGAACTTAACATCTTGTATTCATTAGCTGCCTCCCGCCTTGTTTTAAAAAGGTTCAAAGCTGGCTGAGATGTCCGAGGTATTTGTTGTGTTTGTGGTGGGTTCTGTGTTCTCTTAAGGTGGTATCTGGCGCCCGAGACTTTTATTTTGTTATTTTGTTTCTATTTGATGCCACCAATTTTAGTTTTATTTGTTTTAAAACAAACCCAATTTAAAAAATTTTTTATTTTTTTATTATTACAGTGGAATGGATAAGTTCAAATAAAAAAATAACCAATAATTAATATTTTAGATGTCAATAGTGTTTATTGGCTATTTCTAATATATATAAGGATGGAAAGTTTAGTATTCTAAAGGTCTTAAACATTGGTTTTGGACAAGTTCGAAAGGCCCTATGCGGATGTATTTAGTTGCTTACAGACGCCCTCTGCTTGAGGTTGTCAATTTAGTTGACTATCGATATATATGCCTAACAATTAAGCAATATGTATTTAATGGATTATGGTTATTGTATATGGTTTATGGCTATTGTATTTTACAGTAATATTTTTAGAGATGTGCGTTGGTGGAAGTGGATTAACTTAGTTTTTTGTAAGTTAATTATCAAATTATTTTTGTCAAGCCAATTAATTATGTCTTTAGAAGTATTACTTATATCCCTTTCATCCCCATCCAAATTCTTACATTTTACTATTGCAGTGCTATCATCTGCGAATAGGACCATAGGGTTCTCGATAGTAAATCGTTGATGTAAATCAGAAAGAAAAGCGGTCCGAAAACACTGCCTTGGGGTACACCGTATCGCATAATTCTGGTTTTTGATAGGTATTTTATTTCGGTCTTGGTTTACTTATGCTTTCGTCATATCTGTTAAAATTGCACAAATAGGTATTCTTTTGTTTATGTTTCCCATAACTGTATTTAACAAACCCTAAATTGCTGTATTTACCAGTATACTTTTGTTCTTTCTAAAATCTTTTTGTTCTTTGCAAAAAATGTTATGTTTGGATAGGAACTTATCAATTGATTCATAAATAACTTTTTCTACTCCTTTAGAAAAGATAGGTACTAAGGCTATTGGTCTGTAATTAGTTATATCCATTTTTTTACACTAATAACTAATTCAAATAAAAACTGTTTATTGTTGCTTCATTAGTGATTTATCTGGACTTAGTGTTGATAAGCCGACCTAAAATAACCATTCAGTATGATTATTATTAATATGTAACTGTTTAATTAGGAAAGTGTCAATGTACTCAACATTAGTCAATTAAAACTTTTCTGTCGTGTTTTTATTTATAAATAACTAGCTGACCCTGCAAACCTCTACTCGGTGAAAAGAATATTCCTACCAAATTTCAAGTCTAGCTCTAATGGTTCCAGAGATATCGTGATGAGTGACTATATACGTGGAAATCTCTTTTATATATATATATACATATAGATATATACCCTAGACGCAGAAATTGCCCTGTAATTCCTATACACAGATATAGCAGGTTAATATTAGTAAATCTCTAGAAAGCAGGATAGAAAATAACACAAAAAAAAAAAAAAAAAAAAAATTGTGGCCTAAAAAAGGAAAAAAAAAGATGCTGAACTATTCAGTCAGTGCCCACATTAATATAGTTACTTACCTGTCCATAAAATATACCCGGTTCTGTTAACCAAGCAAAAGTCTTTGGTGTGTCATTTTTATCAAAAAAGAATTGCAACTTTGAATACTTGAGGTTTGATGGGATCGCTTGGAAATCAGTTTCTGGTCTCGTCAAGTAGGGGTAGAAGACTGACTGTAAGGATGGCTTGTCATCTTGCATAATAGCATCCCCAATGAATTGGTACAGTCTTGTCCGAGTTGTGATAAAAATAAAGTATTTTCTCGTTTTATTAACTCTCTGGAATTGGATGCCTGTTATTGGCATTTCTGTCCCTCTCCCAATGTCGAATATCTGGGGAAAAAATATTTTAGGAATTGCAATTATTTATATAGATTTTTTCTAATCATAGAGCTAAAAAGCGTAGTGTCTAAATATATTTTTAGCTGAAATTGAAAAAAAGAAATTAGCGAAACAAACATAAAGAATGAGTGTATTTGTTGGTGGCTCTCATGGATTTTGTCTAAGGACAAAATCTTAATTCATTTTTTCATTTATGTGCATGTGCAGATGTACCTTGCACATATGAATGTCAATGAAAAACACAAATAGGTCCTTTTATATATTATGGTATATGGGGGCAAATAAACACACGCGTCACGGTAAGTGACTACCATAGGTGGTGTCAAAGTAAGAACGCTGAAACTCACAGTGATTAAAACATGACATGAAAAAGTGTAAGTTTCTACTTAATCGTGGACATATAACAAGTTTGCCTTCACCACAGATTTAAGTACATCATTATTGATTTAAACTAAATGAGTTTCTCTAAAAATCACATAAGATTTTTAGAGAAAAGGTGCTTTCTACCAACATTGGCGGTTTCTAGAAATCTAGAGTTTACTAGCATTTCACAACAATCAATATATTATATAGCATAGTAAGTAAATGTTTCATTTTACCAAACCATCAATTTCCTTGCTTCCATACAGAGGAAGATAATTAGGCAGCTTGCACAAAAAAACAAAAAATATGTAAGTATAAAATACATTACATGAGTAATAGTGTCATTAAAAGATAAAATTATTGAAGTGGTATTATTTCAATGGTTAGTAAAGTACCCTTATTTTGACAAAAGATTGGTCACACAAAATGGAATAATAATAATAAATTAATGTATGGTCAAACACTGACCTAATCTGATCAAGATCTGTTACAGTTCAATATTTTAATAATGTCAAAACATGCAATTACTTTTTCTTTATTTATTTTCTTTGTGACCTACTGAATTGTAACTTAACATTCTAAATCAAAGGTGAAGAATTGGTAAATCAGAGGTACCCAATGGTCCCAGTGAAAAAAAATCTACTATTATATTATAAAGGTAAAAAAACTCACCTAAACTAGTTACATGGGTCAGTCTATGATCTTTTAACAGAAATGCATGATATTTATTTGCCTGGAATGTTATCACAGAGAATTTTTGAAGATCTTTAACTAAGTTATAAGTAAAATTAAGATTTACCTCTCTCCAGTACTGGTTACTGGCAGTATACATTTTATCACTGTCAGTCTCCAACTCAGTCTCAAATAAATGACCCTGAGATGTCCCCAACAGGATAGGGCCAGTTGATACACGGGATGTATTCTCCCAGTTCCATCCCACTTCGGTTACTTCTAAGTTCTTGGACTTAGTTACCTGTTTGAACTTCTTACTATTCTGGTGTAAATATACCAATTCTGGATACCCATGGGTATCTTTGCTTCTAGGAACAAATGCCATTAACAAGTGACATCCAAGTGGATCAAGGAAAATTGCATTTAGTTTGGAATTTGGATGAACATATGACAAGTATTCAATTTCTGAAATGTATAGGAATAAGATATTATTATTACTTTAAAAATAAAAAACGAGCCAACCTTACTATAGTTGCATATATGATATGTAACATCTGATATCTCATGGCCAACTTTAACACTGAGCTCATGCATCATCCTTTAGTAGTCCACAGCTGGGCATAGGCCTCTGCTTAAAAAGGAGGTTTTGGTCTACTCTACCACAATGGCCAGATGGGTTAGTATAAGGTTTGTGTCAAGTTTTTTTTCTATTTGCAGTGCTGTTGTCCTGTGTAGTGTGCTCCCTTAATCGCCTCTAATGACACTCACATGATGAATGGGGGTGCCATTCCATATCCTTCAGTCTTCATGACACGGACAAGCGTAACTGAGTGTTCATTGGTCAAATCAAATAAAGTGTGCTTCCTAGCTTCATATTACACACTTTAGTTGGTTACAGATTGCAGGAAAGCAAGACAAATGATGTTACACATCAAAATATTGTAACATAATTTGTACCTTTGTTACAAATTAAAAGATTATTATTTATTATTAATACCTATATCATCATCATCGACAGCCTCAACTAGTCTACTGCTGGACATAGGCCTCTCCTCGGAAAGGAGGTTTAGGTTAAAAAAATAGTAGAAAAAGTTTACAACAAAAAAAAACCTAAAGTTATACCTTCTCCATGGTCGTTACTGTTCTTCAGATCAAGGCGAAACAATTTCTTTTTCTCGTCTTCTTTATGCATAGCCAGTACAATGTAATCATTGGCTACAGCAGCGTGAGTTATCACTCCTGTAAGATTCTTAAGCATCATTCTCTTCTTTGAAAACATAGGTGTATAGTCTTCTAGTTGCATGTTTATATATCCGGAGGAAACCATTGGTTCAGTTACAGGTTTTGGCCGCTGTGAGCTTTGAGAGGCCTGTTCGTACTGATCTAATATCGAAGCCATGGTCCCAACAAATGATTGTTTTGTTTAAAACTAAGTTATCTGTATCTATACAAAAAAATCTTCACAACTAAAACTGGGTAATAACTGTACTACTGGCAATTAAGTTATTTTATAGACAATTTTTCCTCGAAAACATTACATTATTTTGCAATGTTGTGCTATGAAATGTCATTTAGACAAATTTGTAAACGTCAAATTTTTGGTGGTTATTCTAGATAAAAGTACTCTTGGTTCTAATAGGTACAATGAACTTAGACTAATACTAGGGTAGGGGTCGGGTGGAATAGACGAACAATGTGTGCAAGTGAGTGATAGCTAATCAGGTATCTCTTAAACCTTATTCACCTGCGTTTAACGTTGGCCGCTATCTGTTTAAACGCCTCCGTGCAGTAATGATAAAGCCGCCCCATGATTCCCCACGAACATAAAACTATCGTCCAGTTTGGGAACTCGATTCAACTTATAAATACTTTTTATAGAGTAATGAGAAGCTTTCAAGCATTTGCGTTTATTTTGTAAAACTGATCATTTAATGTCATTATTATGATTATGACATTTTAATAAATTATTATGATTTTAACATGAATCTGAGTACGACGTTTATAGTTTTGATGAAATTAAATTAAATAAAACGCAACGCGTCGTTAAAAAACCTTAGTCCAGTCAAAGTTATTTCTTCTTTTATTCTGGTGCTTTCATCCTAATCTCTCCAAAAGAGATTTATGTAAACAAAGAGGTGTCGTATTCTTTGATAGATTCCCAATCTATCAGTGTACAGCTACAATCCAAAGAAAAAAATATTTAACGGATAAATACTAAGAGTTCAGGACATTAATGTCTAATAATTATAAATAAATAATATAAACTTTCATAGCGTAATAATAATTTCAAAATACAAATATACATAGGAATCCTTTCCTATGTATATTTGTATTTTGAATTTGAAGGAATAACTTTGACTAGACTAAGGTTTATTACATCTCTTTATGGACCCATTGCGTTTAGAAATGTATCAATATTTTGATATATTTAATCACAGTTATATACGTACAAGTTTACGATATTCAGTGATTTCTAAATACTGTTTATTTTACTAGTTTTTAGCTCTACAGGTAATTTATCCAAGCTGTCAAACTTAGAATATCCAATGTCAAACGATTGTCAAACATCCAAACATGCTCACAAAGACTTTTTCTTAAGAGTTGATTTAATGTAATAGACTCTATGACCTAAAGTTCAAAGTCTAAATTGGCGTGTCTTTTAATTTTTTGTTAATGTACATACTTTAACAAAAAAAATAACAACAATAATTCTTCAATAATTCTTTCAATTTATGTATCTACTCCTGCTTCCTCAAATATACCTACCGCTAATATTATAATTATATTGAAGAATTAACAAATGTAACACTTTTCGAGTGACCGGTTTTTTTGGAGGTAACTTCTCGTGTTCGCGTGACCTTGATGTTTGCTTATCATTACAATTTATATCACAATTCGAGTGTCAAGTGAATATTATTACTTTTGCCTACTGATATATAATTCATTCATTATTTTACTTGAAAATGGCTACGGGCGCTCTTCTCAAGTACTCCAAGTTGAGTGGTAAGTAAGACCTATAAGCTACACTTGGCATCTATCGTAATTAAATACAGAAAGATCACAAAAAGTTGAGATAAGCATTCAGGTTCCATATTATTTATGTATTACATTTTGTACATTTTGTGGTATACAATAAAATAATTAGTAAATTTGGTAAATCAGAAGATAAAATTATAAGTAACAAAGTGTCTATTAATGTTAAGGATGGTCAATATTTTTACACTTTATAAAGTGCTATGCAAGCTATCTGATAAGTGATTCTAACGAATTGAATAACTTAATTTTATATAATTTGTTATTAGTTCAATGTTTGTCAATTGAATGTATTGAACTAATCAACGTCTTGCAGCCTACTTCTGGACATAGAGCTCTCCTAACGTGTGCCATAACAACTGTTTTACTTAACCTTCTGAATTGAGTCCATTCCAGCTACCTGCTATAAATAAATAATATTTTACATAGCAGTAGCTTAAATAAAAATAGTTGATAATTTTATGTAATTTTTTCGCTTTCTGTTGTTCTGTAACTAAAAAGTCATTAACCCTCTCATGGCTAATTTTGACTTTTTAATAGAAAGTTCAAAATTCTCTATCTTTCTGTATAATTAAAGCCATTAAACAAAAGTTAAAATTATTATTATTATGAATCTAGTTGGAGGTATAAAGAAATAAAAGTTGTGACTGATTATTTTATGATTTCATTACTTGTAAACATTCTTTTACTACTTTTAAAGTTAAACTATTTTCTGACCTTTTTACCTTTCCTTACCTATTTATATTGCCAGCAATAATTTCTCATCTTAGTGTCAGAGTATTGTAGAAACTATTTTTTTTGTTCTTTCTTTGAGAACAATGCAGCATTAGTATGCTTAAAGGTTCTTTTTTTTTTCAAGAAGGAACTTCCTTATTAGGAATAAATCCTTTGTCGTGGGGGTCTTTACAAACATACATGAAACTCGCACCCAAAGCAGACCCAAACTCAAACAACAATTTGTAAATCACACAAAGTGTAATCCCACGTGGGGATTGAACCCACAACGATCAGCGGAGTAGGAAATGGCATGGCAACCGCTTAAACCACTACGCCATCCGTACAGTCATATACAATGTATAAATATTTTCCTACATATTTCTCAAATTTATTGGGTTGGTGCAATGAGCTTTTCCTTTCATTTGACATCCTCTTTCGTACACTCCATTTCATTGCAAAATACTTTTGAAATTTACTTAAATGGCCAGCTGCCTGCTCGACGTTAACTCTCCTTACAATGTAACACAATGCAAATGCCTATAAAAAAAGGTGTCATCAACAACACAGCAATTAATCTTTATATGAAATTAAAGTGAATAAATAAAGTTCTTATAGAAATTCCAACTTAACTACAGAAGAGCTGTCCGTGTGGTGACGGATTAAGAATACGGAGTGTCACCACCCCTATTCATCCAGTGGGTGTCGTAAGAGGCGACTAAGGGACCAAACTACGCAGGACAACAGCACTGCAAAGAGAAGGAAAACTTGACATAAACCCTATACCAACCCGTCTGGCCAGCGTGGCATAGCAGGCCAAAACCTCCTTTCTAAGAAGAGGCCCATGTCCAGCAGTGGACTATTAAAAGCTGTTGATGATGATGAATGATGACACAAGAGCACACCTAGTTTCGTTTTGAAATTATAATGATTAGATAGCTCAAAAATATACATCCATACCAATATTATAACTGCGAACATGTGTCCATCTGTCTTTCTGTTACCTCTTCATGCTTCACCCACTGAAAGGATTTAGATGTGTTATTGCAATCGTCCGAAAGGACATAGGGTAGTTTTTATCCCAGAAATAATCGTTTAAAAAGGGGGGTGGACATTTGTATGGGGAATCAATAACCGCTAAACCGATTTAGATGAACTATGGTATGAATATACTTTGATTCTTAAGGAAAGGTATAGGCTACTTTTTACCGCTTAAACCGACATTTACGTGGGCGGAGCCGAGCTAGTTTTACATAACTTTAACATTATCAAAAAGTATATATTTGTTTAAAGAACAATATCATGTATATATTCTACATATAAAAATGGTGTCCAGTATGTTTGAATCGACTTGAAGATTTTACATAACATTTTATTTTAACAAAGGAGTGTTTAGGTATATTTTTTATTTCAAAGTTCAATTATAGCATAAAAATGTATGTTTTCTTTTCTAAATTGCATATATTTAAAAAAATCTAATTTTAAATAGATTAAGATTATGTTGAAACGATGTCTGAAAGGGCGGCATAACACTTGTGATTCTTAGTTCCAGGTGCCAAGCAGTTGGCTAATCAAAATAATCTGGTCTCAATATTGTACGTACTTGAAACAACGTACCTTGTGTAAAATGCAAATTGGGGTCAAATAAATGAATTTAAATCTATTTAAATATACATAGCACATACATAAAATCGACCAGAGACAAAAAGCAGAATCAATGAAATAGTAAAATAATTAAGTGTATTCGGTTTGAATCTCGCGGACATGTACCTACTACTTTTTTTTTATGGTATAAGGGGGCAAACGAGCAGACGGGTCACCTGATGGTAAGCAACTACCGCCACCCATGGACACCTGCCACTCAAAAGTCACGAGTGTGTTGCTGCCCTTGGAGTACGTCCCGCTCGAGTCAGCGGGACTGAGGGGTTTGCTACTACCTGTAAAGGCCCACTTTTGGGTTAGAAACTAGTCATTATAGAATTATCCTTAATCAAAGACGCGTTGAAAAGCCTTATCCCTTAATAAATATAGTACTAGCTTTTGTCTGCGGCTTTGCCCGCGTGTATGTTGGTAATCGCTGTGAAAAAGTAGCTTATATCCTTCCTCAAAAATCAAACTATATCTAAATACCTATTATCTATACCTCTACACATATTTCATAAACTGGGCAGCAGTTATTTATTTATTTATTTATACTTTATGCACAAACGTGACAAAGGCGGACTTAATGCCGTAGGCATTTTCTCCCAGACAATCTTAGGGCGATACAGAGATAAAACATAGTAGATGCACAGAAATTTAAAATGTGATTTTATGAAAAATATAGTTATTGATTACCCATAAAAACTTCCACCCCTTTAAAGGACAACTACAACTAAGAAACAGACAGACAGACACTTTCGCATTTCTAATATTAGAATAAAGGGATTGTATCGTAGTATATTGATAGTGGTAATCAATGGATTATTTCATTGGATTAATTACTAACATTAAATCTCCTTTCAGTTTATTCGCTGCAAACTCTAAAAGCATTGTCATCGCAATGTCGCACATTTACAAGCCAACTGACAGAGCAGCAAGCAGCTGTACAAGAGTTGACTAGAAACTTTGCCAATGAACATCTGAAACCTAATGCAGCTAAGCTTGACTCTGAGGCACTGTTCCCATTTAAATATGTAAGTACACCAGTACACCTACTCATATAATTGTCGTAAATACAACATATAAAGGGCGCAGCCAGAAGCAAAGGACACTTACATGATGCCATAACCGGTAAACCGGTAATGGAACATCGTGATTTTTTCAACTTTACTGTGCTTAATCGAAAGTTATATTCAAATGGCCGGTTCTAGGAATGAAAACTTTTTGTAGTCAAGTTTTAAATTGATTTACTTAGAATTCTCACAGGATTTTACTGAAATAAGTACTCCAAATAGATTTTTCTTCAAATTTTTATGTACAACATTTTTTACTCGCACTGATTTCGCCATATTTTAAAAAACAAATTCTGACTACACCCTTGCATGAGACACGCTAATTTCTTATATTTTATCAAGATCAATAACATTTGAAATAAATTCACCACTATTACAAACAGCAGATTATAAAATTAATGGCCCTCATTTCTCGGTAAATACTTATACAAGTATTTACCGAGTACGTCATAAAATTAATTTATTATATTAATAATGTAACTTTCAAGTAAATTTATTGCCTGTCACATGCCCAAATTCAAATGATTAAAATCTTGTTCTTAAAATAAAATACATAATACATTTTTGAATATGATACACCGAGAAACATTGACCACCTGTTCAGTGTCGGGCGCTAGGTCAGCATTGCTATTCTCTAATAGTAGGGTAGCCCTAGAAGGGATTTCGTGATTTACTCGAGTTAACATAGGACGAATACCTCCACCATACAGATTAGATTACTTAAAAAAAATCGATGGCCAAAAATACTCGAGCGTGTAAGATTAAGGTAAGTTGAGTCAATTACATGCATACATCTGACGATTTGAACGTAATGCAGGGTCGTAAACGCTGCCACTGGTGTTGAACGGGCGGTACAAACACCCCCGTCAATGGCCTCCTTGGCCGTCGATGGGGAGAACGTGGATGAAGTTCCGCCCGTCCGGGATTCGGAGGTAGGGGCCGCTGTTCTACGGATCCGTTCTAAGAACACCACCCCTGGGCCAGACGGGATACCGGCCCGAGTGCTGGCCCTAGCCCTCCACCACATAGCAGTCCGCCTCAGGGAGGTGTTCGACGCTAGCTTGGCGTCCGGACGTTTCCCTGAGTGCTTGAAGAGCGGAAAGCTGGTCTTATTGAGGAAGCCCGCACGCTTCCGATTCAGTCGCGGCCTACAGGCCCATCGTACTGGCACCCCTGCGAGATGGGCCCCGATCTGTCGGACGCCCAATTCGGTTTTCGAGCGGGGTGTTTAACGGTCTACGCTGTGTTGCGCCTCAATACCGTGACCGAAGAGGCGGTGAGCCGTTTCGGCGTGCTGTTGGCGGTGTCGTTGGACGTATTCAATAGTCTGCTATTCAGCTGCATCAGGGAAGCACTCCACTATCATGGGGTGCCAAAGTACCTGAGGCGACTGGTGGCAGACTACTTAGAGGAGCGTATCGTCATGTACGAGGACCAAGATGGTGGATCAGGCGTCGGCCCACGTCGTGCGGTGTTCCGCAGGGGTCTGTTGTGGCATCTTTCTGCAAAGACGTTTTCTCGCAGAAGGAGGCGGCGGAGAGGGCATCACATCAACGGCCTTTACTAGTCCTCTGCTGGATATAGGCCTCTCCTTAGAAAAGAGGCCACGGAGATACCACGCTGGCCAGACGGGTTGGTATAGGGTTTGTTTCAAGTTTGCCTTCTCTCTGCAGTGCTGTTGTCCTTTGAGTTTACTCCCTTAGTCGACTCTTACGACACCCACGGGATGAATAATAGGGGTGGTGACACTATGTATTCTTAATCCGTCACCACACGGCCTCTTAATCCGTCACCACACGGCCTCTTAATCCGTCACCACATGGACGGCGGAGAGGGCCCGGGAGGAAAACCTCCACTCGGACCCAATTCGTCGCCGGCGAACCGGGCGGCGGAGGCGCGCTTACCACCGCCTCATGTCGCCCTCAGTGTGGCTGCATGTGGACGGGGATGGTTTTACCCTCTACCCGCCATAACAGCCAGCCGCGAGGAGTCGACGTCCGCGTGTGCCAGACGTCGCCTGAATGGAGAATGTACCGAAGGTGGTGCCCGCGCCATTGCGGGCAGGCGGTGAGAGGGGTCCGGATGTCTTAACTATAGCAATTCCCGGATCTCTCCTATTACAGGCGCAGAGTGGCACACCGGGTGGATTTAGTCGGTCCGATTCCGACACACCACCCCGCCGCAAACCGCGGTGGGGTGACGGGCCGAAAGGGTTTCCACACGTAAAAAAAAGGGTTTGAAATTCGACGCTGTGGCAGCGCCGTACGCAAGGTTTCCTTGGAGAATAGCACTGCAGACACTCGGTGCCAAGGGAATGGGAGCTAACAAACTCTTTCTTAACGGTATAAAATTTACTATAAAAAAAAATAGTTTTAAAAAACTAAATAATACGCGTCCATACAAAACCAAACTAAAAAATAGAAAATAAATTTGATAAAAAGGGTGCCTGTTGTCAATAGTAAAAAGCACCCCACTATATTTTTTTTTAATTTTTTTTTAATTAGTGTATTGTCATCGGTCCTCGATATATCTACAAAGTTTTAACTAATTCTGACCGTTTAAAGTCAGTCAAGATCACGCCCAAAGGAAACGGTTACAAACATACAAACAAACATTCAAGTGAAGCTAATATAAAGCGTGTAAAAATACTGCACTTTAATATCCAATAATTTCACCCAAGATATAAGGAATAACATATGACGTAACTATTGTTATCATTATCAGTTACCCAGCTTAAAACGCTATAATTTATCTCGAGTGGACGAGATAAAACAAGTTTTGGTTATTGTTAACAGTATTCCTTCTATATTTTGAGGATGCTGCTTTGAGTAGCTTACTCTCGCGTAGATAGAGTGATACAATGTTTCAAAGCGAATCAGAAATATAAGCCTTAGATTTAAGAAATGTCAAAATATATGTATTAATACGTTAAGAGTTTGAACGCATTTTTAGGCAAATTTTGCAGACGAGGGCAGAAAACTAAAATATTTTAAATAATAATATGTGTGTACGCCAAACTGCATGCGTCCAGTATATACAAAATGGCATAGCATGGTGCGCAATGACTATTCAAGTTATGATGGCCACAAACTGTTAAACTGACTAAACTTATGTTTGAAATACAGCCACTACTCTCACGATCTCTGGTTAAAACTATTATATATTTAATGGTGTGCGTTATCCATTCACCATCGGCTTCCATCCGAAGCCAATTCAGAATGTAAGACAAAGACAGAAATATGTACCTATTTGTTCTTTACGTATTACAAGACACAATCATTTCTTTGACGTAAACGATAAATAAATAATATAAATAAAACAAAAGAAACCTAAATATTGCAGAATAAAGTTTACCTATACTAATATTATAGAGTTGAAGAGTTTGTTTAATCTAAGGATTTACTGCTTCGAATTAAAAATATATTTTAGTGTCGGATAGGCTGTTTAATCGAGGAAGGCTAAAAGGCTAAGGCCAACCAATAGACGCCGAGCTTCGATGAAAAATTTGCCAAAATGGGGAAAATTAAATTGCTTTTGAGGGACGCAGGTGAAATTTCGTGGTTCAGTTAGTTTTGGTCATAAACTGATAATTTCAAAACACTGTCTGAATGAAGTGCGGATTACGAAACATGCGTTTTTAAACCAAACAAAGTATAATGAGGAATATGTTATGCTCTGTTAATTATTTAGACGGCCTTGTCTTTCGGAGTTCTCTACAAATAAAAATGAACTGCCATTCAAAATGTGGGTACACTACTGATGCTACTTAAGAAAAGAGAAATATTATATTAACTCACATAACGTATCATTTTCTGCTAGACCAATATAACTGTTAATTCATAAATAAAAACCTAAAACTGTCACGATCTTAATCATAACCTATTTGAACCAGGACGTCCACTACTGGACATAGGCATCCCTCAATGACTTTCGGGAAATCCTTTTGGAAGCGGATTCCGTCGTCAGGCTTCGATCTTTATAACGTCATGTTACTGGACGCCCTGTACTGCAAAGGAAAGTTCTAAAATCCTTTTCAGAACCATTCTTAGAGGCCACTGCCCGGAAGCAGTATTCTAGGACTACCTTCATACATATAGGTTTTTCTTTGTCGCCTATTAGTCAAAGAGAATAGAGTCGACTGTTACTTTAGTGATTTCACGATTTCTTGAATTACTGATAGAAGAAGCTCTGATAGACCTGAAGTTTGAGTAGAAGTCCAGAACTTTAGACAGGTAGAGAGACAGATGATGAAGTTTATTGTGAGAATCGTAGGTTTTGCTCTCTATTCTAGTGTTTGTAGTTTTGTTATAGTAAGAAGTTGATGTTATAGAATAAAGAGTGCATGAAACTTCAACAATTGCAATTTTTCAAATGGATAGGGCATGTAAAACATTGTTATATTTTTATTACGTGCGATATCGGTAATATTGAAAAATAAATTGTATAACTGTGTACGATAAACATTATCTTTAACAAAGCATATGTTGTTGCTATCTGACAATAAATTATTCAGCCGTATAACCATTAAACCAGCAAATATATGTACATTATGGTAACGCTTATCTATCGCAGTAAGGACCATGTCAAAATGCGTTTGTACTACTCTGTCAAGAAAGTAGCGGGCAAAGATCAATAAGACACAAAATGTTTGTTATTCATCCAAATTTATTTTATCACCTTCAAAGTATGCTCCTTTAGAAACGATACACTTACGCCAACAAATAATTCAATCATCAAAACATTTTTTAAACGCTGTTTCCGGAATTGAGTTCAGTTCTCGCCGCGAATTCTCCTTTATGTCTTCTACCGATTGAAAACGCGTGTTCCCCAGGGTATTCCTTATTTACCGTTTGACCTTCCGACAAAAATGCCGAGTGCACAACACCGCAATAGTCAAAGAAAACAGTCAACATGACTTTTGATAGACTTTGGCGTGGCTTTTTCGGTTTCGGTTCAGTTGGAAGGCGCCACTCCGAAGCTTGTTGAAACCCGTAAACCCACGTCTCGTCACCAGTAACAATGCGTTTATGAATGTTGGCTCGGAATTGACTCGTTCTAGCATGCGACTCTCATGCGATTGAGTTTTTGGAGAAAATTCAGGTATTTTGGGTCTAGCCGAGCGGTAACATGTTTCATACCCAAATAATTAGTTAAAATGGTACGGATCTCTCTCGTGAGATACAGAAAGTTCGGCGGCTATCTCTCTGAAAGCTGAATGAGGATTTTCAGTCACTATTTCCTTCCCTTTTGCGATGTTAACTTCAGTTGCAGACGTTGATGGCCTACCAGAGCGAGGCAAATCTTCCATCACATCTCGACCGCTTTTGAACTTTCACCGTAAGCCTTCTGTCACATTTTCAGTGACTCCGAACACGAAATTCCATTGGCGATGCAAAATTTAAGGCAAACTCTTTGTTCGATGTTTTTGTCCATTATGAAATTCGTAATATACACTAGATATAACTAACTGTACACCTCGTAATATAGGTATTACGAGGGGTACAGGATCTGCCTTCTGATTTTCTTTCTAATAAAAATTTAAAAATATATTAGTATAAGAACAGGTTTACGGTCGACTCTTTCATTTCTATTTAAACATTGGTTTAATTGAAATAAATGACGAGATTTAATTTGATAAAAATGAACTTTGTACTCGTAATTTCGAATATGTACAGTTACAGATTTCATTGCAATTAATTTTACGTAATTGACCAACACCCAAAGCTATATGTAGTATGTAATGTAATGAATAAGCAATTACAATTCCAAAAAAAATATTTACTATTTCAGATAAAGAAACTGACGGACTTAGGTCTGATGGGAGCATGCGTGTCTGAAAAAAATGGCGGACTTGGCTTGGATTACCTTTCCTTAGCTATTGCTGTCGAGGAGATTTCTCGGGGCTGTGCCAGCACCGGCATGATACTGTCCATACACAACTTTTTATACGTCAACCTGGTAAATGAGAGAGGGACACCGGAGCAGAAGAAGCTGTTTTTAAATGACTTTATACGAGGTTCTATCGGATGCTTCGCTTTAAGTGAACCAGGTATAATATTTACATACTTAGGGCATACTGAAAGTTTCTGGATTCTGATAAATACGACTAGATATAAGACGTGCGATACATTTATTGTTTTACAAAGTATATTTCCTCGCAATTAATGCATTTTTGCATTCGCTGAAACCACTGTACAAAGCATTTGTCTTAAATTACTGTAAAAGTTAAGTCATGCGGTATCCAAGCAAAGCTTCCGAACCTTCAGATGCACATGTAAAATGTTTTGCAATTGGCTCATTCCAATACCTAACAAAGCACGTATTTGCGGACAAGTAACTTTTTTCTCAGTTTCAATAAGTTGTCGTGCGGTCTCAATATTAGAGTCTCTAACTGCAGCCGCCGCCCGACCTTCACGTACCTCGTCATGGCGATGATCACGTCCACGTCTAAATTCTCCAAAACACGAATACACAGAGCTGCGATATGGTACTTCATCAACAAATGCCAATTGAATTCTCTTGCAACTCTCTTGTTGGCTTAAGCCAATGGTTTTTCCTATCACAAAAAATACATTATTTTGTTTGTTGTTCAACACTGTCCATCGCGATTAAAGAAGTTTTCACTTCAAAAATCTGTGAATGAATTTTCAGTTGGCCAATTCGCCCACTAAGATTTTGTATTCAAAGTTGTAGCTTTAGGGGTTATTTCCAGGTGCTGGCACAGATGTGGCTAGTATCAGGACTAGGGCGATACTGGATGGCGATCACTGGCTACTCAACGGTAAAAAAAGTTGGGTCACTTCCGCTGTTGAAGGTTCCGCCATCGCAGTTTTCGCAACCATTGATCCCGATCTTAAACACAAAGGAATAGCATGTAAGTATATTTTTCGATTTAATAAAATTAAATATGGTATAATATAATAAGATGAAATGAGAAACGTGACCCCAGACGGGTACGTGACTTTTCTGGGCCTCAATTCTGCTATTTTATGTTCACGCCAAACCACTGTCATACCACTGACACGCTATTGAGATGCCATCGACTGGCCATTTTAGCAGAATTGAGGCCCTGGCTTTTCGACGGACTGTGCGGTCCATAAAAATCGTAATAATAAAACACTTATACACGTAGTCTTCACGTAGTCTTATTATTACAATTTCTGCGGTGCAGTCACATTCTTACTCTAGCTACCTCGACCTAAACAATATTTTTATATATCTACACAACATATTGAAAACATGTATACATTTAAATCCATACTTTATAAAAAATCGGTTGTCTGTAAAGTCGGTTTACTGACGATAGTTGAACGTGACAACGTCATAAGAAAATACTGATGGAATGGTTGCATTTTTCAAAATGTATAATTGTATACGAGTAGCAGCTGTCCACGCGGACGCATCGCTCACTCAAGTAGGAGAAAGACAGATATCGAACGCTGCCGAACGCGGAGGCCGATTGTGCCTCTTTGTCGCTCGTTCCGCGCTCTCGCTTGCACTTCACGCCTTAAATAGAACGCCTCAGAGCGAGGTAACGCCGCATGAGTCATGTTTTTTCGTGCGTGCAGCCGGCTCCATCGAATTATAAGACGTTGTCACGTCAATAAATGTGAAAGTGAGTTTATTTGTTACGATTTCACTCCTAAAGCACTAAACCGATTTTAAACATTCTTTCAGCAACGGAAAGCTACATTATCAGCGAGTTACATAGGTTTCTTTTTACAAAAGTTAGTTGCCTGCACGGATGGCGTAGTGGTTTAAGCGGTCGCCACGCCGCTTCCTACTGCGCTGAGTGTTATGGGTTCGATCCCCACATGGGACACCATTTTGTGTGATCCACACATTGTTGTTCTGAGTCTGAGTGTTCTCTGTGTCCGTTTAATGTATGTTTGTTTTTTGTAAAGTCCCCCGCGACATAGAATATATTTCTCATACGGGAGTTGGCTTTAAAAAAAAAAGAATCTGAAATAATTGATATTCGGCAAATATCACTGTTTATGAACATACATATTATATTATGAAGTAAATTCAATATTTCCAGGTTTCCTTGTACCCATTGAGACCGACGGCTTGTTTAAAGGAAACAAAGAGAGAATTATGAGTGTAAGGTATGTTGTTGATATATATTGATATTTTACATTAACACTGCATGCATTCTTGTTATATTGAGTCGATTGTGACGGGCCTAAATCACGTAATACTTAATAGGCTTTAATATACTTAAATAAGGTAGTAATGGTAGTATAAGTATTAGGGAGGTGGAGGGAAGAATATTAATAAAAGGATGACTTAAATAACTTTGGTTGTGGGCAGTAATAGACACGAATTGCTCTCATAAAGGGGCACAACCTAATAATTCTTTAAATAAGCAGGCTTGTTGGTCTAGTGGTTAGTGACCCTGACTGCTAAGCCGGAGGTCGTAGGTTTGATTCCCACCCAGGTCAAATTATTGTGTGATAAGCACGATCATTTATTCTGTATATGGGTGTAATTTATCTATAATATCTATGTATTTCGAACTATATAGGTATGTATATTTCCCATGTATGTTGTCGTTTTCACATCACTATTTTATATAAAAATTTATTTTTTGTTTTAAACGTCACTACAATTTGGATGGCATTAAAACAAATGCCCAGTATGAATTAACGTAGTAGTAATTCAAATATACATTAATACGTGTAGTATTAGTTCACAGAATTCGATTCTTTTTAAATCGTTTACAACATCCTGACATGGCAAAAGTTCAAACACATTTGTAAAACATAATTTATTCAGGACAGTAATTTATAGATTTGGCATGGGTATTGTTATTAGAAAAAGACACGTTAGTTGTTTAGTAATCCCTTTTTAAAAACCAACACCAAAAAAAAATTTAGCGTAGGTACACTATTCAATGAAAATGGCAAAGAAAATTATTCACCAAACAAAAGGAGCTTATAAAATAGAAGTGAAGCTATTCTCCCAGGGCCGTGACGTCTTGCCCCGTGACCTTGGAAGATGTGCGGATCCCGAAGAGCTACATGGTAGGCGAGGAGGGGACTGGCTTCAAAATCGCCATGGAACAGTTAGACCAAGGTCGGATTGGTATTGCCGCGCACGCCGTTGGTAAGACATTGTTTTACTTCTTAAATAAAAATAATAATATGTATATATTTACTTTATATGGACATAACACTTCAATGTGCCTGATTTGTAATAAACTGTATTCTTCATTTCTTAATTTTCCACCTCTAGCGGTAGTATTAATGCTACAAATTTGAATGAGACCGAACTCAATGTATATCCTTTTAGACAAAGAAAGTTTATTCAAAGTAGGTTAACATAACAAAATATAACCGAATTAACAACTTCTTTATTTAAAGTCGATTGAAAAGGACGATAGATTAAGTTTTTCGAAAGTCGTTCTTTACTTAAGCCTTTAATTTTTAAAACAAGTTTAAGATTGAAATATATTCATTATAATGCATATTTTTTATATTTGAACATATTATTTTTATAAACGTCTGTACAACCAGAAATATCAGAGAGAACGCAGATGAGCATAGACAATTTTTTTTTAAATTATGGCATACCAAGTCAAAATTGCTTTCGATCTATGACTTTTTTGAGGGATCTAGAATCAATACATCAGTTTTTTTTATCTTGTTGACAAAATTATTGATGTTATACAGGTATCGCTCAGTCCGCTCTTGACACTGCAATTAACTACGCTAAAGAAAGAGTTGCTTTTGGCAAATCGCTTACGAGACTACCATCTGTTAAGGTACGTTTTAATGTTTTTTTTTATTTGGCAAATGATACACATATTTTTGGTGACTCAATTATTAGGTAACACTTGCCATTTTTGTTTTGTTTTTGTAGTTTTGAAAGGTGTTTCCAAAGAGTACCGAAAAACTAGAATCTATTTTTTATTTTACACTTACCTGAAAAAGAAAACTAAACAAAGGCGCATAATTATGTTTTGCCAGGATCGCTTGACAGATATGTGCATCTTAGTGGAGACAGCGCGCCTGGCGACGTACCGCGCGGCGACAGACGTCAGCACCAAGAACAGCGCCATGGCCAAATACATCGCCGGCAGGAACGCTGCCGCCGTCGCAGACCACTGCGTGCAAATACTTGGCGGACGGGGACTATCAACTAATTATGACGCCGAAAGACATTACAGGTCATTTTGTTTACATTATTTCTACTTGTGTTGCTAAATGTTCCATGTCCCCGTACTACCCGTCCATTCCTGTGTTGGTTTCTTCACTCGGGAGAGTAATTAAGGCATGCGGGTGATTAACCCACTGTGCCCAAGACACCTCATACTGGACACGCGGGAGCGTGCTACATCAGGTCCCAGTGTGGACGACCAGGACGTGGATGCCGAGAACTTGCCGGAGTTCTGCTAGACTGGTGTGCCACCACTTAACATAGCAGATGATATACGAATTATAACCTGGTGTCATAAATAAAAAAAAAAGATGATTTCTAGGTATTTTATAGATAATGCCAAACTTAATACGTCAGCGATACCCACCGAGATCGACTTAACATGTGTTAACGATAACTAAAGTTGTTTTCCTATAAGCAGACGGGATGTTGGTTCTGGTTCTCCACCTATTAGTACCCGAGACGGCGTGCGGTTTTACTGGGTTCGAGTCCGAGATGCCACCGATAGGTGGTATCCGAGAGGATTTCCGCACGGAAAAAAAAAGGGTCGGTAGTTGCCCAGCAAATTGGTTCTAAGTTTTTAACAGAGATCTTTCGTGTCATCAAATACTTACAATATGAGGGTAGTTTCTTATTTTTAAATAAACTTAATCAACAGTAAAAAGTGTTTTATAGGACTTCCTAACATTTTAAAATGAATTGTTAGCATTTATATTTCTATTTATTGTTAATAAGTAATAAAAAATATTAAATATTCACTTTTAAAACTACTTTTGATATGTACAGATACATATTACACATCTAATAATTATGTATTATCGCTAAAGTATAACAACAGTTACTGATATTCTTCTGTCACTCCTCAGGGATGCAAGAGGCACTCAAATCTATGGCGGTGTGACAGATATTCAGAAGCGTCTAGTCGGCCACTACCTGCTGCGGGAGCACGACGCTCTGTGACTATCGCTGCCTGTCACCAAGCTGCTCTAGTCCTGCCCATCGGCATCAAAAATCTAAGGGTAGCAAGCCCCCATATTTATTAATAGAACGACTTGTTTTTAAATATTTATTTCGTTGTTCGATTGTTATTCGATTCGTTGTAAAAAATATATAATTTTGACTTAATGCCAGGCAGATTTCGTGCTCACATTGTTAATTAACTGAATGTAATGTATATTTTTGTTTACATATATGTTATCAGTCCGTTTTATTTATTGATACGTTTTGTCTTAAATCGATTTTAAATCTTTCTCGATTCTCTCGGGTTGACAAGCCAAAATTGTGAATTTATCTAAAACAAGTACGATCTAACTATCTCATGGTTAGATTTTATTTATTTAGTTTAGAGACGCAAAGTTTGACACATTTGAAGGGGACTTTAAAAATTAAACAATTTCTTGTTATCTTGAGCAGTTAGGGATTATACACAACTGAAATAATTTTTAATGTATTGTTTTATACATGTATGTACTTTCTTTAATAGTTGTAAGTATATGCACGTTGTACTAAGTGAGAAGGAATAAAATAAATGTACTGGGCATTATTCATACCTAAGCGTTTGTGGTCGACGGCGCAGTGGCCCGCAGTTTTCCTGACATACCATTTTGAGCTTTATCTCTAGAAGCATAGTATCGTTTCAATGACGCAAGAGTGCTGCTGTGCCTACCTGTAAGTGGCGTGATGCTTAGCTACAAAATTTATACATTTTAATAGTGTATTCGCCGTTGGTGGCCTAATAAATAAATAAAGAGATACTCAACCGCTGCTATGCGTGTTCTAATAATTATAGCAACGTCTAAATCGTATAAAAATGTTTTTTTTTTAAATCGCTTTCTTGAATGCTCCGAATTGCCTTCAATTTATAATATAACAAAGAGGTGACTCGATCCTGGAACAGAAGGAAACTGCTTCTGTAACTGCGGTGAATTAATCCGGCTTTTTGGAAACGTCACAAACAGTTTCCAAGGTTACCACTCTTTACATTTATAATCCCTACCCTTTCACATATGCGTATGTAATTCTAATTTCTTATTACCAACCGTATGTTATTTTTATTCTCTCTATTAAACGTTTCATTTACTATTTGCGATTTATAATTTTCCGACAACTTCATTCTTATCTGAATATTTGCCTATCTGTCTAACTTAATTAAACATTCCTTAACGTTACCGAAAAACAGAGAGTAAGGTCTATTTGTAGATATTTTTTATTCAAACGAATTTTTTTTCGTAGCTCTTATGTTTTATTCTTTCTCAAATACATATTATCGGTTATATTACAATTTCACTTTGTTACTTTAAAAAAAATCTAAAACTTGCTAAACAACCATTAAATATAACTGTGTGTGTGTATGTCTGAACCGTTTTTGTCAGACACATCGTAGACTATAGAAGTTATTAATATGTTTTAACAAAACTTACAATTGTTTCTTATATCTTTTTCAGACAGGTCAAGTTATGAACCTTATAATAAAAACTTCACATATTCACCGTAAGACGACATTGTTTTTACTATATAAAATACTTTTTATGTACACTAAAGCATAGACAATTAAATTCTAGAACAATGCATTTATGTACTTACAAAGTTATAAATTAATAATCATATTTATGGCATTCTCAGTATTGAGTGAGACTGAATGTAACTAGTCGTTCAGAGAAGCTAGTCCTTAAAGCATATCTGAATACACTTAATCTTGCATAGGTGTATTACTACCTAATTTTGAATTCAGAAGAGTGTAATTAATGTTTGGAGAATGGTACTTTTTGACATTCCATTTTGACATTTTGGACAAAGTTTATACAAAAAAAGAAACAATATTTGAAACCAATTAATAAACCTAGTAAAATTTATGGATAATGGAATCCAAGAATATTAAATCATAAAAACAACCGAGGAATTAGTGCTAGGGATGTTGCCAAGAGGTAGTATCCTGTATATTAGGTAATACTAGGTATATCTGATATTACTATGAACAGTAACACTGTTCATTAAATTCCATAATATTAATGTAAAAAATAAAAATGTAATTCTTACAAATACCTTCTAGAACAAAGTTATATTTGAGATGTGCAGTGTTGAGCAGTTTGTAAGACAATAAAGAAAAATATGCATATTATATAGTTAAAATCAAGTAAATACAAGTAGATAAAAAATAGTAACTTGAGGCACCTTACACTCGGCCTTCCGATCCTAAACTGGGTGGAGCGTATTATGGTCTTATAAATAATTTTTTACAGATACATTACACGCAGACAAGCAACTACTTGTTGCGAGCACAGAATAGCCTATAATTTGTATTCTCTAAATCAAAATAAAAGGTAATGCAAACGTTACGACATTAAGACCTAATTTCATAACTTTATAAAATATATATTTGATTTCATAATTTAATGAGAAAATTTCATAACAATGTCAAAAAAGAAACATGTAATTTCTGATATTTTTTAATTGCACGCATTTCGCCATACTTGACATACGTATTCAGTAAATAGAAAATTACGTATTGCACATCGCACTTATCAGTTTGCATCTACGCACGTAGCATGTTATAATGTGGACAATAAAATTGATTTTAACTCATGTAATGTTATCGTGTCATTTAACTTTTAAGTTTCTTGAATAGTTTTAAAAATGTTAGATTTTATATTTGTAGTAATTTACTATACAAATGTGTTTCAATTAAGTGATATTGCTCCTAATGACTTCCGATCAACATTTTTGTTGATATCTTCTGTCTCAAACAGGTTTACAACTCACACGTTAGTATGGGAATATTTCAAACGAATAGATAAGCGTAGATACATATGCAGTAACTTGTAATATTAAGAATGCCTAATTTTGTTATACTTTATTGAGAATGTTATATTTTATTAAAAATATTTTTTAATATGGATATTTTTTTTTTTATTAGTACTTTACCTGGAGAAACAGTGCCCAAATATTAAATGAAGACGAGGAGACGAGCAGGAGATTCTTTACAGACTTACCATGACCTTAAACCTCTGTCCTGCTCTATTGTTCTTTAGAGGAAAATAAGAAAATTTGCAATTATTCAAGTAAAATTCTTATATACTTATCGCGTCTTTCTTGACACATTACACCGTAGCCATTGTTTATTATTGTAGAATCTAGAATAATCAAAGTGACTTGTATAAATGCATTACTAATTTAAAATAAAGTTTTATTTATTAGAAACGGTTACTATATTCAGTAATCGACATGCGTATTTTGTGATTTTCGGTCATTCTTTTTAATAAATAATAATAATAACTTGACACAAGGCAGTCTGATCCTAAACTAAGCAGAGCCTATACTGTGGTAACCAGACTGCTGATAAACATACTTAAATAGTTATAAATACAAACATATTTTAGATAAATTCAAAAACCAGTCAGAACAAATGATCGACTTCATCACACAATATTTGTCCTAGGTTTGAATCGAACCCACGACCTCCGGCTTAGCAGACAGGGTCCTAAGCACTAGACCAACAGACCCGTCATAATATTTCTCTACATCGACTAGTAAACAATGTTTGTTGTCAAGTCAAGGGCCAAGAGTGAGTTTATTTCACATCAACTAGCTCGTCACGGTCTCAACTGAAATCTCCACCAATCACAACGCTAAACGCGTTCGCCGTCGAGAGCGAGTAGATGTAAATTAAACTCACACTTAGGCCTCTGGTCTCAGTGATTTTAAGATAGGAAAGTATAGTGCCTTTTGTATTTCAGTTTATAATTCTCTATTAAACAGCAGACTATGAGAGGCTGTTCTTTTTACAACTTAAATATGTTGTGGTTCTGTTTTGAGGTGCGGTACTGTTAACGTATGCGACGAGAGTGCAACTCTTAAATCTTTCAGGTTAATATTGGGTTGATAATATAAATGAATGTAAGTAAAAGAAAAAAAATATTGGTGTATAATTGGTTTGACACAAACAGGTTTGACACGTCATTTTCAACCTTTAACAAATTTGTGGTTTCAAAACTGAGTTGTCAAGTTTAAAAGTTAGTGTGTAGGATTTCAATTATAGTCTAATATGCTAAGCAAATGCCTACCCGAGATTTACTTAGTAGTGTTCTAGAGATTGGAAGGCACTTACTTAGTAGCAAGTGATACAGTAGTATCATTGTATCAAAGGAACCACATTAAAAGATAGTTACATTTTCAAAATACCGGTATCAATGTTACATTCACTGTAGTTCACGAATACAGTGAAAGAGAAAACTACCATACGGTGTCAGTTATTTTATGCGATCTGTTGGCGCGGGCTGTAGTCGATGTGTCTCGCGTTACTGCCTACGTCTCACATTATTCTATTACATGGCTATTAACTAGATAGGTACATCGTTACGTGACTTGGCTCTAGTATTTCATTTTTATCACTAGTCACGGTATTTTACTTTGTCCTAAAGTTGGTTAAACTCTGTGAGCGTGATGTAGTGTTGCTGTGTTTTAAAATGTGTAAGGTGGCCGTTGTCTTTGTAAATACGTGACGTCATTGTTGATAGTGAGTGCTGTATTTGGAGATTTAAGGATAACTTTTGTTTGGTGACTTAATTTGTTTAAATAAAAATAAGATTTATTGTACGATTCCGGATCGATGGTATAAGTTCCGCGATAAAACAAATTATAACTAACATTTTAGATTTGGTTTTTGTATCGCTTTAGCTCAATCAAGTTTAAGTGTTTAAAAAAGTCTTTTTTTTAATAATGCCAAATGCCAACGTTCCAAATGATTAGACTTAGTACAAATACCTACATCAATAGATATATTAAAAGAAAAAAAAGATATTGAGAGTTGAAGCATTATGATCTAATGTTTGACTGATGATAAAATATTACAGGATTAGTCTTCACTATATAACAATTATAGGTACCTACATAATTTTATTATCCAGACAGAAATATGTTTTTAGTCTATGCATATGCTTGCAAGTACGTCGACTTTTCTAGAAACACTGAACCCATGCATCTTAACATACCTACTTAATTTCTTAATAGATTAATATCTTAGTCGAATGCCTACTAAACATGATTGGTCGTTAATCTCTTCAAGAAAACCAATTCATGTAATGTTATGTACGATTAGGGTACTTAGTTAGTTTTTTTATACTCATTTGGTAGTAAATAAGAATCAGAGAGTCGGAGACAGTAGTCTGCTACTGTAACATAAAGACGCTTGTTACGTCACACCTCTTTCTAGGGTATACCTGGTTCCCCGGCTATTGGTACCCGAGACGGCGTGCGGTTTTAATCGGTTCGAGTCCGACATGCCACCGATAGGTGGTATCCGAGGGGATTTCCGCACGGGAAAAAAAAGGGGTGTCACACCTGCCTATCCTCATGTTTTATGCTCTTTGAGGAAGCTACGGAGCCAATGCTGTTCTATAAACTGCCATGGCAGGAAGGTTATTTAATTTCAATTAAGGTTCGCTTTTTGCTGTTTATTTACTTACTATTATGGAAAATATGTAGAAAACTATCTGTCAACTTCTTGAGTATATTTAGTAATCCTTAACTATGCATCTTTTTATTGCTCTATCTATTGCATTTTTTATTCTTTGACTGAGCTGACAAGAATTATAGGTACATAGTTCCGGGAGTGCCGACAGAAGTGAAAACTTGTTTTTTTTCGATAATAACAGTTTTTTTTTGTTTTATCTATGTTGTACGTATATACACAAAATATGTTTATAATATATGTTATATTATCATATGTTATATTATCAATGTATTTCAACCCAAACTCAACTCTCGTGTAAACGGGGCCAATATGTACTGTAGATACTTATATACAGAGGTGTCGGTAACGGTAACGGCACCGCGAGTTCAATGGTGTTTTCCAAAAAATACATTCTTTTGTTTGTTGTCCAGGAATGCCCAACGCGCCTAAAGAAGTTTTCACTTCAAAAACAGTTGCCATAGCCCAAATTTACCAACTATCAACGGCGTGGGCCACTTGGCGTATCACGTAGTTAATACGGATACGGATGGCTCCTAAGGTTTATTAAGATCTCACGATGTTTTTGAGTTGTAGTCGTGTGCCAAATTTATCCAAACCAATTCAAGTATGCTCTACAGGTGAATTCAAATTTGTGTAAGTGTATTAAATTACATGATGATTTTTAAATGCCCTATTTTACAATACATTTTAGTGAAAGAAGTATTTTTAATTTTTTACTCGTGTTTTAATTCTTACTTGATATACTTAAGTGAAAGAAACGAAAGTGATATAAAAAACACCTACTCCGAATTAGGCACGCGCCTTTATACCTATATTTTTAACCATTGCAAAGAAAATACGTTGACAGATGTGTATAGGCACGGATCTTATTATTCCAGGTAATTATGTGAATTGATAGAATTACGCGAAGTAATTCACAATATAGATGAAAAAACTGTATTAACTACTGTTTATCATACCTTACTATCAAAATCTGTGAATCACTTTCGAGTTAATTTACGTGTGTGCGTCATTTTCAGCAACGTACAATATGTACACACACAGCAAACCCCGATAAGAGAGCGATAGGGTAACTTTATCATTCCACCGCGATTGCCGAGCCGAACGCAGATAGGCTGGTGTCATCGCTGATAGAAAAAAAAAATGCGCGCCCTTTATCATTTGACTTTTCTATTTTTTTTTATTGCTAATGGCAGTAGCCAAGACGTTTACGAGGACATAATATACGAAAAAGTTTATAAATTAATAAAGTTATGTGACGAATGTACGTGCAGTGAAATTCCTGATATTGACGGGACTCATATAGTGTTGTACATTCAGTGCTCGGAATTTGACAGAATAGAAAATGTATCAGACTTGGACAAGATCAGCTGGCCTCCTAATCCAAACGGGTTGAAGATATCCGCGACCTTCGATGGGTTAGGACTTTCTACGCTTGGAAAGTAAGTAGCCAGTTTATATAGAACACTAATCCTTCATTTAATGATACTAACATTTTTTTAAAATTAAACTACTATAATTCCTATTGTTTTTATAAACATCATACATATTATGACACACCCATTTATAATCAAAGCGTGAGTATTGCATGTCTGTAGATTAAAACTAAAATACATTAAAGGTGTTCTCTTATCTTGTTCAAAACACATAACAATTTTGAAACACTACAAATACAAATCTATATTCTTGCGAGGTTTACAATGTACAGTAGGTACATTATAGATAGTAATTATAAAAAAGCAAAACAACATTTTTTTTATATTTAATCTCATCATTAGTCATTTGGTAATCTGTTTTATTTTTTTTGTTAGTTTTCTTGCTAGCAGTTTATTAAACAAGTTCAATGTGTTTAAATAGAATTAAGTTTGACCCTTTCTTCTCTTCTTGTTCCTAAATCGATTAAAACTTATTATTTAAAAAAATCCCTAGGTTATTTTCAATTAAAAATTGGCAACGTGATTAACTACTTTATCAAAATGCCAGAAAAAACATGAATAAACAGATTATTGGTATTGTGTGTAAAGAATTACTAATGTGTCTAAAAATACGCGTACTCAAAATCTACTAATACACGTATGCAACGCTAAACAAAAAAAAATACGCGTTATTTATTGACATAGGCTGCTAAGGTAGTAAGTAAATAGGTGCAGAATGCTCTTAAATGTCACTATCAAAACGTGAAAATTCTGATAACGATGTGTTTAATGTAGTCACCTCGCCATGACAGATTTGTTTACCATAATATGAAAATAACGTACCTATATGGAGTCTGCTTAAATGCTTTTGCATACAAAAATATACAAAAACTTTCGAGTGCCGAACGAACACATGAACAGAGAATTAACAGTTAACAATTCTAGTACCTAGTGGTGTGCTGTCCTCTTCGCCCTCTTAAGTTTAGCAAGCACTAATGATACGCATAGATGAGACAATAAATATACAAACTGTTAATTCAATGTCGTGTAAAATTGTAAAAGGCGGCAATCTTTATTGGTCTGCCTGATGCAAACTTTCTTTTTTTCATGGTATGGTTTTAAGACGATACAGAAAAGAAGATATCTAGAATAAGAAATACCGCAAGTCTTGAAATGGAAATGGGATTGAGATTGCAGTAGCTACAGATGCGTAAATATATCATGAAATAACATACATCACATCAACAGCCTTTTATAGTCCACTGCTGGACATAGGCCTCTTCTTAGAAAGGAGGTTTTGGCCTAATATACAACGCTGGCCAGACGGGTTATTATAGGGTTTGTGTCAAGTTTTCCTTCTTTTTACAGTGCTGTTGTCCTGCGTAGTTTTCTCCCTGAGTCGGCTCTTACGATACCCATGGGATAAATAGGGGTGGTGATATTTCGTATTCTTAATCCGTCACTACACGAAATACATGCACCTACATAATAATATGACAATATACATACATACGTAAACATATCTCTATGAATACTTATACAAATGTATGTGTTACAATAAAATAAAACACTTAAAAATACTAAGGTAAATAAGTATGTTTATCAGCAGTCTGTTTACCATAGTACAGGCTCTGCCTAGTTTGGGCTCAGACTGCCGTGTGAGAGATGTGTGTAGTTACGTCAAGCATCTGAAGTACACCTGGCATTCCAGAAAACTTTTTTAAATTGTGACAACACCTTCGTCCACATTTAAAATGTACATAATATTACTTTGCGTGTAATATTAAATATTTAAAATGTATATATGTTACTTTACATGCATACATACTATATTATTGTTTTTTTTTTATTTAAACCCAGTTTTTAACCAACCTCCGGTCGTGCAGTTCAGTTTCCAATGTTTCATATTCAGTCACCTTGACAGCTTATCTCTTCATATAATTATAACAAGGTATTTTACACGACATTTTTAAGGGCATTGAAAGTTTGTTTACCCACAGTATCATCGTAATCTTTGTTTGTTCGAGCTCTCGTAGGGAAAACCATTACTTACGTTGTAGTGTTTCAATGAAATATGTTAAGGTATTTTAGAACTTTTGGTTTTAAACCATAAAACTGTTGTCTTATTATAGTATATATTATATATTATAGTCTCTATGAAGAGAATCACTCATCGGTTTTGAGTTTAAAAATCTGTTTAGAACAAAACCTTTCTTTAACGAAAACGGCCTTCTATATGAGTTTACGACGTGTACGTCTTATAAATTATATAATAATAATAAATTATATAAAATAATTATTATTCTGAATTAATGGCGTTACTTTCTTAAAGTTAAACACAAATAATATCATCTTTCCAGAAGGTTAGATTCCAACAACAGGATCTTTCAAAAGTCCATTGCGCATTGTTTGCTTGAACAAATGATTCAAATCTTGTTTCAAACGCGATAATACCAACAGGGTATGATTATATTTATTAAAGTATTTGAAAAAATCTGTGAATTTACAGTCAACCTATTTAATTGGCGTTCGAAACAAATATTACAATATAATGCGCCTGAAGGGTTTTCAATGTCTCAAAAAGTTTTTAAATAGCGGTTCACAAGATTTAAAAATGGTCCAAGAATCTCTGTTTATCATGGGTTTCTTGTTTTAATTCCACAATCCTGCTGTCGATAACCACATAGTAGACAACAATACGAATATAAATAGACAGTTTAAGTTAGTTTTTTTTTTCACACAGCGCCATCTAGTCCCAAATTAAGCAGAGCTTGTACTATGGGCACTAGACAATTGATATAAATACATATATACTTTCTTTTTTGTAAATACATACATATTATACATATAAACACCCAGACCAAATCAAACATTACCTAAATGTTCATGCACACAAATGTTTGACTTGAGCGGGAATAGAACCCGCTACCTTTGGAATAGCCGTCCGTTACACAAACCACTACGCTATCTGGTCGTCAACCTAACATAGTTTAAGAAGGAAGCTCATAAGGTTTTCACTGTTTATTGTTAACAATTTGAACAATGTTCGAATCTTACTCATCCTCTATGCACACAATGATTTCACAATTTCCAACTAAATACGGATCCTTATCGATACCATTGCATTATTGACCATTCTTCAGCAGTAAACGATATCTTGCGATAACGCTCATTATTGTGATTCATATTAGCTAAGAGGCCTTATCGACTGTCCTGTAAGAGTATTATGAACACGATTATTATTTTATTTATATTTTTATTAGACTTGCAACGAATAGTATATTCGGCAGTATACCGAATACCGAATATTCGGCGAGGCCCCTGACCGAATAGCCGAATATTAGGCAAAAGTATTCGGCTGGATTTTAGCGCCAAAAACTTGTACAGACGTGAATTAAATTATGTACCTGTTTTATGTACCAATGACTAATTATATGAATGATTATAAAAGAAATAAGAACCTTACCCTTCTAAATTTTGATTACCACAATAATTCAAATACATAAAATCCTCCATTTTTCCAATTCAGAAGATGATTATGTACCTGTGTTATGCACCAATGACTACTTAAATGATTATCACAGAAATGAAAATATGAATATAATTTTTCATTTTACCAATTATTTCTCAATGACAAAATATATTATTTAAGTATTCGGTATTCGGCCGAATAATATGTAGATATTCGGTATTCGGCCGAATATAATAAAAGCAGCCGAATAGGCCGAATATCTGAAATATAAGTTAATGTTAATATAAAAAACAAAAACAATAATTTAGTTAAATTAACATTACCTACATATTACTGCGGAGTTTGTTTAAAAACATATATTTTGCATCCGGTACATCGTTTAATTGGGTACTTAGGTTAGTGACTGGCAGACCGGACCCCCTCAAGGGGACAAAGCGCCCGACCTAAACATGGAATGTGCTATTGTTGAACATTGTTGTTGTGTCATCGGGATTAGGACCCCGTGACGGGACACCGTGTGGTTTTAATTCATTCCACCTTGCCCAATGGCATCATTATCAATTAACTCCTCACCTCACCGGGATCAATATACCGGTGAGGTAATAACTGGTGGCGATTTCTAAACGTCAAATTAAAGGAATACTAAAGACTATACTCATACTTAATACCTCGACGCAGCAGTAATAACAATAGAAATAATAAATATGAAAGCTAGGAGAACTAAACAGGTACTGAAAAGATTTGAATGAAATAATTCGCACACAGATAGAGCTGAAGAAACAAATTTCTTTTGTTAAATCCTGATAAGAGGTTACAAGGTCTTAAACCGATTCTTTTGTTACTAGTAGCTCAGCTCTAAATTGTTCCACAAGACTTAAGCCTTAATACTATTTCTAGATTATGTATTCTTTGAACAAGGTCTAACTTCAGAACATGATGTGGATGACACGGTCTTGTTTATCTGTAGTAACACGTAACTGGCGTGATAAATTTAATCGTACGACATTGTCCCTTGGTCGAGTAATTTAGTAGTTATTCAATGACGTTTTAAATATTCAACTTAGAGGAATCCTTTTAATAACCTTGATCATCAAGTCTTCACTTTACCCATTTATTTGACATAATATGATCCTGTAAATTAAATATTAAGTTTTTTTTAACTGCAGCCCCAATCTGTGTACGCCTATAGCATCATCGTTTTTTTTTTATATCAAGTCCTAAAGTCTTGAAGTTAACGAGCCATGAATTGAAGTTGGCCATGGACGAAATGTTTTGCAAGACATATTTACCTACTGACCCAATTCAAAAAGGGAATCCGACATTTCGAATAAGTCCGGTCTTTTACGAATTCTACGACTTGTTTATTTGAAGAATAACGACAGTTAAAGCACGCATAGAGAAAAATTAGGCTAGTCAACGCTCAAGGTACAGGGCTTTTGGGGCAAGGGAGGTGGGTTTTTAATCATTTGTTATTTTATTTATTTATTTGCAGAAAGTAATAAAAAGATTATTTTAGTCTTAATATAAAATTATGAATTAAATAACTAAGTATAAACCAGACTACTATACATTGGTAGACTGGACTACCGTCGATGGACTCGAATAATCGAGTGGAGACCCCGAGAAAACACCCGCGATCGAGGAAGACGACCAAAAAGATGGGTTGATGACATCCGAGGACGAGTTGGGGTGAATTGGATGGCGGTGTCACAGGATCAGATCAGATCACAAGTGAAAATTAGGAGAAGAGGCCTTGGTCCGAAGTTGGGCAAACTAAAGGCTGATATTATGATGATACTTATTTATAGTAACGATATCTTATTTGAGAATTCATTCGAAGAGAATACAATTGAAAAAATCGTTGCATATTTAGTGATAGATTTTCGAATCCTTATTACTGTATCGCAATCCATTAAGTAGGTAGTGAAAGGTCATTATCCAGTCTGGCTGTCACATCAATCAAGTAGGAAAACCGTGTCAAGCTAGTTTACTCCGCAAATCATCACGGTGCGCAAGGAAGTGGCCGACTTGTGATATCGCATGCGATAGTCTAGTTTACCCGCCTTTTAATTATCTCATCTTTATATGCAAACTTGGTGCTAACTAAAATGGTAACCAAAGTAACTGAAACACTGTATAATGTATCAAATTTGGATAGGTCCCTTTGCGGGACTAGCCGTTACTTGGTAGTTACATACAAAATCAAAACGAATCAATGAACGATTATAACCAACAATACTTGGTTTACTTATTTTAAAGTATCACTTCAATGAATCATAATCAAGATGATTAATTGTAACATATATATTTGAGATTACGATGATATATAAGAAGATACATTAAGATTAATAATTGTAATTGTATTCTATATTCTTTATTTCTTAATTTTCACCAATAGTAGAGTAGAGTTTTTCTTCTTTAAATGTGAATGGGACCGAACCAGTAGACCTAATAAATTAAAAAAATAATTTTATATACTATATAAAATTTCGTTTTCTAAATGATCGAACAAAGTAACTGAAACACTGTATAATGTATCAAATTTGGATAGGTCCCTTTGCGGGACTAGCCGTTACTTGGTAGTTACATACAAAATCAAAACGAATCAATGAACGATTATAACCAACAATACTTGGTTTACTTATTTTAAAGTATCACTTCAATGAATCATAATCAAGATGATTAATTGTAACATATATATTTGAGATTACGATGATATATAAGAAGATACATTAAGATTAATAATTGTAATTGTATTCTATATTCTTTATTTCTTAATTTTCACCAATAGTAGAGTAGAGTTTTTCTTCTTTAAATGTGAATGGGACCGAACCAGTAGACCTAATAAATTAAAAAAATAATTTTATATACTATATAAAATTTCGTTTTCTAAATGATCGAACAAAGTAACTGAAACACTGTATAATGTATCAAATTTGGATAGGTCCCTTTGCGGGACTAGCCGTTACTTGGTAGTTACATACAAAATCAAAACGAATCAATGAACGATTATAACCAACAATACTTGGTTTACTTATTTTAAAGTATCACTTCAATGAATCATAATCAAGATGATTAATTGTAACATATATATTTGAGATTACGATGATATATAAGAAGATACATTAAGATTAATAATTGTAATTGTATTCTATATTCTTTATTTCTTAATTTTCACCAATAGTAGAGTAGAGTTTTTCTTCTTTAAATGTGAATGGGACCGAACCAGTAGACCTAATAAATTAAAAAAATAATTTTATATACTATATAAAATTTCGTTTTCTAAATGATCGAGTTCTGGATTAATATTGGTACCTAAATATCCTTTTTTAAAGTCGATTAAAAAAAGAAGCTACTAAAAAACGATGATTTTTTGTCTTTCCATTTCTATAAACAATATTATGTAAAAGCAATCAATTAGTACTGTGTGTGGACAGGTGGTTTACTTTCGGAGTAGCGTTCGTTCGCCCTCAACAACACTAGAACCTAGAAGGATCAAGGCTGTCAATTTGAATACCAGACAATTTTGATCGCAGTAGTTTTTTAACTTAAGTTTTCCTTTGCACATTTCCTAACCTAAAACTTTTTATGTTAAGAAAAGTAAAGAAATAATGTATGGTGTATGCCAAAATTGTCCGTGTAGTGAGTAGTGGTGACGGATTAAGAATACGATACGGAGTGTCAACACCCCTATTTATCCCGTGAGTGGCGTAAGAGCCGACTAAGGGAGCAAAGTAAGCAGGACTTCAGCACTGCAAAGAGAAGGAAAGCTTGAAACAAACCCATACCAATCTGTCTGGCCAGCGTGGTAAAGTAGTGGTTTTTCAAGCTTAACGTGGTCAAATTTTTTTTTTTTTTTGACTTTTTTTTTTTTGATTTGACTGAAACGCCACAGCACACCCTCTCCCTCTACAATACTGGTAACGTGGTTGGTTTAACTGAATGAGGTATTTAAGAACAGCTACAAAACGTTTGTTGAGTAGTCTGCACATAATACATTCGGATCCTTCGTGACCTTCTCCTACCTACCTAAAGTCAGACGAAAGGAGAAGCTGTTATCTCATTTATCTCTACGCACAGTCAATTGATTCTTGTCTTAGGAAGTCAATATACCTATAGCCTTTTTGTTAGCAATTAACAGTTATAACTAGATGAGACCCGCGGTGTTACCCGCGTTTGTTGTTATAACCGCGGGCAACGCCGCGGGGCGAAGCTAGTCTAAAAAAAGTAGCTAGCCTAAGTTACTCCTTATGTCATCAGCTATCTGCCAGTGAAAGTCCCGTCGAAATCGGTCCAGCCGTTCCAGAGATTACCCGGAACAAACAGACAGACAGATAGACAGACAGACAGACAAAAATTGTAAAAATGTTATTTTGGCATAAGTACCGTGTCAAAATACATATGCATTTAGTAAAAAGCGGTTATTTTAATATTACAAACAGACACTCCAATTTTATTTATTTATATATGAATAGAAGAAGATATAGATCGTATTTTAGGCAAACCGTTCATCCTGCCGTGGCTACCGTCATGAAGTGTTGTATACACTTTGCACGGGATATATTCCAGAGACTGTAACTACTGTACCATATCGCACCAATTATCAATTTCGTGGTTATCTGTAAATTTACTTTTAAAGGTTAATGTTTTCTTATTTGCGGAACTTTACAGTAATTCTAACGCTAACATTGTGCGTTAGATAACGCACATGGTGTAAGTAGTTACTAACGTCACGTAATACCTATAGAATGTTTTGTGAGGCCCTAACCTAACCCAATAGCCACAAAGAACTACCGTTTCTGATCGTAGGCGCTTCACTTCGCTCGTCACGTGGTGAGAGAAGAATAAAACCTATATCCATCTTTACCGTAACCCTGATGGTTGAGATTAGAGAAGAGAGTAGAGTAGTCTACTTTCCGTTATACATCATGTTAGTTTTTTTTTTTGCAAATTGTTACTGTTACTGCAATAATTGTGAATACATAGTTTTAGCTATTTATTTATACAGGTGTAAATAAGAATCGAGAGAATAATGCAGCATACTTTCTTACTTGGTTCTTATAATATTGTGTATGTCTTAACTATGTTTCAGATTGCCTCCAAACTCACAAGTGGAAACTTTGAAGTTCACGAATAACGCTATAAAGGCGTACTGGCCGGACCCGTTGAGCGACGTTCCAAACCTGAAGGTTCTCTCTTTCTCCCACAATGAGCTTACAGAAATTACTCCGGACCTGTTCACCAACATCGAAGCTTTAGAAGATTTAGACTTGTCCTACAACAAACTATCAGAATTCACAAAGTTAGACTTTAAACATTTACGTCACATTAAAAAGTTAAGTCTTCAGAGTAATAACCTGAAGAAAATTCCCCTCGAAGCCTTTCAACCTCTGGTTTCACTTGAAGACTTAGACTTGAGTAAGAATGGGATATTTGACTTAGTACTTCAAAGGAGTGATGTAGAAAACCTGGCTCGGCTGAAGCGTTTGAATTTGAACGAGAACAGAATACGGTCTATTCTGAAGGATACATTCCCTCCTGAAAACAGCCTGTAAGTGTAATTGTTTAACTTTTTACGAGTTGTACTCATATTAAGTAGATATTTAAATCGCAATTTAATCAGTACCTTTGCTTTTACCTAACGTTTCGGGGACTGATATGATTTTTAATTATAGAACCACTGTTAGAAGTTCACTGACAGTTTATCAAATACCTTGAAACACTTCAATAATCCATTTACCTTGTGCAAATGCAATCACTAATCATCTCTCAGACCACAAATAGGCCACTTTGTAATAAGAAATGACAGCACATAGGGATCATGCTATCCAGTTATACACCTACACCTTTTAACAATACAATAAGTACTTACTCATTATAATTCTCATGTCATGTCAAGGTTAGTTCTAGAACAATTTCTGATAGTATACATTCACAGAGTAAATAACAGGTACAGGTTGGAGTATCTAAGAAGTATGATACGTCACTGTATCGTTAGACTGAGAGATAGGAAAATAGGAGGGATCTGGGAACAGCTTTTATTAAGATCTCCGGACCTATCACCGGTTTTCTGTGAGACCGCGGTATCCGATTGATCCAACCATATTTGTCTAGGCATGGCTCTCCTACTATTAACCATGCTTCGTCACGCCATACCTCGTTTTACATTTCCTATTTAACTTTCATTTCTATCTCCATCTTCCTCCTTGTAGCCTGTCTTTGGCTTACCGCTGGAATCCATCATCAGCCTATCACAGTCCACTATTGGACATAGGCATTTCCCATTGCACGCTACTTAGATCGATTTTTGGCTTCTCGCAGCCAGCTCCTGCCAACCAACTTGCGCAAATCGTCACTCCTCTTTACCTGTGGGCGTCCTACGCTACGATTGCCGAGACGCGGTCTCCACTCAAAAACTTGTTTTCACCAAAGGTTGTCGGTTCTGCGGCTAATATGGCCAGCCCACTGCCACTTAGGCTTGCTAATCCGGTGGCTATTTAGATGACCTTGGTTCTGTGCTGGGTCACCTCATTCCTGATGCGATCCATTAGAGAAATAACACTATTCCATAGCACGTTGAGCGACTTTGAAGTTCGCTCAACGTGCTATGGAATGGGGTTATTTGAACGGCTGGACAACCTTTGAACTTGTGGTCCAGCCGTACCGTAAGTGTCCACGCACTCATTGAAGACTTTCGTCTTATGACACTGTTTGATCGACGAAGAGAAGACTTGACGAAGCTTCCCAAATGCTACCCAATCCAACTGAATTCTTCTGTCTCATACTCGTCATATCATCTCATACTCGATGTTGTTTCTACCTAACTGCAATGTCTGCCCGAGGTACACATAATTCAGAGAGCCTCAAACAAGACTGTTACTGGAATTAAATTCTATTAATTATTTTATTTTACAAAAATAACTAACGTGCTTTATCTGTGCTCCGTTCTTTCCAAGAAACCTGTTTGAGAGAAACCTATCGCATATTTTCTCATAACACCTAATAATATCTTGTAGTTTAAAATGATATGAAGCACGCATTGCTTTTATCGAACCTCAAAGTATATGATTTTAATACACGAGTATTATAATTTATTTGTCTGTTACGGGAAAGCCTGAGTCTACTAAGTATTAGAAGGTACTCTTATTTGTTCTGGGTTTAGAATTATATGAGGATTTATCTTGTAAATGTACGTGGATGAACAACTAACATTAATGAATACACAAATAATTTATGAACTTTGGTTTGCATGTGTTTTTTCCGCAATTTTTTCTATAATATGTATACTGTATTATTTGTATATACTTAGGGTTTGAGACAGGGCTGTCGTAGTCGAATCTCTGTTTTAAAGCATTTAAAAAAAACATCAATATAACATTTCTTTTCCAGAGAGTTGTTGGATCTGTCAAACAACATAATAGAAATTGTTGAAGAAAATGCGTTCCTCTCTTGCAATAATTTAAGAGAATTGAATCTTGCTCAGAACAACATAACATTTGTATTCGCTCTACCGCCGTCGCTGCAGATTGCCATTCTCAAAATTAACACTTTGTACCATTGGCCAAAGTTTCCAAGTGGAATAAAATATATTGATCTGTCATACAATAGATTATCGGGCCTGTATGACGAAGCCACATCGAATTTTGATAGTTTAGAGGTAAGTTAGTACTGGTTTATTTAAATGGTAATATTCATTAATAAAATTCATAATTCAGTAATTGGCAAATATAAATTATTATTTTAAAAGCTTTCAAAGGATAACTATTAATAAAATTACAGGTTTTAATTATTGGAGGAAACCAAATAAAAGAACTAAATATAGAAAATAAACTTCCTAGTTTATACATCTTAGATTTGTCTTATAATTCGATAACGGACATACCAAAATCTATCAGTACACAATACTTCCCCAATTTGGAAGAACTTCATCTTGATGGCAACCCTCTGGAGTCTATATATTTTAAAAACATAATTGCTGTAAAAAGTTTGTATATGAATGAAATAAAAACACTGACCGTCGTTGAAGAGAAAGCCTTTAGCAATGTGATTGGAAGGCCTACGAATGAGACGGATAACGAGCTGAATTGTTTTGCTCTCTATTTATCTAACTGTCCCTCTCTAAATGAAATTCAACCGGGTGCTTTCGACGGAACTACTTTATGTACGGTAAGTTATATATATTTTTGAGCTTAGTATCTTTATCTCACATATTTCTACAAAATACCCTTAGTGCTGCTAATTGTGCCTATGCTCTCGACTGATGACTAGGGCGTTAGCGTTACGCACTTGAAACGCAGAAGGGTACAAATGGATGGATGTTTCAAGACTTGAGAGAGACGCTTAAAATGCCGTTGTAACTAAGTTTGAAATTTCCAACATGTATTTGTTTTTGTGATGGAGCCGTGGAAAAATATCTGTCCACGTTTGATCCTACAACCCTCCAATTTTCATGATTGGTATGGATTCTACGTTCTCTATAATCTGGCGACAATTTTAAAAACATTCACTAACAGTCCTTACGTTCATTGCAGCTTGACATTAGCAAGAACAACCTCACCTTCTTGTCGAAGAGATTGTTGGACTGGTCGGCCGTCAGCGAAGGCGTGAACCTTCAGTTCAACCCCTGGCACTGTTCCTGTGATATGCAATGGATAGTGGACGAACTACTGCCGCAGACGTATGCAATTGGGAATTCTAGGCTTTTGGCGGAATTGAGGTAAGATGTAACACAACACACAACAACAAGACATGTTTTTATTTAAGTTAAAGTTTCCGTTCTGTGCTATCTATTTACTATAGTGTAGATTTGTAAATGAAATTATCGTATTATTATTATTTATTAGGATTTTTTAATATATTCTTTTGCTGTTATATGATATAATAAATAAGTTCTTATAAACTTGTTTATACCTACTGAATCGGATTGATTTACGGGGATTTATGCGTGAATTAAATTGGCCCTTATATTATTAACGAGAAAGCTGCAGTCTTGTGAGATTACCATTTTTGTTGGAAGAAAAAAGATAGGAATATTCGAAATAATATTCAATTTGCAAGTTTTTTTTTTTACCATAATATAAAGTAAAAAAAAACATAACACACAATACCTACTGTTTTCTCCTAGATGTGGTTCACCGCGAGCGTTCGAAGGTCTCCGTCTGGTGCACTGGTACAACTGGACGGAGCAGGCGATGTGTAGCGACGTGTTCTCCAGAGACGGCAGGCAAGGCAATTATATGGTGAGTTCAACTGTAGCTTTTTTACATTGGTATCATTAACAAGTCAGCCACTAAACATCATCAGCCGTACATGTATGTATAATGGTATAATATGCTGGCATTTCATATTATATTTATAAAAATATATCGACAAAAACTGATTTTAGTGTGATTGAAGTGCAAAAATAGAATAAAACAACATAGTAATATTTTCTAATAAAATTAAAATCTGACAAGTATTTAACAGCCAACAGGAATAAGTGCCCATTTGTAGATAATCGTAACTAGATTATCTACAAATGGGCACTTATTCCCTGACAGATAACAGACGGAGAAGATGAGTGTAATAAAATACCTAATAAAAAAATGTTTTTTTTTTACAGTTGCAACCTTCGACAGAGCCAGGGTTCAAAGTCAACCGCCTCACCATAATCTTAGGTAGTTGTATCATAGTTGGTTTATTGATTACCTTGGCATTATTCATATACCTAGTGAAGACTCGCAAGAAATACAAAGTTCGACAAGCTGCCATGAAGAGGAAAAGACAGAGTGCTGCAGATATGAACAACGGGAACAAAGAACAGTTCTCTACGCTTAATAAGGTCTAAATGTTCCGATAATTTTTGGGAAATAAGATGTTGTATTGTAAGTTGGCAGTTTGGCTTTTTTTGCGGGAATGGCTATAGGGCTAATCTGGAGTAAAATGGCCGCGCGTTCTATGGACCTTATTTTAACAAAAATGTTATTTGCTGCCATTACGGTCACAATTCTTTGAACACAATTTTTTGAAAGAAGAATGAATCTGACTAAAACTTAATTCAGGGTACTATCCTATTCAGTAGAACATCGCATTGTGCCCAGAATTACACTAAATCAAATTAAAATACACTACAGTACCCACACTGCTAAGCTAAGTGCATGACCACTTAGATTATCGGGTGTCGCAAGAGCCGACTAAGGAAGCCAACCACGCAGGACAACAGCATTGCAAAGAGAAGGAAAACTTAACCCGTCTGGCCAGCGTGGTATAGTAGGCCTACACCTCCTTTCTAAGGAGAGGCCTATGTCCAGTAGTGGACTGTTAAAGGCTGTTGATGTGTGATGATCAAGTTAATATAATCTATCAGGCACAAAATACTTCCAGATATATTGTGATTGTAATTTGTAAGTATTTCGGAATTTGCTGATAATAGATATCCTAGGATAAAGGTATTCGATGAATTTGTGTGTGTAATGGTCACACAAGTTGAATTACAGATTTCGTTATACTTAGATACGTATTACCACGATTGCTGCCAGCTTACAAAAATAATTGTGATTATGACTTTTGTACCCAAGAAAACAAAATACTGTATTTTTAGTATTATTTATTTTTTAATATTTGTTACATATTACGTATAGTCGTTGGTGGTACAGGACACATATTAGTTAAGCTGTAGCGTATCCCAATATTCATAGTTACCCACCACGAAACAGTCATTTTTGTATAAATTTCCAAAGTAATACAAAATTTAGTTTATATAGAATAGTATAAAATAGTATGTATTTTAAAAATACGCTTCTAGTCCATTAATTACATACTGAGGACAGAGATAAATGATTAAAGTAGAGGAGAAACTGAATATGATTTTCATAGAAAAACTGAAATTTTTAAAAGTAGACAAAGTTATTTCGAAGTTACAGAAGATTTAGAATTATAAATTTAAAACAGTTATTTAATTTTTCCTCTACACAAAGTAATTAAATAGAATTATTAAGAAATTGCCGTGGGAGAACCCGTTTGCTTCGGCACCACGAGTGATACGGCCTCACAGAAAACTGGTGTTAAAAAGCAGATTTTCGTTGCTTTTCACCGAGTGCGTGAGGTTACCAGAGCCCAAACCCCCTTCAAAGTGCGATAGGGGGGAGGGGTGTACGCCTCCTACACTCTTAAAAAATATAATTTAAGTGCAGTTTTCTCTCGTTTATATAAAATATTTATATATAATAATCCTTAATATAAAATGTTCATGAATAATTTAAGTTTAACTATTGTGTAATAAAAATATTTAAAAAAAAAGGCGTCTAATTTATCAACTTTTCTAAATATGCAATCTGACGACCATCGGAAGAGGCAGAATAAAATGAATAGGGGGGGGGGTAATGGTAGGGTTCTCATATATATTGTATAATCAATTTAATTTAATTACGTATTTGAACGTACGACGTGTTATCGTTTTCTGCAAGGGTTTAGAATTTTTCCAAGAGTGCCGGGTCCATTGAACTTGCCTCGGAGCAAGTAACGCCAATACACGGAAGGCATTATGTTTACTTGCATGCGGTAGAATATCCGATTCTCTTTACTCTGGTAACAAAATTACATGTTTCATGGTTAAGTTATCGAAAAACGATTTGTGACTCTTATTTTGTCAAGGTTTAGTAAACTGGGGGATCAGGAAAAGAGATGTAGGTGATTGATTAAAGTAATTGCATCTGATGAAATTTAATAGAATGCAAATTGTTTTTCCCTTGAATTGAGATTTTTCGTGGCCCTGTAAGTTTCAAGGACTCCAAGACCTGAAGTCATACTTTTAATATCTCAAATTTAATAGTTAATTGCCGAAGATATTTAACCATGTGCTATTTTTTTCCCATCGTTAAAAAAAGACCACTCTCGCACGACGAATGTATCCTGTGTCGTGGGGGACTTTACAAACATTCATGAAGCGGACACCGAGACTTGCTCAACAATTTGTGGATCACACAAAGTGTTCTCCTACGAAGCGGCGAGGCGACCATTTAAATCACTGCGCCATTCGTGCAGTTAACTATATTAACTTACTTTACCACCAAGTGGACTATATCCTTGATTGCCAACTTTGTTGTGCAAAGAACGACTATTCCCAATCTTTACCTATGTACCTCAAAACACACAAAAAGAAGGGATTACATGTCGCGATGATCTCCCTCGATATTAAAGCTGCATTCGATCATGCTTGGTGGCCCGCCATACTTGCACGATTACTCCACACCAAATGCCCTAAAAACATGTACACCATCATCCAAAATTACTTATCAGATCGTACGGCTACCCTATTATATTCTGACGCCACCGCCACTAAACAACTAAGTAGGGGATGCATCCAGGGGTCTGTATGTGGGCCGACCTTCTGGAATCTGATTTTGGACGAACTACTGGACATGTCCAGTGACTCGTCTGGGAGCAGACTTCCGGAGGGGTGCCAGCTGCAGGCCTTTGCAGATGACATCACTCTGATAGCCGCACACAAAAAGCTCATCACTCTCCAAAACAATATCAATCAAAGTTTACAGACCATTCAAGAATGGGGCAACACTAATAAACTTACCTTTGGACCTGACAAAACCATCGCTTTAGCCTTCACTAACAAAACTAAACTTCTTCACTTAACCATGAACAATACGCACATCCCATTCAGCCGGACTGCTAGAGTTTTGGGGGTGATCATCGACGACAACTTACACTTCACGCAACATGTAAACTATGTCACTAACAAAGCACGTATTTTACATAACACACTCACTAAATTCATCAGACCCACCTGGGGAGTACACTCTCAAAACATACTCACACTCTATAGGGGGGTAATCGAACCCATAATATGCTACGCTTCCAGCGTATGGCACACTGCTCTAAATTTCAAAACCAACTGTAATAAACTATTATCACTACAAAGAGGGTTTGCTCTCAAAATAATTAGAGGATTCCGCACCATTAACACCATTAACGCCATAGCAATATCTACACTCACACCACTTGACCTTAAAGTCAAAGAAAGAGCACGAATCGAATCAACTAGAATTACAGGGCTCACCGATTGCCTCCCACTTGATGTCACACTTGATACACCCACTGAACCATCTCATTTACTTCACCCGGCACACAGACAACCACACTCCTTTGACATTATCAGTACACAAACTGAATTAGACGACATCTTAATCAATCAACAACATGCACACCACATCTACACTGACGGCAGTAAGCACGACGACTTAGTGGGAGCTGCCGTTGTGGTACGTACTCCACAAAACACCCTTATCACCAGAACATACAAGCTACATTCATCGTGTACTGTCTTTCAGGCTGAACTGGTGGCCATCGACCAAGCCTGTCAGTGGTTACACAAGCAACGGGTTGATATAGCTTTCATCATGTCGGACTCCAGGTCAGCTCTGGAAGACATTAGCAACACTTATAGCACACATCAAGTTACCACTAACATACAAAAGTTTTTGCATACCACACACACACAAATTAACTTTGTATGGGTTAAAGCTCATACGGGCATACACGGCAATGAAGCTGCTGTCATAGCCGCTAAATCTGCGGCCTCCGAATCCTACTCACCCATTTTCAAGCACTTCCCGATAAGCTACGTCACAAAAAAGGCCAAAACTGATAGCCATGACGTAGCTTGTAACAGATATGCTGATAATGTCAAAGGAACCATTATTAAAACTTGGTGCCCATCACTTACACACCTATATAAACTTATCGACATAACAGGACACACATTCGCACTCACACAATTACTCACCAACCACGGCTACCACAAACAATACCTACACAGATTTCATATTACAGACAACAACACCTGCCCCTGCGACAACACAACTACCCAGAAATTTAGACACCTCATTACAGAATGCCCACGATACACTCGCACAAGACTCAACCATGAACAACTCTGTCACCACTTTAATTTAGACCCATATAATTTAACATTACTGATCACCAACAACACCGCCACCCATACCTTTATGACTCACCTCACCCTTATAGTTGACACACTTAAAGAATTTAATAACACATAACGCACTCAAATATTTCTGTATCAAATAGCAGAATGTACCATAATAATTTAATAACCTCCCCCTCATAGTGGTTTAACCGTGAGGGGAAACTATAAAAAAAAAAAAACCTAGCCAAGATTATTAAGCAAAATTGAAAGGCTCACCTGATCAATAGGGAAAGTCTGGTAAGCTTTCTTATCATACAGGTATTCAGCGAGTATGCCTCTCTTGTACGAGGTGAGTAGAGGGCAAGCACCGTAGCCGTTATATCTCGCCGTTAGAACCTGTCGCGCCATGGCTTTGGACAGGTTACGCTCCACTACGTAACTTTGTGGCCCTTTGGGTAACATATAAGTTATTAAAGTACTTCTTTACGCTCTCTTGACTTGGGGAGTAAGCTGGTGAGTGCGTGACGAGAGCGTTTACGAAAAGTGTGATCGGGCGAGGCGAACAGAAGTTGAGAGGGAGATACAACTTAGTGAAAATAGAAAGAGAGAGAGTTACGTTTCGTATATTACTGTAGGGGTAAGAGAGAGAGGTGCGAGCACACATTTTCTTTTTTTCATAGCCAAGAAGTTTTACTTCAGTCGTGTGGAGAAAAGCACACTCGTTTTTTTAATATAAGTATAATTTTGTAATAAAACTTATTGAATAAGAAGTTAATTTCATTTAGGTAAGCATTTGCGGAAAATGATTGCGTATATCTTAAGATTTCCTTCTTTAATAGTCCCTATGTACACATCTAGTACTGCGTATGTACATTTTAGTTATCTATACGTTATTCACAAACAATTTAGATCATAATTAAAAGGAATATCCAGTTTGATGATAGCTTTTAGAGTACAAAATAAACTATTAAGGTAGAACCTTTGTCATATATAGGTAGCATTCCTCTTAGATACCTGGATTAACTGTACTGCCCGTACCGAAGCGGACGTCAAGGCGATCAACTTCACGTAAGTAGTGGTTCGCATCGGCAAAAGTGTACATACTTATAAAAAAATCTTAAATGTGAGTAGCCCGAGTTCTAAAATCTTTCAATGTATATTTAGACACTTAAAAGTCTCTAAACTAAAGAGATGAAATAAAACCGCAGAAACCTCTATTACCTTTAGAACCGCGAGTATGTAACCGAAATTACAGTTTAATCAAATTGTAATATACATAACTAGCTGACCCACGCAACTTCGTCTGCGTCTCTCAATAGTAATAAATTTTCTCAGTTTTTGAAACATTCTTTATTGGTGCTCCGCTCCTATTGCTCTTAGCGTGATGATATATAGCCTATAGCCTTCCTCGATAAATGGGCTATCTAACACTGAAAGAATTTTTCAAATCGGACCAGTAGTTCCTGAGATTAGCGCGTTCAAACAAACAAAGAAACTCTGCAGCTTTGTAATATTAGTATAGATTAGATGGGAAAATTAGAAATATTTTAAAAGTACCATACCAAGGAAGGAAGGTTCATACCATAGGAAAGTGAAAATACATACATATACGTATGAATTTGTGAGTATGAAAAAACAGTTGGTTTGCCTACCCTGCCGAAAATGCAGAGCTAGACTACGGTTAGAGGCCAACCGTTGCTTATGCAGTTTAAAGAATTCACGATGATGTGAAATAAACCTACACTAGGGCCTCATCATCATCATCATCAACAGCCTTTCATAGTCCACTGCAGGACGTAGGCCTCTCCTTAGAAAGGAGGTTTTGGCCTACTATACCACGCTGGCCAGACGGCTTAGTATATGGTTTGTTTCAAGTTTTCCTTCTCTTTACAGTGCTGTTGTCTTGCCTAGTTTACTCCCTTAGTCGGCTCTTAGGACACCCACGGGGTGAATAGGGGGGTCACACTCTGTATTCTTAATCCGTCACCACACGGATACTAGGGCCTAGTAATTTAAAAAGAATGTCACCTACCTATAGCAGCTGCAGTTTTGCTATTAGGCGTGCCAATACAGTCTCCTAAACCAAACACATTGTAGAATGTGTTGTGTTGAAGCGTATACATATTGACATTGAGGTATCCTGCTTCGTTGACCAAGGGCTGGCATGTGCGGAGGCAGGCAGGAGGCGACATCGGAGGAGTTACGTGCAGCATGTTGTATGGGAAACAAAATATCTAGACATGAAGTTTTTGAATAAAATAATATTCCCTTAACACTTCCCATACACGGCCATCTGATGGCAAATGGGTAACCAAACTAATTTTAAATTTCAATATTTCTGAATGCATACCCATTATAGACGTATTTTGTAGATAAATTACAACACACAGAGAATGAATGTCTCCGCTCATCACATAATTTTTTGGCCTTATTGAAGTCGTCTGACTCACGCATTCAGGTTCACTGAACACTGGACATGCAGGTCATTCGCTTCACATATAAGTTAGCAGTCCTAATCCACACTTTCAAATTATTTTCGAAAATCGATTGCAAAAGCACTTCAGCCCATGGGGTTTTACTATTTACTTTGTTAAGGAAGCAATCCACAATTTCCGTACAGGAAAATGCTGATAAAAAAGTTGTGATAACTATAAATATAAAAAAACTTTACCTGGCCTCCTGCTCCTTGAAATAGCGCCCCCGAAGGCCTGACCTCCACCAGATCAGTGCAGTAGTTGATAATAATATCACGATTTAAGGCAAGGTTCGTTAGCGCGGTGGCGTACTTCTTCACAACGAACACTGATTCCTCTGCCGTGTTAAACGCTATGCTAGTGCTCTCACGAATCTTGTGCTATACAAACACTACTATTAAACTGGAAGTAATAAAAAACAGCCCTAATCATGAAAAAAACTACTTCTTAGCATCTTGGCATATTTCTTGGTCTTTAATTAAATGTTACCTGTAGAACCTAAACTATGAAATTCAAGGTGTATGTTGTAAAACATTGTTTATATTTCTTTGCGTACTGTGATACAAGTTGGCAGTGGACTAAATTATTTTTGTATCAGGTGCGGTACTCCTTCACGCTGTCTTTTAGTGTAAAGCTCTTAGAGATTTTACACAAGCAGATCGTCTTGCTAATTAGAGTTTTGGTTAGTTATTCGGTTTGTTTGTTTTTTTATTCAAAGTAGGTATAATGATTGTAGTCCTATTCTCGTAACGACGGGTTTCCAATCATTGTCTCTCGGTTATATTGACCTTGAGGATATATATCTAGAAATATCTACTAGCTTAATACCACCAAAATGTCACTGACCCGTCGCCAGTAGTCATGAGCCAAAAACATGACCTTCATTACTGCACCCGAGCACTTGCCATCCGTTACTGGGTACGTGAACACGGCATGGCCGCCTTTGTACTGATTAATATTGCTCCAGGTTTTTGAGCAGTAATCCTTAGAGTAGATTGTTGATACTTTACTGCAAGGATCGTCGAGCGCTTGCTTTAGTCCCAAGATCTGGTCAAATAGAAAAAGTAATTTTCTACTCAATTAGATTTAGCTGATAACAGTAATGTATAAAAAACGTACGGAGAAAGTCTTTTCTCCGTACGTTTTTTATACATTACATCTTGATTATGTCTTAAATTAAGTAATTACTTAGGTAGTTTAAAGTACCATAAATTTAAACGAAAAAGAAAAGATTGAGATTGTAATGATAACTTCTTCAGCTTTTCACCGAGTGAGTGAGTTTTAATTTGTAAAAAACTAAAACATAACATTTTGCGTAGTATTTAATGAGATAGGCATTTGCTTACACTACTCACACCTCTGTTTATATTATTATGTATATTAGATTTTAAGTAAATATGTAACTATTATACTTACAACTACTTAAAAAACACAATCTTATTATTTTAACTATGACGATTTATGTGGAACCACATTATCATTGCTCTCGGTACTAGCCCTTTACAAGACAAATACCAGCAGCAATTTGCTTCAATATTTTGCAGAAAAAACTACTTAGCTAATACATGTTGCATTACTTAGTTTAATGTTTTTGCAATGGTATCTAAAACACCACCGGTATCCTGATGTTGTTTTGGTAAATTCCGAAATATTCGGATTGTGAATGAGCGGGAAAATAACAATCCTTTTTGCGAGAATATTTCTATATTTGAGATTCTACAGCTGAGTGTAAGAAGTTACTATCATTACCTCGCCAGTGAGAATAGAGCATTTGATGTCAATGAAACGCGCCTAGATTTAAGTATCATCTTGACCATTAATGATGAAAGAGAAACGACTCAAATTACCTTATCGTAGTCATTCTTTAATCCTACAGCGACTACCATGAACTCGTAAACTATTGTAGCGCCGTTACTGGTGTATACAGTATTTTGACCAGGATCGAAACATTCAGCGGAGTCCTCAATCCATTTAATATTAGGAGGCAGTACCGATTCTAGAGGTCTTTGGATGTCTTTCATCTGCCTTATACCAGCTGCCACTAGTGTGAATCCTGGTTGGTAGTAGTGAACCTAGAGTTAAAATATGGAAATATGAAAGGTTGGCTTTTAGGAAACACGCTCATCACGTACATCGTACATACACTTAATGATGTCTATGGTGTTGTCTTTGTATTACTTCAAATTTTTTTGTTAAAAAAAATAAAAAAATTAAGGGTATGAAAAATAGATGTTGGCCGATTCTCACACCTAACCGATATGCACACCAAATTTCACGAAAATCGGTCGAGCTGTTTCGGAGGAGTTCAACCACGCACACCGTGACACGAGAATTTTATATATTAAATTATCATATAAATTATTATATATAAATAATAATAATTAATTATATATAATTATTAATTATTATATTATTATTATTTATACACCAATATAAATTATACAAGCAATGTACTTACATCGGAGGGTTCTAATAAGATGATGTCCTTGAACTTTCTACTGAAACGCCACGCCATGTTGCAGCCGCCTGTGCCTCCACCAACCACCAACAACTTGCATCTAATTCAGTGATTATAGCGAATGTAAGTATTAGTGTTCAGTAGTCAGAGTGACTATTGCAAACTAATACTTGCATTCAGGTTGGAGGGGAACGGTTAATGTAAAAAAATGGCAGCGACTGGCTTTGATGTCTATGATAGCACCGCAGGAATTAAAACCTTTCGAAGCTGTCAACTTGCATCTTAAGTATTGTATTGGGCCTTAAAACCATAGTATAGAAACTGGCATAGTTGAGAATTCTCCAAAATATTTTATGCTATCTAGATTTACGGTGGGGAATTGTGAGCTGAGGCTAGAGGCCCATGGGCAGCAGTAAGATATTGGATCAGAAAATAAATATGTGCTTACTTGAATGTATCTTTATTAGTACATGTTCTTGAATAGCATCGCCTTCCTGCATTTTTAATAAATACATTGAGGTTTTTAAACCCTACACCCATTTATCTTACAAACTTAAATCATAGGTAAAAAAAACGGAATACAATAAATACGGTACATAAATATTAATAACAGGTTGTGACCTACTAGATTTAGGTCCTATCTTCGTATGATAAAAATGCTAAAATCAGTCACTAAAATTTCGCGTTCATTTGCTATAATACCTACTTCGAAAACAACAAGTCAAATCAAATCGAAAATGTCGACGATACATCGTGTTTTGCTTAATCAGTAAACCAAACATTTTCAACCCATCAGACACTTTTTTTCTGAAACACATTTTTTTTTATTAATATTATACTATCTTAAAAATCAAGTACTTACTGTATATATTAATTTCAATATAAAATAGTTTTGTGATTATTCTACGTAATTCAACACTATAATGTATAAAACATTCAGGTTTTACCCTTGAACTGTTACATTATTTGCACTGTTGGTGTATGTGACACCGAATCTAACACAGAAGATAACACTATTGATATTTTTTATATTTATCTATTAAAACATAGAAACATTATGCTGGGCTCTATTTTGACAGGGTACTATTGGATTCTCTCGCTCGATAGCCTGATTGCGGCTATCGTGCGGAGCGACAGTGCGTGGAACTCTGCCGTCTCCTTCTGCGAGCAAGTTATGCTCGCGAAGGAGACGGCGGAGCGGGACCGGGAGAGGTTTAGGACTCTCCCGGCCCGCCAGGCCCGGGAACGGGCCAGGTACCGCAGGCGACTCAGGCGCCGGAGGTCGCAGAACTACCTCCGTCCTCCATAAGCGCAGGCCTGGGGGTGACAGGTGAGGCCATCTGTCACCCTAGCAGAAGCAGGCCGGGGTGGCGGCGAGTACGCTGCGAAGCGCGCTCGCCTCCAGGGAGCACAGGGAACATGGGGTTCCAACACGGGGGGGGTCGTCTACTCGTCTGTAGATGTACCGAAGTATGTCGGGGCACCAGGGACTTCCTTTCTAGGGTATACCTGGTTCCCCGGCTATTAGTACCCGAGACGGCGTGCGGTTTTAGTCGGTTCGAGTCCGACATGCCACCGACAGGTGGTATCCAAGGGGATTTCCGCACGGAAAAAAAAGGGGATTTCCACACGGGAAAAAAAAAAAAAAAAAGGATACTATTGGAGACTACAATTGTAGAAAGTGGTTTCAAGGTTCCGTTTATTCTGTTTCTTTTCTTTTTGTGTAAAGTGTAGCATAGCATAAAGTGTTTAATGAAATGAAACAAATAATAATTATGTTAATAATCTTTATTTTAATAATATTCATAAATTTAGCTTGTTGTCAAAACATCATTATAATAAACCTAAGTATACGCTACTTATACAATTGAATAGAACTGCAAACTGTATGTTCAACCAACTTTATCAGTGAGAAAGTTGTTAAATAATGTAATTTTATTCGCATTTTACCTATCTTATTCACTGAACATAACTTTACTTCAAACTCAGAATTTTACATAGGTAACACAGGAATATTGTTAATCTTAGAAAGATATTGGCAAAATACTTTTTCTGACAACTATTTGTATAATGTTTTTGGGCTGGTTAAAACAGGTAAATTAAAATAATACAATAAAACTAGTTGAAACAGGTAGATATTCAAAAGTATCTAAATAATTAAATAATAATAACCTAAATATGCCATTGAAATCTCAAAATTGTGTGGTCTGTTGTCATGAGAAGAAGAAGAGAAGAAAACCTAAATTATTATTTTTTATATTATTTTAGTAGTAGACTTTCTTAAAAGGATCCGATTTTAAACTTTTTAAAATCCTCAATTTGTTTTAATAAAAAGAAAAAACCAAAATTAGTTTTGTTTTTTTTTACACTTAGTGCAATAAAATTACTACATAAGTAGATAACAAGGTTATTTCTAACTGAAATTGCCTCATAAATAAAAACAAGACGCAGAAGATTTTTTTTAAAAATATAAAACAACAAAGATTTAACAATAAATATGCAAAAAAATTACCAGTAAACAAAAAATCTAGGGGTGGATGGCGGCGAAGGGAACATCGGGGTTCCACAGAGGAGGGGGTCATCTATAAGCCGTAGATGGCCCGAGGTACGTGGGGGTACCAGGGCTTTCCTTTCTAGGGTATACCTGGTTCCCCGGCTGCTGGTACCTGGAGACGGCGTGCAGTATTTGGTCGGTTCAAGCCCGACCTAATCACATACCATTAAAAAGTTGGATGAGTTATATTTATTTCCAACTTACAAAAACTCAATTTGTGTTTTCCCTTGATCTATACGTATATGTATCTTGCATTACACACATATTTGGGTTGATTAGTCGTTTCTTGGTACAGTAAAGGGATGTTAGGTTGTGATGAGCCAAAGCTGGTACACTCAAAATAACGTTATATTCATAATAATATTAAATTGTTTATTTTGTATGTTATTTTAAATAAAATTTTGAATTACCGAGGAAATATAATCTTGATTATTTGAAAAAAAATCATACCTGATGTAAGTTTTGTAATATTAATATTATAATTAATAATAATTATTCTCATTATTTGTTGACGTTTTTATTATTGAGCTTATAAATGTCTATACATAATGTAAAAAAAAAACAAATGTGAGTTACATTGACGGAATTTTTATATTATTTTCTCACAAAAACATACCCGACGTCCATGGATAATTCGTTCGATTGATAAAGTTAATCTGAAGTAAGTTACTCAATGGGTCAAAAATAAATATCACTATGATCAGTAAATGTTTACAAAATTAATGATATAACTATGACGTACCACAAAAACATATATTGTTAGATACAAGAATTTCTTTTTAATGTGCACTTTCACCTTCAAAAAATAGTTTTATGTTACCAGCCCATGGGGTTTATAATTTTTCTAATAAATTCGGGTCCATGGTAGTAACCTTTGAGCATAAAGTGCCAGTAAAGGAAAGGAAATATGTGTATCTTCATGCAGAATGCTATCACCCGTTCTTTGGACTGAAAAAAAAAAACTCATAATTAGTTATGATAAAAATTGGGGTCGATTCCCAACACAAAAAGAATCTAATTCAAGTTTTCTACAAACCAACTTGATTGAAATACACACCTGATCAAAAGGCAAAGTTTCATGTGGCACGCCGCCATAGGTGAACTCGGCTAGTATACAAGTGTTGAAAGAAGTGACGAGGGGACACGCGCCGTATCCATTGTACTTCTCTTTGGGAGAATCCTTCTTCATGGTGCTAAGCAGATTGTACTCTAAGACATAGCATTGCTTCGCTGTAATGTTATAAAAATAGATTTTTTTATGGTATAGTGGTAAACAAGCAGAAGGGTGACTACCGATGCCCATGGACTCCTGCAACTCAAGACTCACAAGTGGGTTGTTGCACTTTGAGTCCCTCCCCAAGAATTAAGGGTTGTTGGGTTTAGGACTCTGGTAACATCTCTCATTCGGTGAAAAGCAACGAGACAATAGCTTAACATCGGGTTTCTGTGAGGCCGTGGTATCACTCCGGTCTAGCCGACCCATTTATGACGAAGCATGGCTTCCTCACTTTAAAAGGTATAAGCAAAGGTGTATATAATAACTAAGAGTACATGTATGTATCGGTTATAGGGCTTTCGGCCAATGCCCAATTCGGTTAGCCAAGTTGGAGGTATTCCTCAATCTATTCCGTTTAAGCAATATCCCTCTCCTTAAATTGCCTTCTCTTCTTATCTACCTTTCTTTTCTATGATATACTTCCAAGTTATTCATCTAATTCATAAATAGGGAGCCAAGCTAAGAATAACGCAAGTCTCTTTGGGGAAAGTCTTAGTCCCGTTTCCCTGAAACTCGAAAAGACCTGGATTACGTATCTGTGTGTCCGTGTCAAAAGAAGAACAGAGTAAAGTAGAAGTAGTAGTGTTAGAGGGTATTGACTTAATAAATGCGCATTGGGCTACAAAGGATATTAACAACCACATTATCAACATAATAAACACGCTAATCACTTGTGTTGGACAAACATGTCCACCGACGTCCAAAATTGGACCACAGAGCAAACACTGAAATAGGTTCAATAAAGCTAAAAACTCAATTTTTTACCAACACTATGATGCCTATACGCAGGCCAATACACCAATACAGGAAAACTAAGTGCTGGAGAAGCCTCTATAGCAACACAGAGAACAACAACCAGGCTAACATAGTCGAAAATTGCGCCGGTGAACACAATGATGGCTAATTGAAAAAACTTGATGGTACGTTTACGACAACAGATTCAGAACTCTCAGAACTGTTGACGATGACACACTTTCCAGGATCCCGTATAACCAATATAAAAGGTACATGGAGAGACAGGACAGGTAGAGAACAGACGGCTTGATTATCCATCCTAATGATCTCCTTGAGAGCGTTAAATGCACATAAATCAGATCGGTGGTCGAAGGTCGGTGAACAGTGGTCTTAAACATGAATAACAGTAAACCCGTCAAACGGATATGATCATGTTCACAAACAAACGCAGCCAAGTATACCTTAGAACTCTTAAAGTGAAGACTGGAGGCTTCTGGAAGGAGCTAGTCTATGCATAAAGGACATTTATGAGTATAAATGTGGAAATTAGAGACCCCTAGCAATACAAATACCTGTATGTTCGTCCTACGATTGGAATGGCCTTCAGTATAATGATATCTGCCAAACTCATCCACATTCATTTCTTGTTACACATCATGTAATAAAGGATACTTACCAATAGCAGCTGCAGTCTTGCTATTAGGCGTACTAGTGCAGTCGCCTATACCGTACATGTTGGGGTATTTGTTGTGCTGCAGTGTGTACATGTCCACGTCGAGGTACCCTTCAGAGTCAGCGATCAACCTGTTGTATCGGACAACTTCGGGAGGGTGCTGGTTCGGCACCACATGGAGCAGGTCGTACTGTTTTGTTATCGTCTGTAAAGTGAATTTATTTTATTGTTACATTTAGCAGTAAGACACTTATCACATGTTAGAGATCTATAAAGTTAAATTAAATAGGCTTAATTTTAAATATATAATTTATTCATATTTACACTGTACATATTTACAAAAAAAAAAATTAATGAAATTTTCCGTTTCAGCCGATCTGAACTTTCCTGTGCTTTTTTTGAAAACACACACAATATATATTTTTTTCTTATTGCACTTTAACTATACTTGCTGATATTTATATTAAACCAAAAAATTTGACTGAAAAAAGGTTTTTTTAAATAAAACAATATAGTATTTAGTAGCTTACATTATCCTCGTCATGGCACGCGTGGAACACAGCCTCCTTCTTGTCGTGACGTATCTCCTTCAGTATCAGCTTATAGTCCACGTGGATGTTCTTGCGCGCAGCCACCTTCACGAGTTCTTTCGAGTACTTCTGTACACTAAACATTGTCGGCTCACAGGTGACGTAGCTTATATTAGCTTTGGACCTGATGTTTTTCTGTTAATTAAATTAGACTTCTTTACGGTTTATTCCCAGTAGTTCCATGAATTCAGTTCCACATGGAACTTTTGGAACTTTTGGAGTTTCATTCATTGAACTATTGGGAATAACTATTTGAAGCGGCAAATTATACCCAAATACTTCCATAAAGTTCTAGATACGCAGCTTGTTGCATTATAAGACATGAAACCCTTTTCCTTTTTTTCTTGTGCTACACAAAACATACCCCTACTACCGCATGCACTATCATTGGTGCAGAGGAGACTAATTAGTTTCGTCTGCACCACTAATGCTGAAACCGAAACCGCATTGATAGCATAGTCTCATCTGCACCATTGAGATGACAGTTTACTTATACTCGTATTTTTGATAAAGATCGGTAAACATCGGTAAGCTCGGATAAGAAAAAGCAGTTGCAAGCAATTTTCCACCCTAATAAACGTGTTTTGAGGGTCTATAAATGACGCTGATCACGAATATACAAAAATAAATTTAATACTGTGGAAGTTAATAAGTTCGAAAATTGCTTGCTTTTTCCAATAGTCATCATATAAAGAAAAGAAAAATAACATTTATTTCTAAATCACTGTTACAGTCTTGTGGCTAAGCATTCCCAGTAAGTAATCTTTCGATAATTGTTTTGGGAATGACGAGTTTGCTTAGATTCAGAGAAAATAACAAATATATCAAGTTTAGTAGAAATGGTACTTAACAAAACTTCAGCTCAATTTACCTCAATTATATATAGGTGTGTGTTGAGTGTGTGTGTGTGTGTGTGTGTGTGTGTATTTACTTGTACATATTCATGATAAAATATAAAAATTATTCCGATCCGATCTACGTTTCTTTTTACAGATCGCATACAGGCATCAATCGATAACTGATTCAATCTCTATGGTGGGTGACACCAGTCAGCTGTAAAAGTAGTATAAAATTACATGGAACAAATGGTACAAAAATCGAATATTAAGGTTACATCAGTACCATGTGGAACTGGCTTCATGGAACTACTGGGAAATGGATTAAACCTTCTTTACTAATTGACAAATGATGCAAAATAAGGCACTTTGCACTAAAATCCACTTATTTCAACTACTTTAGGGTATAATGTCACAGAATTAAGTGAAAGTGAAATTGCTAGTACAGAAGGACAACTCCAGAAAATCATTTAAAATAATAGCGACTCTTTATAAGACACATCAAAGTGCAATTCAGATCGCCGATTTTTCGTGTAGCATACAAGCATCAACATACAATTACCTTAGTAAAATAAGAGTCTGCTAAATAAGCAATTTTCTGTGGCGCACCGGCACATTTGATCGGACAATTTGGGATCGTGAAGATGGCTTCGCCACCTTTGAAGTTCTGCAAATCCTTCCAGGTCTTCTGGCAGTAGTCTTGCGAGTATATTGTTGATACACCGCTGTTAGGATCCTTGAGAGTTTCTAACATGCCAGGTATCTGTTACAGTATATTAAATGTTACTTAAAATCTATAGAAATTATTTTCTGTCAGTCATTTTTAAATTCAATCTAATCGTATTAATGTTTTCAGTTTACTAGTCCCATCAAAAATTTATAAAAATTCTAATTACTGGTGCTTTGAGCCCAAATATCACCTAATTTAAGTACCAGTTGAACATGTTTTGTAGTACATACTTATATAAAAAATAAAATTGAAAAAAAAAATTGAGGCGCTTTTTTAGTTCTATTATTGATGTAGGTCATCAGTGCTCTCATCATTGTGTAGAACTTGGTTCGACGTTCAAATATGCAACGTGTTGGTCAGAAATTAAAACCGTTCCGTTCTCTACAGGATTTATGGTTTAGATTAGGTGCAACTGTTAAATTTTATTTCAAATTTCGAATGTCGTTAAATTATTTCAAACATGTTCCATAATTTCTTTCTCTCATAATGACTTACCTCCTCATACTCCATCTTTATTCCCACAGCAACGACGACGTATTCATAATTGATTTTGTGTCCTTCTCTGGTCATCACAAAATTGTCTTTTGGATTGATGTCGGCAGCGTAATCTTGTATCCACTTGGCACCCGCAGGCATCAAGTCTTGTTCACGTCGATGAGCCTGCTTTAGGTCACGGACACCGGCGCCTACCAGTGTGAACAGAGGTTGGTAATAGTGATCCTGAGAACAATATCAAGGTGTAAAATGAAAGAGAGGATCGAAAAATTTCATGAAATGTTCTCCCCTCTTAGTGACAATTATTTTAGTAGTTTGAGATTTTGCATAATGTCTTGGGGAGAGGCAAGTAAGTAACTCGCATCTCCCCAAATCTATGACAAAAGTGCAACAAAATAGTAGGGACTCACCTTGCTCGGTTCTAAAACTATAACTGAATCCTTTGCTCTAAGCCTCCTCACAAATTTCGATGCTATCGTAATTCCACCACTACCTCCACCTACCACAAGAAGTTTACATCTGTGGAAAGAATAGAAATAATTTATATGTTAATGTCACCAATATAATTGTTTTATTTAGGAATCAAGCCTGCAACACTCAAATTCCTTTAAAAACAAAGCATCTTTTATACATATTTATTATTTATTTATGAATATTTTAAAATATAGAAACGAATATATAAAGTAAATAAGTAAATAAATATTCCTAAAAGGCCGGCAACGCGTTTGTGACTCCTGAGTTTTAGACGTTCATGGGCAATGGTCACTTCCATCAGGTGACCCCTCTGCTTGTGTGCCCCCTCTGGCATAAAAAAATATATATATAGGTATGTATACTAACGAATAAGTAGCATCATGCGAGGCAGAGACGGAAAACCTGCGAATAGAAGTCGTAACCGAAGAGAGTTTTCGAATAGCGTACATAGTTAAATAAGAAATCAACCAGCTTCGCAGTCAGCATCAACTCATTCATAACGGATATCCACCACGTCACCGTATGTATGACAACAGCAGTATTGAATAGGACTGCTCGCCTCGTGTTATAATAATTTAAGGGTTTTGTTTGATTATCATATACTTAAATGGTATACCTCCGTCAATTTTACCTACGACAACAACAATCAAGTCAGTATGGCCACGTTTTAACCGACTAATTAAAAGTGAGGAGGTTCTTATTTCGGTTAATTTTCAATGAAGGGTTTCACTATTGTGTATGTTTTTTAGTTTTTTCGTTGGGTATAGTAGTTTGTATTATAGTATGTATTGGTGTGCTCTGTTTACGGTCCATTATGCGTGAGGGTAGTTAGCTAGGCGTGCTCACCTAGCTAATTAAATTCAAATTTGGCACCCAACGAGGTATGTGACTTCCTTGGTAAAAGCTAATTGTGTACCAAATAGTTTAAGAAACTATGGTCTCCTAAGTAAGTTTTTTTTTTGTGAAAATAATCATCTCCATTTTTCACGATCAAATTGTAGGTTTCACATCACTGTTCAGTGCGGACCTCAATTTGATTGCATCAATGTATACATTTATTATAAGAGCAAAAACTTCTTTCTTCTGTACAGGAAAAAAGTTACACGATGAAAGGATAATTAATTTTTTTTTTTTTTTTGTTATATTGGGCAAAAATGTTTTTTTCGTATTTTGTATGTATAATATGGAAGAAAAGTGTCTTTGGTTGTATCGTTTCTATCTGGCTGATTTTAATATATCATTAAATGTAGTACATTAAGAAAAATAAAAAATTAAAAGTAAAAATATTTTCCCGCCATTTTTCAATTGTTTTTCGGTCCGCAAAAATGAGTGAATCTGACGAAGAAATTCGATACATTCTAAAGTTTTATCACAAAAAAGAGAAAATCGCGTCTCTCAAGCCGCGAAGAAAATTTGTGACGTTTATGCATCTATTATGGACCTAATGCAGCGTAAATAATAGTATCACAAAATTGGTTCAAGCATTTTCAGTCAGGGAACTGATTACAAAGATGCAGCTCACTCTGGTCGTCCTTATACAGATATAGTCGATGCCATTTTGAAAACGTGGAGCAAGATCGGCGTATTATTAGTTAGATACGACATAGCCGAGGACAGTCCCAGTGCTCAGAGAAAAGTGTCTGAAACTCAAGTGTCAAATTTTCACGAGTCTATTATAATAACATTGTCATCGAGTAGGTCGCGACCATTCTGCATTTTAATTGAATATAATATTTTATGTCTGCTTGACAGGTAGGAAACACCCTTTCTACTGGAATCAAGTAGGTGTAGTCTGGTATAGTCCACTGCTGGACATGGGCCTCTCCTTAAACCTTCTTCCTAAGGAGAGGCCCATGTCCAGCAGTAGACTATTACAGGCTGTTGATGATGATGATGATGTCTGCTTGGCACAACTTGGTACCAGTAGAAAGGGTGTTTTCCCTAATGAACGACTGAAAAACCTAGCTTCGGGCTCCGGTTCGTAGGGCAATGTTGATGTGTGTTGAACAATTGTGAATATTAAAAATTATTTATGAAGAATAAATTATTATTATTTTTATTATTATGTATATATTAAGAAAAAAAATGTTTCTGAGAAAAATAAAAATTGTTAAGGATTTATGTTTCTCGACTCTTTTAATTTAAATAAAATAATACTCTAGAAAAATGTGTTTTATGTAAATAAATAAACCAGAGACGTCCCGTTTTGTGTAAAAAAAAAGGTCACGTTAGGTTTATAGGAAGGTTTAAATAAAATGAAACAAATAATAATTATATTGATAATCTTTATATTGATTAACATTTATAAATATAACTGTTGTAAAACATAATTATCCATTACAAAATATATTAAATCCGTTCAACCACCTGCTTCATCTATCAATGAGAAATTTACAAAATAATGTATGTTTATTCGTATGTTACATGATATTCTATTAAATTCACTGAATAACACTTTACTTAAAACTCAATGCACATTATAGACTAATTTTATATAACACACGAATATTCTTATTGATTGAAAGATACTACAAAAAGGACTAGTTGAAATAGGTAGACAAAATTATAGCCGACTTAAATATATGGATTCAGTATACTTAGTAAATAATTAAATGTATATACGCGTATATCATCGAAATCTTCAATTTTGTAGTCAGTTAACATAAGAAAAAACTTAATCTTTCATATGTTAGTAGTAGATTTTCTTGAACTGATCTAATTTAATGAGTATTTATTATGTTCTCTAAATAATAATATTTTATCGTTCAGTTTCATATATCTATACTAATATTATAAAGCTGAAGAGTTTGTTTGTTTGTTTGTTTGTTTGTTTGTTTGAACGCGCTAATCTCAGGAACTACTGGTCCGATTTGAAAAATTCTTTCAGTGTTAGATAGCCCATTTATCGAGGAAGGCTATAGGCTATATATCATCACGCTAAGACCAATAGGAGCGGAGCACCAATGAAGAATGTTTCAAAAACTGAGAAAATTTATTACTATTGAGAGACGCAGACGAAGTTGCGCGGGTCAGCTAGTATACAATAAAATCGTTTTAATAAAATCGTTTTAATAAAATTAATTTAATGAAATTAGTAAACGAAATATTTAGCAAAAATTTAATTGATTTGAATTCAATTCAATGAAAAAAAACAACAATAAAAGAAAAAAACGTTAGAAAAAATCAAAGGTTTTGTAGAACTACCAAACCATTGTTTTTTTTTTTACTATAGGTGCAATATATATACTAAAACTTGTGGCAACTATTTTATTAGCATTGAAGTAAAAAATAAATACCAAAGCAAAAGTGTATAAAAATAGACAACAAATATGCCAATTAGTTTTAACAAAAATATGAAACCAAGAAATAGTTCAATATTAAAAAAAAAGATACCACATTAAACCAAATTACTAGTTTAAAAAATCTATCCATATAAAGGTTGGTTAGAGTGGAATTTATTTCCAACTTATACACACTTAATTCTTTTACTTTCGTTACCTTTTTACCTACATTTAGGTACATGTATAATCATTTGTCATATCTTGATGGGCGACTATGCTCAAAGTTATTTCATATAGACAAACCACTCCCCTGTGGACATCCCAAAATGGGAAACCTGTCATGCTAAGTAACACTTGAAAACTAACAATGATGGCGTATTTGCTTAGTATAAAATAATATACTAGATCCTTACCCGATCTTTTTAGGACTTACTTGAAAAAAATAATAAAAATTCAATGATTCAAATATGAAATATATATGTACATATATAACATTAACTTGTCAACATGTTTATATGTACAACTTTGTTTGCCATAACTTCCAAACCTTTTATAATCGTACAGAAAAACATGCATACTGGACGCCGGTATAGGTGACGTACCTGTAAGGGTTGCAAGATCAAAAAAATTGTTTGTGTTACCAGCCCATGGGGTTTATAATTTTTCTAACAAATTCGGGTCCATGGTAGTAACCTTTGAGCATAAATTGCCAGTACAGGAAAGGAAATAGGTGCCTCTTCATGTAGAACGCCATAACACTTTCTTTTGACTGAAACAAAAACTTTTAATTAGTTATAGTAAAAATTGGGTCCGATTCCGACCAAGGATAAACATTTGTGTGATGAGTAAGATTATTTGTCCTCTGTCTATGTGTAAGTCATTCACAAAACATATGTATTAAGTAATATATAGTTACAATAGATCAGGCTCTGCCTAGTTTGAAATCAGTCGGCATTTATGTGAAGTGCTTCAAGTCAAGTGCTATTATTACTGTTTAAATGACTTTCTGTAACATTTGTAAGTTCCATCCTTTTTTTAAATTGAATGTAGTTTTTGGTGTGTTAAATAGAAAATAAACTTTTACTGGTGCAGTCTATCAGACCTATAATAAAAAGAGATCTGATTCCGCCTTACATACAAAAAAAAACTATTGAAATACACACCTGATCAAAAGGCAAAGTTTCATGTGGCACGCCGCCATAGGTGAACTCGGCGAGTATACAAGTGTTGAAAGAAGTGACGAGGGGACACGCGCCGTATCCATCATACTTCTCTTTGGGAGAATCCTTCTTCATGGTGCTAAGCAGATTGTGCTCCAAGACGTAGCATTGCTTCGCTAAAATATAATGTTAATGTTATGATGATAGATTTAAAAAGTAAAACCTGAATCAATAATCTTTGGTTACAAATCCTGTAAAAAAAGATACTTACCAATAGCAGCTGCAGTCTTGCTATTAGGCGTACTAGTGCAGTCGCCTATACCGTACATGTTGGGGTATTTGTTGTGCTGCAGTGTGTACATGTCCACGTCGAGGTACCCTTTAGCGTCAGCGATCAACTTGTTGCGTCGGACGACTTCGGGAGGGTGCTGGTTCGGCACCACATGGAGCAGGTCGTACTGTTTCGTTATCGTCTGTAAGGTAAAGTGATTTTATTTTATGTTTAATAATTTTGGGTCAAGGCAGTTAATGACATGTTGAAAATAATTATTTAAGAATAGTGTCTTAAGTATATTAACAAATAAAATTAGAATGTCTGTCTGTAATATCAACATATCAGCTTATGACTAAAAGTAAGAAGCATGTTTACACGGCACTTACAACAAATAAGCAATGTTTAAATTATTTGTTGTTATTGTAAATAAACGCATATTTTTGAATATTCATGTAAAATCGGGAGAAAAAAAAATAAGCATGAAAAATTGTACATTTTCATAAGAAAAAAGTTTAAAAAAAACCTGTTTTTCTTTTTCATTTTTTGGGCTTACTAATCTCTTTATCGCCTACTTATAACATTCAATTAAAATATTTCAAGTATTTTTATCGTATCACAGAAACGGTATTTAGTGGCTTACATTGTTCTCATCATGGCAACCCTGGAACACAGCCTCCTTCTTGTCGTGACGTATCTCCTTCAGTATCAGCTTATAGTCCACGTTTATGTTCTTGCGCGCAGCCACCTTCACAAGTTCTTTCGCGTACTTCTCTACACCAAATATTGCCGGCGTGCAAGTCGTGTACGATATGTTGGCTTTGGAGCGGATGTTTTTCTGTTAAATTAAATTATTTATTTATTTACACATCATGCACATTTGGTGCATTGGCGAACATTAAGTCCGCCAATGCACCAAATTTGCCTAAGGCATTCTCTACCGGTCAACCATTAGGTGATGCAGAGAAAACAGGAAGTAGGTGCATTTTAGTTACGGTTGATTTAGACATTTAATATTGTATGTATACTTTGTGCAAAATCATATAATATATACACATAGAAATCTGTCATATACTACACCTGTACATATTAATATTATACATAAGTACATACTTTATAATACGTAAATACAGTGCAGCAGGCAAAAGCTACCTTAATATAATAAACCTAAATAGCTTTTTTGGTTGACTGTTTGTTTGTTTGAAGCGCTAATTTTTAGAACTACCTTTATGTCGGTTTTTTTGGTATGACTATATTAGGAGAGCATTCACTGAGGAATGTAAATGCAGATGTAGAGGTTTTTTTTACATGACGGAGTCGATTGTTAACAATAACTGAATAAAGTGGTTGTAGTATTTAATGGATTAGCATGATACATAGCGTCTATTAAGTGTGTTAAAAATAATCCAATAATCGATTGATAACACTATCAAAATGGTTACCGTTGGAAAAATATAGGCTAAGTTCAGTGTGTCAGAGCTCATATTCTAGGGGAATAAATCAAGCTACCTGGAACGAGATATACATATGTACTTGATTCTCTATCAAAAGTAGATTTCCAACACTCTGTACTACCTTTCGAATAAACTAATAATAATATAAAAATTTCAACATTTACAACTATGATGAACAATTATTTTCTATCTAGAGGTAGGACAAGGATCGGGGCACCAGGGATTTCCTTTCTAGGGTACACCTGGTTCCCCGACTAATGGTACCTGAGACGGCGTGGGTTTTAGTCGGTTCGAGTCCGACATTGCCACCGGTAAGTGGTATCCGAGGGGATTTCGGCACAGAAATAAAAAAAAGGGGTAGGACAAGGAATTATTGCCTAGTGTAATCCAAATCTTCTTTTGTCTTTTGCCCTAGAGATTAATGAAAACAATTTTAAAAATACCTGCGTAAAATAAGTTTCTGCTAAATAAGCAATCTTCTGTGGCGCACCGGGACATTTGATCGCGCAATGTGGGAACGTGAAAATGGCATCGCCGCCTTTAAAGTTCTGCAAATCCTTCCACGTCTTCTGGCAGTAGTCAGGCGTGTATATCGTCGATACACCGCTGTTAGGGTCCTTAAGAGCTTCTAACATGCCAGGTATCTACAATATATCAAATGTTAATTTAAATATAGAAACTTATTTTAAAATTAAACTTTATCAAAGTAACGCCCTTTAAGACCATAAGTTCCAAAACCCCATAAGTCACACAATTAGATTTTTTCAGGAATCAGTAAAAACTGTTTCATTCCCAAAAAAACAAGTTTTAGAGGACTTTTTTATGCTTAATTTACTGTTTCAAAAAATTGAAATATCGAATAAGCTTCACAGTTTATGAATGAAAATAATGAAAAAAAAAACCTGAAAAACTCGACTTATGTGGTTTTAGCAAGAAATAGTATTAGTGGTATATAATTTATCAAAACAATCGTAGTAATCATATTTTTTATTGCACCAAAAAACTTTATTTTTTTACATTTCGCATGTATTAATTTGTATTTATTTCTGCATTTTTTTTTGGCAGAAATACAACATTTTGTTTTTTTAATAATTAACGTTCAATAATTCGTAATCTTTACAAAGTTACAATTGCTTCGGAAGAAATGTTGTTATCCTTTTTTTATGTTAGAGGGGGCAGACGAGCAGACGGATCACCTGGTGGAAAGTGACTATCGCCGCCCCTGAACGTCTGCAACTCAGGAGTCACAAAACGGCCCTTTAGGAAGGAGTACGCATCACGAAGCCTTATATAAACGTGGCGACTGAACCAATTGCGTACCGTTCTACTAGATTAATGTTTTAGATCAGATTATGTTCTATACTGTCTTTCTCTCATAATGACTTACCTCCTCATACTCCATCTTTATTCCCACAGCAACGACGACGTATTCATAATTGATTTTGTGTCCTTCCCTGGTCGTCACAAAATTGTCTTTTGGATTGATGTCGGCAGCGTAATCTTGTATCCACTTGGCACCCGCAGGCATCAAGTCTTGTTCACGTCGATGAGCCTGCTTCAGGTCGCAGACACCGGCGGCTACCAGTGTGAACAGAGGTTGGTAATAGTGATCCTGAGAACAATATAAAAGTGTAATGGAACATGTGCTACGGGTGCGAAAGAGAGGATCGAATAATTTTATTAAATGCTTTCAAGGTTTAAGGTTACCGGTACAGGTTTTTGGTAGTTCGTAGATACTGTATTTTTTTATGACTGGATTATATGAACATTTAGTATAAATTTAAACAAAATATAGATGTTTATGTTAAAAAAAATTTCGTCACAAGTATATTAGAGTCAAATCTATTTACCGAAGCACAACACTTAACTGAGGAGCCAGTTAAAATGAGCCATATCTCCCAATTGCAAATGAATGCACGGATGGCGTCGTGGTTTAAGCGGCCGCCACGCCGCTTTCTACTGTGCCGAGTGTTGTGGGTTCAAACCCCACATGGGACAACACTTTGTGTGATCCACAAATTGTTGTTGAGTCTGGGTGTTCTTTGTGTCCGTTTCATGTGTGTTTGTAAAGTCCCCAACAAACAAAAATTGCTCTTGAAGTGACTTTCATGACCAAAAATAATATTCTTATAGGAGAGGCATTATCGCTAATAAGGGTGCGTTTGGGCACAAATTATAAGGACAATAACTTATACCCCTCTTGAAGTTGCTTTATTGTCCGCTTTTTTTCCTTATACGTGTTATATTATGACAAGGAACAAGGAAGTTGAACTTATAATGGCAAGAAAAAAGCTCCTAAAAAGCCACCTCATACACTTGTAAGAAACATATAGAAAGCATATACGGGCCATTATAAGGTAGTTAAACTCATTGCGGAAAATCAAAGGCTCTTAAAAAGCCGTAGGCCCTTAAAGCCGTCTGTTTATGATTCTGCAATAAGTCTTTTTCTTAGTGATTTGGCATTTTCGCAACAGTTTGGCTAATAAAGAGAAAAGTCAACCATTTTATAAGTGAAAAGTGAACGGTAAGTAATTATTTTATGTATTTACCTAATTTATGTGCTCATTTATAGCGAAAAGTGGATGGGAATTCAAATGCATGATAAAATGTGGTACGCTGTGTGTTGTAGAATCAACGCGCCCTTGAATTTTAGCTGTTTTTGTGCTACAAACGTTATAAATTATTTTGTCATGTTATAAACAGTGCTATTATGAGAGCAAAACGATTCTCACATCGTCTACAAGGAGTCTATGAGAGTGAAGACTTTATAATGGAAATATTTGTTGCATAGGCTATCGCCATTTTAAATATCGTTAGGGTTCCTTTCTCACGAACAAAATCCTGTACCTAGTTATTCTTGTTCCCATAATTATAATTGTATAAAATTTATGTTCCACACTATGGTTGGGTTGGCTGGAAGAGATCTCTTTATAGGGACAAGCTTGCGTTTGTGCACTAATTTTAAGTTTGAAGTATAATTATAATTCTAAGTACTTACACAATAAAGAATATAATTATTTACACAAGGTGTAGTTTTGCATCCTTGTCAAAATTCAGGAGGTTGTCAAAAAATACATAAATAATCAATTTAAATTACGGTACGTGTTCAATAATTAATAAAGCTGCTATTTTAAATTCTTTATATTTGACAGTATTTCAGATCGAACTAAACTTATTTTAACAAAACAAACATGTATGTGAGTGTCGTCTCGACGGTTGACGCGACTGTCGGCGCGGGCGCCCGCGGCCGCCCGCCGCGCGCCGGCCGTTTTCTAGATACCTACAATACAGGCTACAGTGAGCGATAGCCATATTTTATCTAGTTCGAATTCTAAAATCACCTACCTAATGATAATTAACTCATTTTTAAGCATCACTAAAAAGCGGCAATCTTACTCATGAAAGTAGTAGGTACCTACTAGACTAGTGCCTAAAGAAAGGTCACGTACCTTACAGACTGAGTACGGTAACTTTATCAGCTGATTAATAAAATGTTAGTTTTACTTTATTACGTTTTTTTGTAATCCTGCTGAACGGACAATCCCAAAATTGGTAATCGGTCCTATTCCTATATCTGAATAACAAAAGCATGTAGGTAGGTAGGATTTAGTATAACCTGAGGCCCACATCTGTTAGCGCGCGGGTTTGAAGGTTTTTTGTAATTGTGTAAGTAATCCATTATGCCAATAATGTCCAGTACCAATTTAAGTAATGCATATTTCTACTTAATTTGTTTTGAGCAATGTACGCGCATCTAATGGCATTTTGTTTGGCATTACATGATATAATATTTTTAATAAGTCACTTAAAGCTATATGTGAAATGTTGAATTTCACTGCCCATTCTCTAATATCACTACGAATATCAATATTCTTCAGCTCTTCATTTAAAAATATGTCTATATCACTATCACTATCGCCACAATTATATTCTTCCTCACTGGTTTCTTTTTCATTATCATTTTCTATAAAATAATACTCTGCGGAACCACTGGCTGATTCGTTGGTATCGGCTTGGTCATTTTGTAGCATCATAGGAGTAGATGTGGTGGGTGTAATGCTCACAGCCATATTTTGGTAGACTTTTTTTACTTTTCTTCTGTAACCACTGCTCCTTTTAAACTTCTTCCAGTCTTTTGAATCCATTTTTTAAATGTAAATTCCGCTCCGTAATAAATTCACAGAATCTGCTGTACTTTCAAAATGGCGAATCTAGTTATGTAAAACATTTTAATGTAACCCTAAAGAGAATAATATCTTTATAATCACTGTTTATGGGAATACGGATTGCTTTCATCCTTGTAAAGATCATATAAAATGTTAGAATTCGTTTGTTGTTTAGACGTCTTATCAAATGCTCCTAAAAGTTAGAGAGCATCATAGTTACCTTATGCATTACTTTTCTAAGAATAATTGACCATATTAAAAGTCTTTATATGACTTAGAATGTAACTAGCCTAAAAAGCAATGTACTAACTAGCCTCTATAAGAAGAACACATTTCGAACCCTTATTGTAGCCGTATTAATTGGATTTATTAACGTTTACCCAGCCAAATTATAAGGATAAAAGTAATATTAGCCAAATCTTCTAATAATGTGCCACTATAAGGAACATTTAGCCAAATCTTCTAATAATGTGCCACTATAAGGAACATTGACATAATAAATGCTCTTTTATAACAAGTATAAGAGTTAAGACCTTATAGACTTAATGTTATAAGCTTAGTTTGTTTGTTGGGTCCCCCGCGACACAGGAATGTATTCCTAATGCCGGAGTTGTGTTTAAAAAAAAAAAAAAAAACACTCATTTTTTATTACTGACTACACTACAAATTTAATATACTAACTACTAAATGATAAAGAAATTGCGCATCAATTGAAAGACTGCTTCTTTGAAAAATGATAGTCGTATGTATGGTCTGAGGCGCCACATATATATTGTATGGTAACTTTTTTAATTTTACATTAACAACAACACCGAGCTTAGATATTGTCTACTAACTACTCTCAAATACTACAAAATCAAACTAAATTATGATAAATATACATCCATTATGTTCCTAGATCTGACGGCTCCACAATTCGGACATTTAGATTTTTTTTTGTTAACGGTGTGGAAGATCCTCATGGATGTCCTTCGCCCAGTGGGGATTGAGGAGCCACCTTTTTGTTTATATAACTTTAAAAGTATTATGCTACCAAATTGAGGATCGAGGCTACAATTTTTTTCATTTACTACTTAATAATAATATTAATTTTAATGAAATTATTATAGCTTAGATAGACATCCAAACGGACATAAGTTATCTTACTTATTCAATAAATGCTTTGCACAATGAGTCGTTTATGTTTATGCTATTGTAACTAAACAGTTGTACTTGTGTGCAATACATAAATGTGTGAAGATCGTAAAATTGTATTCTTCGCTTTACGTTTCTTTAACTAATCTATAAATCTAACGTAGCAACAACGACTAAAAACTTTATGATGCTGTCAGTTGTATGCAGCGGTTAGTACGTACACATATGCAGATTTTATGCATGTATTTTTTATTTAGTTTTTAAATTGTTTTCCTAATCAAATTTTGAGTTGGCAAGTTTGTTATTCATTTAAGTTACAATAGCCATATGTGAACGGCTTAAAACAAGGGATGTTAATTGTTAAGGTTTTTTTTGTTATGAGTGTCCTTGGTGGGGACCATTATTTACATTGTAAGAGGCATAAATGACCTTCTAGTCATAGGTATTAAAGTAAAAGTAACCTGTGATGTGGTAATTTCAACATAAGTTCTAATCCACTAAATGGTGCTTTCCAAAAGCAAATACAGTCTTAATTAATAATCATTGTAATGATTTTGTTTCAGCCAATATATGTATAGTTTCGTAATAATATCTGTAGATGTGGATTTGAAGTTTTTATTTTTGCAAAACAACTCACGCACTAGGAATATATTTATCCTGTGTCGCGGGGGACTTTACAAACATTCTTTCAAACGGACTCTCAAAACACCTACCTAGACTCAGAACAACAATTTGTGGATTACACAAAGTGTCGTCCCATGCGGGGATCGAACCCACAACACTCAGCGCAGTAGAAAGCCGCGAAGTGACCGCTTAAACCATTGCGCCATCCGTGCAATGGAGTGTAAATGATATGTCCTAATGATTACACAACCAGGTAAACATTAAAAAGTAAAAAGTATAACGAATGGGACGCGGTCAGGTCATGTTGATAAAACATTCCGATATAATGCTCGTGTACCAAAACAATGTCTACACAAGTTGTTAAAACAAGTTAATTATTGAATTATAACATCGCTATTGTACTTTTTGGAAGGATAATACTAACAACAAACTGTAAACAGACATGTGCGTATAGGCTAAAAGAAATACGCAGATAGAGTTATATGACATGGTGACAGAACTCTAAAAAAATTTCTCATCATCTCAATAGTCTGCCGTTGGACATCAGGCGAGAAACAAACAAAGTACTATTTAAAAGGAAACTTAAAAGGTATTTTTTTGATTTGTTGTAATAGGCTACTGTTGTGTATACCTACCTGTAATAGTTTTAAAATAACTTAATTAAGAAATTACTTAAATAAGACTTAAATAAGAAAAATGTACGGAGACTCGATTCTCCAGTCAAACCATCAACCCGGTTTTGGGGGACACAGATTATAATATCATGTTCACAAATTAAGTTGAACTAAAAGAATAAAATAATAAAATAAAAAATAATTATAAATAAAGTGACAAAACCTCCTTTCTAAGGAGAGGCTTATGTCCAGCAGTGGACTATTAAAGGCTGTTGATGATGATGATGAAAGTGACACTATAACAGCTGCGTCAGAACGTCGAGTCTTGTTCATAATTTTTATGTTTACATAATATTTTGTAGTTATGCATCATATGCTAGGGTGAGCGATCATTATGCAATCATTCTGATGGCCTTGAATCATTTTGCTGGCGTTTATCCTCGTGACGATTTTACAAGATGCATTACAAACCTAACTGTACTTCTGTCATAAGATAATACCTACACAAATAGATACTTTCTATGTAATTTAAGAAGACTAGAAGACAGAGTTACATTTTATATTACTACTACATTAGTATGAAATTAGTTTTGTCAGATAATGTGTAACAGTTATATAATACTTGCTGACAGTAGCGTTAATTTACTTTTTAACTGACTTCAAAAAAGATAACGTTTTCAATTCGATTGTATCTTTTGCTCCTGTTTTTAGTAGCTTTAGGGTACCAAAATCAAACTAGACGAGCTATATGACAAATAAATAAAGAACTGAAATATTAAAAACACATTTTTTTAACTGCGTTGTGTAAAATGTTCGTGACGACAATCGCTACATTATTATGTTAATTAGAAGATCACGTATGTGTCTACAAGTCTTTAATCAAAGATCTATCTACGGCTATATAGTTATTTTTTAGTAAAGTCAGTTATAAAACCCTACAACAGCTTTTACATAAAAATAACGTAATTACTTTTTTCTGTATGTACCGACATAATTATACACGTTTGGAGTAGATTTAATCTTTAAATACAAAAAAAAGGAATTTACTTTGAGTCCGTCCGGTCATTCTATTCAAGCAACTTACTTTCTAAATGTACGACTTGACACAAATTTGTCCTTAAATGCTTAAGGACAAATTTGTTTAAGGAAAAATTTGTCCTTAAATGCTTAAGGACAAATTTGTTTAAGGAAAAATTTGTCCTTAAATGCTTAAGGACAAATTTGTGTCAAGTCGTACATTTAGAAAGTAAGTTGCTTGAATAGAATGACCGGACGGACTCAAAGTAAATTCCTTTTTTTTACTTATATGAAGTGGAAGTTACTTATATTTTCCTTTCTCAAATCATACATAAAACCCAATTTTATCCTTGACATGCACATTATGTTTTCTTAGCGTTCCTTCTCTGTATCTCCGGTTGTAATTGAGGTAAGGACTTCATACAGTTAATGTTATTTCTAATAGCATTGTCATATCACATTCACTTATTAACATTTATTTGTTTATTTATTTAAGGAAGCTCAAACATCTATTTTGTAGGTTACAATTTAGAATAAACTTAAGCGAACTACAGATATCTACGGCAAGTTGTGGTAGGATATTATAACTTACAACATATATTTTTAGTTTAAAACTTTTAAAGAAACAAACAAGGAAAAATATTTCATTTAGTAAGGACACTGTTATTTGTATGTAATACATGGATCCATAGTAGGAATAAAGATTAGGGCACGTTTGAGTTCCTTTTTGAAACATTTTTTATTTGAGTTAAAAATGTCTATATCGCTGAAGCTATTGTTGTACGTATGGACAATTATCGTCTTTATTGAGTTCCTACTACAATTCGTGCGGTAGCACCGAGAATACGCTGGTAGGCCTAGTTCACCTTTAAGGTATTGCTGAGGAAGAGTATTGAATTAAACACAAGATAAAAGTTGGGAACAATCCAAAACTCCACGCACAATATCAAATAAGAAACACATGTCCAGTATTACTCTTCTATCGACTACAGGTAGTAACTTATAGTGGTGACAGTCCTCGATATAAGTAACTAACTAGTAACTAAGTAATTACTACATTATATTTTTATCACAATGATTTACAACGGAGGACGGGTCCTCCTGTAATATTTATTTAAATTGTAAAAATATTTAGCTATAACATGCTATGTAAAGGGCTCTACACAGCGCGAAGATACCTTCTACATATAAGATTTTCATTGGGATAGTATAGGCCGTGTGAAGAGTCTTTAACGGGGAGTATTAAAAACAATAGGTAAGTGTCCCGGTGATTGCAACAACGCTATAGGTACTTGTGTGTACTCATGAAGCGGTAAAAATGGCGTAAGCTGGCTGACAACGTATTAGTGATGTGCCGGATCGTTAACAAAGTATATCCGCGGATACGGATCCGAATACGGATATTTGGTGTCAAGATCCGCGAATACGGATACGGATCTTAAGTTTCTTACTCAATCGGAGCCCGTGACCTTGATAGTTGTCGCCACTTGACGCTTTGCCGTTGATATTTAAATATTTCATTATTTTAATAAGCTAATACAAAGATGTTTGATTGATCTCATTATAAAGATAGCTCTTTCAGTACCTACGACCTGCCTAGTTGATTAAGTATAGTACGATAAATGATTGCAATACAAAGGTGCCAAATATTTGTTTTAAGAAATAAAAAGTAATCTGAACAGAATTCAATAGTTTTTCATAGCTACCTAATAACCATTATTCAGGGTTATTTTAAATTTACTGAAAACCTCTGAAGTGCATATTAGTAACATTATAAACAACAACTTTTCTTCTGGACTAACACCGAAAACGAAAGAAAAAAAATTGTTTCTCCATACAAACTAACAACATTTGATTGGTCATTTGAATGGAGAACCAATTTTTTTTTTTTATTTTGACGTTGGCCAGAAAAAAAGTTGCTGTTTATAGTGTTACAAACACATACCTAAGAGTTTTACAGTGAATACAAAATCACCTATATAGAATTTCATCTATGTAATATGTATTGAAAGATCCGCCAAAAAAGTCACGGATACGGATACGGTTACGGATCTCTCTTCTAACCTGGGATATCCGCGGATACGGATACGGATATCCGGCACATCACTACAACGTATTCATACATTCAATGCAGTAAATAAGTTTATTGTAGCACAGAGCCAAACGTGACGTCATTCATAATAGAATGATTACAAATTTGTTTTGCTTGAGTGTTTTGATAATAACTAACACTATAAATAAAGTGAGGTTTATTAACTTGGTACCAACATAATGTAATTTGAAAAATGTGGGTCAAGTTATACATATAATTTTAGTATCATTTAATTCGGAGTACACAGTCATGGCCGTGTACATAGTAATGTAATATAAATAAGCCAATCGCTATCTCCACTGTAGCAGACACTATCAATGTGTCATAAAATTAATCGGGTGATAACTGTAGATCACATTGTATTACGAAATGGCTGGGCCTCAATTCTGCTATTTTATGTTAATGCCAAGCCACTGTCATTCCATTGACACGCTATTGAGATGCCATCGACATCGGTCAAAATATCGGTATTCTGCTAACATAAATTTACACGTGTCAATAGACTGTCGATATGGTAAAATAAGTCATCAATGGTGATATCAACAACATTGCCATACCTGGAAAATTAAAAGTTTAATTTTCTTACAAATTTATAATGTACCGTTAACCAAAGTCTTACAAAAACATCGATGACATTTGTATCAGTGACAAGTCATTGGGATGCCATTGGTCTTACATAGTTAGTAGAATAGGAAAAGTGCAAAACTATGCCGACGACATTCCATCGACAGTCTATTGATACAATATAAAAATAGGAGAATTGAGGACCTGTACTCGCCTGTGTTGCTAAGTAGTTAGTGCAATGTCTAACTTCAGAGCATCATTGTTTGTTTGTTGCCATTAAACAGTACCTGCATGCATTACAGTCTCACTTAAAGAAGAATGACTGCTAATGTTATCTTTAAGTAGTCTTTTAGCAGATAGTTTTTTATGCCGTTATGTACCTCCTTAATCAATAAAAAAAAAAAACTGCAAAAGCTGTCCATTTTCGAAAAAAACTAACTACCTGACCAATGTACAAAAATCTGACTTTTTCTGATTTATCTGACCAGGTTTGACCCTGGCTTCTATGAATACCGAGACGCTATTTAAATATGAGACTACGATCGAGCTGTTATTGTCGCTGGCGATTTGTAAAGACGGAACGGTATTTACTGACAACCTAAGTTTTCCGCCTAAAACGTTTATCGCGGGGAACGTGTTTGCAGAGTGGTGGCATACCAACCTTATTGGAGTGTTGTGGTGGGTATGCGCATTTTACTACTATGTGAGTAATAACCTAATTTCAATATTGTTGTAAGTTTGAATTGTAAGATTATAGAAAAAAAAAACAAGAAAACATTTGAAATTTGATAGCAGTCCAGGGTAGACATCTGGGTGCTGAATGAAGATTACGCTGTGAACTGATTATAAAGCATATTGTACTTTATAAGACTCTCAGTGACCATCACCACTTTATAACATCCTGTTGCTGTAATCTAAGTACTGAGAGCATATGACCAAGAGCATGTCAACTCAATATGCAATAAAATATTGTTCATGATCAATAAACTTCCTCACATTACGAGGCAATCTCTGAAATATGTAAGTACAATAAAATAGTAGGGACTCACCTTGCTGGGTTCTAAAACTATAACTGAATCCTTTGCTGGGAGCCTTCTTACAAATTTGGATGATATCGTAATTCCACCACTACCTCCACCTATCACAAGCAGTTTACATCTGTGGAAAGAGTTAATAAATTCCTTTTTTTTTTAAACACACCCATATTAAGGTTTTGTCAGTGTACAGGAGGAATTGAACCAACTTTACAATTCTATGTGAATGTCTGGATGTTGATGGATTTGGATTATAGAGTGTCACCAACCCCTATTAATCCCATGGGTGTCGTAAGCCGACTAAGGAGGCAAACTACACAGGAAAATAGCACTGCAAAGAGGAGGCAAACTTGACACAAACCTTATACCAACCAGTCTAACCAGTGTGATGATGATATCACAAGTTCTATATAAGGATACATCACTCTAATTTAACAGAAATCACATATTTAAATCATATACCACAATTTGGTCCTAGCAGAAAATTATCTGACAGCCAGAAAACTCCAAAGCAGATTTTCAACGGACCTCAACCTAACATCTCAATGAATGTGCACTTGAATATTTTTAAGAAAGGTTTATATGGAAAAAGTTTTTTATCAGAAAAAATATTTTAATAGGCATAGTAGATTTACTCATAACACAATATCTTATAAAATTTATTTTTATGTGGTATGTTCTTATCTGAAGAGGGTCACTATAAGACTTTTCAAAATATTACAAGGAAATGTAGCAAACAAGAAATTTGGTAATGACTTGAATTTAGACAGATTTATTTTATGCTACAGCCAAGCCATATACATGTCATATCCTATCATAACAGCCTTAAATGTTTTTTTTTTCCATTTAAACTAGGTTACCATTAGCCAAATAAAAGAAATCCCTTCTCTGATTCAAAAATGGTTAACTTAAAATTTTAAGTAAGAATAGTAAATAGATAATATAAAATACAATATATACAAATAATAAATATGCATTTCAACTAAAGTTGAAAGTAACTAAAGTTGAGTTTAAATTTAAATAAACTGCAAACTCTCTCTCTCTTGGTTAACGATTCTATAATAATTAATGTATACTTTTTTATCTATCAGTGGCTCTGTAAAATATCTATAGAAAATATGACCATATATTTACATAATATATTATAATATTAACAGCTGAATTTCTGTTACATAAATATTTTCTATTTTTTAACAATACTTTTAAAAACTGTCTATTGATATATATGGATATTTTAACATTTATACTTACGAATAAGTAGCATTATTCGAGGCAGAGACAGAAAACTTGCGAAAATTTGAAGTCGTAACAGAGGTGAGTTTTCGTATAGTATTCATAGTTAAATAATAAATATACCGGCTTCGCGGTAAGCGTCAACTCATTAATGACGGATATCCTCCACGTTACTGTGTAACACTAGCAGTATTGAATAGGACTGCTCACCTCGCACGATAATAATTAAAGTGTTTTGTTTGATTCTCATGTACCGCTTAAATGATAAGCTGCTGTCACCTTCAACTGCGACAACAACAATTTATACATTTTATACTGCCAATACGTCGTTTTACGTCAACCAACGTCAAATGAGTGTTGCTAGGTTTTTTCAAGATCTCAATTTACAATATTCTTAACGAAAATCTATTAACAGAAAAACAGGAATATCTAAGGTCAATATTAAAACGGAAATGATAAAACACTTCTATCATTGTCTCTAATAGTAGATTGTAATATTTTAATTAGTATTAGAACTATTGTATTATCACGTATTATCTACGTTTATTAGAGGGTGCACGCATGGGTGAATTTTGTCTGTGACTGTAAAAATAACCCACAATATAGGCAACGAAAGAGATGGATAATAGATAGTTCCCCCTGTCTCTTTATAGTTGAGCTCTGTGGTTGACTTGAGAAATTTCTAATCGCTGGCATTTTCTACGATCAAGACAAAGTCTACTTCACGATATCCAATCGCAGCTTTGCTAAACAGAGACAGAGTCAACTATCGGGCATCCATCTCTCTCTTTACCTGTATCACTTCCACTTACAGAGAGCTGTACCCCGTGTTCCCTCTATGTTTATATTTCTATGGTTTTGTCTCTCTAGTCTGGATTGTGAGTTCATATGAAGATGCGTTTAGTGACGTGACAAGTGGGTGATTTTTTTTCCGCCTACAAATCCGTGACAAAACTGTCACCGCGACGGTAGGTTTTTAATAGCAGTTTTTATAGCCAAATGACGCATAGGGCCTGTCTGCACAGTGATAGTTCATTGCAATCGTATCAAAAGATGTCACAAACATTGAATTCATCCTGAACACATGATTGATTCACAATTATTGAGTAATACAATACTTGATTCACAACAAGTATTGAGCTGAGACCTTTGAAAGGTTTTTTCTACATTAAAAACTCAGTGCATCGCAGTGCGGTCATAGCCATATCTTCTTAATACCACACAAAATATTTGGAAAGTACTATATAGATCCCATGAGTAACGGAATTTTTCGAAAACAAACGTACGATGAAATAAGCTAAATTTTATCGTGCGGACAGGCCCTTTATTTTCAAAATGCTTTTATCACTGTCACTCTCCACATTTCGCGCACTCCACATTGGAGATGTGGCGACAGTGACAAAACTTGTTTGTCACCGTGACCAAAGTAACCCGTGCGCGCATGCCCTTAGAATACAAACATAGTAACTAGACATAGAAATTATTCCTACTTTTAAATCACATTCATTTAATGAAATGATTGGTTATTGTCACAGCTATTTCACATGTGATTGTTATTTCGTCATGGACAAAGATAAGTGGCATTAAAACCAATCAAAATTATTTTTTCTTTTTTTTTCGCGAGTCTTGCGCTAGCTTAATAATAATAATTAAGTAGCAGTGGTTTTGTAAATCACTTAAATGTATGATGCCGTGATTTTAAAATCATATGATTTATCACATGTCATTGTGATTTTATTCCATCCCTAATTAATAGTAACATATAACAAAGCAAACCAAACACTACATCTCACTCAAAAGTTCAAAACAAAAAATGAAAAATGGCGGACGATGACGAAATTGACATTTTAGGAGATTTTTCATTTAATTCTTGTTTTGCTCAAAACAATCAGGGCATGTAAGTCAAGTGTTTTAGAAATAAAACCAGTGATTGTAAGTTTTTATTAAAAGGCCGTTTAACAGTTACGCAATATCTGTGCACTGTGTTTTGTTGACACTAATTCACCACACAATTCGTTGCTAATAAATGCAACTTTAAATTATCAATTACGATGCATTTATTATTATAAGTACGCTTTTTACATATGTTTAACCATATATTTACATTAAACCTCAATATGGCAAGTACCCAGGTTAACAGTTGTGTATTTTTATGTAGTTTACCAAAGTAACTTTTTAATAAGGCTACTTTTATTAATTGTAACTTCTTCTTTATATATTCGTTCAACCTTTATCGTTTGTATGTTTCAAAGTTTTGTAAGTGAGCTGGGTCCATAGGTTTTAATTTGTTTTAATTATTCGACATTTCTATGTTTAGACCTTCGTGTTCCAGTCGTGAAGATACTGTACACCCTCAGTGGCTACTCGATTCAACTGAAACAAATTGGTATGACAAGAAGAGTAACAAGTAAGTGTAATATATAAATGTTTCCCGATAAGGTATAGTTGAAACACAGAGTATATGAAAAAGAACACACTGTGAGAATTACCACAATACTAGTTTAGTTATTCCCAAAATTATTTGTTAATAAATACGAACTAATATCTTAAATGAAATTCTGACAGTGCTATGAATTATATTTTGGGGGTTTTTACATTTTCATATAATTTGATGAAAAAAAAAGGTGCTGCAAAGAAGAGTTAAATAAAAACTGACACTGTAATCAAATAAAACATGGATAACACATCATAAGTCTCTAATATGTGAATCCACAATTAATTTATCTGTAAATAAAAGTGCAACACACTCCCCCCTAGTCATTGCAACACTAAGAATATCTTGTAAAAAAATTAAATTCCATCTAAAACTTTTCAACAATATGCTTATAAAAATACTTGTAAACTCAAATGTTTTATGTGATTTTAGACTAAAAGAAGGATCCCCAAAAAAATTATATGGCAATAACTCATTTGACAAATGCCAGAATGCGGTATGTAGGTCACAAACGACATGGACCCAAGCAGAAAGGGAGGTGCTTGTCAAAGAAATGGTGAGTTATAGAATACTAACTAAGCAAATCTTCTGTAGCTTTTCATGAACATTTAAAAAAAAAACAACATTTAATAGAACATTAGTCAATGCCTTAGTCGTGCAGGCGTAGCAAACGCTACTGCTGTGCTGAGGTCTCGGGTTCAATTCTTGGGTCAGAACAAATTTTTGTACGATCTGCAAAATTTTTGTGTCACGGGTTTGGTGACATATTTGATAATTAATTCTTTTAAATAATTTCAGGCCAAGTATGGCAGGAACATATGCAAAATATCACAAGCATTGAAAACAAAGACTGAAGCAGACATTCAAACTTTGATTGAGGCCGAATATGGTGTGAACTTGGATACACCATCATTTGGCCTGGACAAACCTGAGGACCATGATGATGTGCCAGCAGTAGTGCAGGAAGAAATAGTCACAGATGATGTCACTTCAATGAGCACTGTCCTAAACTTGGTCGCTACAGGAGCACCTACTATCAAACTGCCAAAGAAACCTTTCAGAAAGAAAAATTCTAACTCAAGAAGTTTACTCAAGCCAAATATTTTGTTAGAAAAACAGTCCGAGCTAATTGCTATACATCCATCGGAAATAATGTATCAAGATGATTTGGTAATAGGCTCTACAGAATCTGTTGGTTCTGATTTAAATTTAACTGATATTGTGTCTAAAAATATTAAGTACCAAGTGAAAGTTAAGGCTGAGAAGAAAATTGGGAACCATAGGAGAAAAGTAGCAAGGAATTACGATAAGAGTAGGGTAAGGAATAGAAGTAAGGAATTATTAAAGTCACCTCCAGGGAGGCATAGAATAGACTCCAGTTTGTCAGACGATAGCATGAAGAGTCCCAAAATGCAAATAGTTTTAGGCTCTGGTCAAGCTTTACCACTGTCAGAAGGGGAACAAGTGGTGAGTATTTTTGTATATGTGGTATCACACTCATGGGCTGTTTGTCAGTGACATTTGTGAAAGAAGTATGAACTGCGATCACATAAGTATTTGCTGTAGTTTTGGTTGTGACAGTTTCAGCAACTAGCTGTAGTGTATGTGTCTATGCCAGGGTAAGCCCTTTTGTTTGTGTACCTTCATTCAAAATATCTTTTTTATTTTTTCATTAAATAATTCCTTTTTTGATAAGAAACCCATTATGCATAATTATTTAAACCAACAGTTTCTTTGTATTTAGTATTTTCTAAACTATTCTATAACTACATGTGTTCTTTAATAAGTGAATGGAGAATATTTTTTACAATTACAACTTCAACAAACAACAAAATACATGAAAATTAAATTTGATTTTTTTCCTCAGATTAAAATTGAAAAGAAGAAGGACTCAGATCCAGAGAGTGACATTGATGTGGATGTAGACAGCGACACTGAAAAGACTTCAAACAAGAGCACACCACAGAAAGATCTCAGTAGTCAAGCTGCCAGTGAGGAAGCACCAATTGCTGTCCCACTCAGCAAATTCGAACCTATGCCTAAGCGGCAGAAGAAAATCAACCTGGTAAGCTTCAATGCACAGTGCTATAAAATTTCTAAAGAGTGGAGATGGATCTCTCTATTAGGATGGGGTTAGCATATGTTTGCAGGAGAATATCTCGGCGTCATAACGGACTAAAACTTGAGCTTTAGATTAAAAGATGTTTAGTGACTAAGCTGAGACAACTCATCGAAATTTTTCTGGATATAATAACTTCTTAGGATATAAGAACTTTCTGCATATAATAACTCATGGTAATTAAAATTATTTCTAGAGCCATGTGATGTGTTAATGTTAATTATTTAATTAATTGACTTCAAAAAAATAAGGTTTGGCTATCAATTAAATTTTTATGTACCGGTTTAGCAAACTCATGTATATGGTAGATGAAATCTCCTGAAGACACAAAAATTATGATAGAAACAAGGGAACTTCTGTGTGACTTGAATTGGTTTTATTGTCGTCACAGCGACTTGCTATGTATTTAAATGATTCGCGAAGTCAGACTGTACTGGTTTTTTTGTACTGTGATGAAAATACTATAGTTTAGTTGGTTAAACATGTTATATTAATTTAGGTGCATACTTGTTTTTCCAGGACGGTGGTGGCGGCTACACAATAATGCACACGGAGCAGGGCGACCTGTACGCGGTGGGCACTGAACCTCGCAGGGAGCGAGCGCCCAAGAAACAACACGTGCAGTTGTTACATTGTAGGATTTATAACGCGGACAAGCCTGTGAGTACTACATTCAAATAGCATCTAACAAATCTTGTGTGTTATATTCCACCATGTAAAACTGTATGTGTATATAATTTTGCCTTAAGTTTATATCTTTAATCTGCAGGCCCCGTTCGAAGTCCGCGTACACGTGTCCACTCTGCTCCTGATGGATGCGCACGCGCACACGTCGCGCGCCGAGGTAATGGGGCTGCTCGGCGGTGACGTCACCGAGCGTGTCATTGGAGGTGGCAGCCGGGTTGTGGTCACGGTGACGGCGTACAGAACTGCTAAAGCAGCCGCTGGCAGCACTCATTGTGACATGGATCCGGGTACGGGAACAATTTTTTTCATTTATTCATTTAAACAATACAAAAGTTAGTACCTTCATATATATATATTCATATTTTTTCTTTAGCAGCCGATGACGGTTAGTGGAAATTATGATAGTTTCAATCAGTAGATGAAACCTGGTCCTTTTAAATTAACACATTTTTAAATTTAGAATCCATTAAATAGAAAAAAACTAGCCTTGCCCCTCGAGTTTATCTGCACATTGCTTCGGTGCTAATTTCAAGTGCAGAAATAAATTAGTGCGCTGAACTAAAAAGACGTATTCATATTAGTTAAATATATAATTTAGGGTATATTGTATAGGGAACGGGCCAGGTACCGCAGGCGACTCAGGCGCCGGAGGTCGCAGAACGACCTCCGTCCTCCATAAGCGTAGGCCTGGGGGTGACAGGTGAGGCCATCTGTCACCCTAGCAGAAGCAGGCCGGGGTGGCGGCGAGCGCGTTACGAAGCGCGCTCGCTTCCAGGGAGCAGAGGGAACATGGGATTCCCACACGGGGGGTCGTCTACCTGTTGTTGTAGATGACCCGAGGTATGTAGGGCACCAGGGACATCCTTTCTAGGGTATACCTGGTTCCCCGGCTATTAGTACCCGAGACGGCGTGCGGTTTCAGTCGGTTCGAGTCCGACATGCCACCGACAGGTGGTATCCGAGGGGATTTCCGCACGGAAAAAAAAGGGTATATTGTATGAGTCTGTTATCTATGACTTATTGGGATAAATAAAAGGTGTCCACGTAAACTGGGTTTATTCTCGACTGACATAACGGGCGGCGCACCCGCCTCTAAACATGTATATTTTTGCTTCCGATACCTGATTGGTATTGGACTCTGGTTTCCGCATTTAGACGCAAGAATGGTCCTTTATGCGTCGAGGAAAGGTCGGGCTCCTTCCAGAAGCGCAGAAGCCTCCTGGGGCGAACACAGGCTTCTAGGAGCGATTTTGTAACATTACGCCATCTGAACTGTACACTTACATAATGATTACACATGAAAGGGAAGTAAGTAAGATACGTTATGTCCCTACCATAATATTCAATTGTCCCTTTCAGTGTCACAATCACGAGCAGCGGAGTCACTCCGTCAGTCGCACGTGGTGTGTGGTTGGCACCACTCCCATCCCCAGTTTCCCGCGTCACCGTCGGCTCAGGACTTGTTGTCGCAGCGCAGCTTGCAACAGGCGCTGGAGTGGAAGGTGCCATTCCTGGGGTTCATTACGTCACAACACTGGCCCACAGGCAGAACAGCGTCACAGTACCGGTAATAAAAATATACACAGTATTGATATTAACTCAAATCTCTATGCAAATATAAACACAAACTTATTAAACCTAGGTAATTAGCATTATTAGGTTATTTATCGGAAATACGTAAAAATATATAACGAGGTTTCTCTTATTATCTAACTATTTATTTAAAAGGCGTTTTGAGTCTCAAAAACCATATAAAAGTCATTGATTGTAGACAATACTAAGGATTTTTTTTATTTTACTCTTTCAGATATAAGTAGCAAAACAATACAATTTATAGTCTTGTACATCTCCAGATGTATACGTGTCGAAGAAGGTGAGAGTCCCGACGTCCCGGTCGGCTACCAGTTTAGCGTGAAACTTCTCCCGGACATCACGTCCGAGTCTCTCCCGACGTTCCTGCGAGAGCTGCGCTCTATCCTGGTGAGGGAGGCGGACGGAGACGAGTTCTCTGTAGACATGCTAAACGATAAGTGTCCACAGGCCGGAATTACTTACTTGGAAAAGGTGAGACATTCTAAAGATGTTCAATTGATGATAAGGGTGTGGTATTTTGTAGGATATCGTTTGTTTCTTTTTATATTACATGTTATTTATTTTACTGGCATATTTAGTTATGTAATTTTGTGGTCCGTTATTTTGATGTAATAGTTATGTGGATGGCTTAAATATCATCTTTGATTATTTATAATACAAAATTAAAGAAAAAATTATAAATCACACTTCGATAACAAAATAGCTACATGTTGAAATCTATGAGTGTTTATTAAACGGTAATACTCGTCAACAAATAGGTCTCTTAATGTTTAAAAAAAGTATGTGTTGTTTCCTATAGTCTTAAACATTTTATTTTATTCGTCAAACTATAAAGAAAAAAAACCTTAAATTGTTTGTGAATGATGTGAGCCCCCCCCCGCAGTACTTGTGCAGCGCGCGGCAGCACCTCCGCTCGGCGCAGTACGCGCCGCACGCGCCGCTCGCCCGGCGCCTGCTGCGCGCCATCGCACACGTGTTCACATAGCTGCTGCCCAGACACTGATAAATAGTTGTTTAACGTTTATACCACGCATTTAGTACTTATAAGTGAATGACGAAATCACGAATGAAGTCGTGTTTTTTCGTGAGTGCAGCCGGCTCCATCGAATTATAAGACGTTGTCACGTCAAAATTTAGTATTATAGAGTATCGTAATTGCGATACTTTAATAAACAAAAACAAATGCTTTTTAATTGCCATTTATGCTTGTAAATAAACACTTTACACGTGAGTCACTCGTTTTATTTATCACCGAACGTCAATGCAATGCATCTAATGTGTTTAAGACGTCTTGTATCTGAAAAAATATCAAAAATGCACTTCGCAAGTGAAGCTCCAGCAGTCCAGCTAGCTTCGTCAAGTTCTATTTTCTAATAGTCATTTCTTTTTTTCTATAAATTTACTACTCTACAAACTACTGCTGAGCAAAATGTATTACTTAGCTAAAAAGATATCATTTCGCTCTAGAGATATATCATCTGGCTCACTAGCTAGTTTAGCTCAGTGATACAATTCAATTCATTATTATTTATTCAATTTATTTTACAAATAATTTAGATTTTGTCTAAAAACCTAAATGAGCGTGAACTTGACCATCTGTCTCAGTCATTTATCTTGAGTCTTATTCGCTCATTAGATAAAGATCGGCGCCGAGTTACTGATTACTGATACTAATGATCCGTATGGTGACGGATTAAGAATACGGAATGTCACCATCCCTATTCATCTCGTGGGTGTCGTAAGAGCCGACTAAGGGAACAAACTACGCAGGACAACAGCACTGCAAAGAGAAGGAAAACTTGCAACAAACCCTATACCAACCCGTCTGGCCAGCGTGGTATAGTAGGCCAAAACCTCCTTTCTAGAAGAGGCCTATGTCCAGCAGTGGACTATTATAGGCTGTTGATGATGATGATGATACTAATGATGACATGATTATTATGATCCGCCACGTATCAGCTGATGGCAAAGTTTAGCTATGGATTTCTGTTGTGTCTGTAGTCCTCACACAATGGATGATGCCCTTAGGTTGTGTTTCAAGAATGCCTGGTAGCGCAAGAACTGTCCCCCCGGCTTGTGTTTGACTGCACGGATGGCGTAGTGGTTTAAGCGGTCGCCACACCGCTTTCTACTACGCCGAGTGTTGTGGGTTCAAACCCCACATGGGACGACACTTTGTGTGATCCACAAATTGTTGTTCTGAGTCTGGGTGTTCTTTGTGTCCGTTTCATGTATGTTTGTAAAGTCCCCCGCGACACAGGATTTATTCCTAATGCGGGCGTTGTCTTTTTAAAAAAAAAAAAATTAGTGAAAAAAAATAGCTAGTGACATAAATGTATATTATGTTTAAAGAAATTACGATTAACATACTTGCATTTCTTATATTCTTCACCAATATTATAGACAAATTGAAAGACTCCAAGACCTTATTCTCATTCTGCAAATTAATTTTATTTTATTTTCAATGTTCTTAATGGGTCAAGGAAGAGAAATTAAAATCAAACACATATTATGGCACAGTTCCAGTTTATTTTTTAAATGTTACATGTGCTAGATAAAAAAATAATACAGTCCGATTAGTGAAATTCTTTTACTTTAAATGTGCGGACGTCGACAAACGACCGCCAATCGTTGCTGAAATTAATACTTAGTTTACAAATCGTTTTTTATGTTCGTGCACTCAACATTGGAAAACATAATTTTGTATATTTTTTTATAATTTTAACAAGCATTTTATCCGATATACTATTCGAGCCTTTGGCTTTTCCGTACGCCAAAACATAGATATTTAAAATTAGCTTCGTATTATATTCAATTATAATCAATCTATGTACTGATACGTTCCGAGGCTCGCCCCTGTTGGGTCTTTTTGGTAGTACATGGGTCCTTTCACCTCGCAAGTGCCTTGTTTAATATAATTTAAAAACGATATAGTAATTTATCTATTCATACATATACAATCATATTGTCGTGTGGCCGGGCGTTGCACGGTCACTGTTCATTTTACTGGGCAATATAAAAATGTACTGCGTCCCAAACACAAAATATCACAACCACTTAGTAACTATTGATTGGTGATTAGTTAGTGAAAACAAAAATAGTGATATGAAATTGTAATGTACAATGGTGATCCGATGACTATCGTTTATGGTCAGTGTATTAGCTTTTCTTGCCCTTCCTACATGAACCAACACCTGGTTCAATTGATGAATTATTTATCAAATAATTACAGAAACGTAAAGAATTTCTACAAAAATATAGAAGATCAAACATGAGTTATAATATTTTGTGTTTGAATATGGCTTCACAACGCAACCTTAGGCAATAAATTAAAAAAATGATTTGTTTAATTAAATTAATAAAAAATAAAGAGTTCGAAACGATCGTAGCGTTACTCCTATATTTACAATGTGTTAACTTACAACTAATTAGAAGCATCAACTATGAAATTTTTTATCAACATTGAAGGCACATGATTCCGCACCCGATTCCCGTCATAAACGTGCATAACACTAGGTGCACTCTCCGCTGTCAACATTCCTCTGTACTTTTATTTTACATGGCAACACTGCAGATTATATCGTCTGTCAAAACTGCGAAAAACAAGATGCAACTAATAGAAAGAACCATCCGTAAAACTATTAAAAATATAATTTTATTCAAGACGACAGTTTTGACAAATAATACAAATTGTAATGTTGGTACATAATGGACCGGACATGACATACTAACTTATACAATATTTTATACAATATGCGAAATAAGTACTGGTATGGATCTATAGGTATTGCAGGCCATTCGTTACGGACATATAACAATAGGATGGTGAACATCAAGTCAATTATTTGAGAAGCAAATGGCGTGCAATACGAAAGTAGACTAGTTAACATAATTGAAGTTGACTTAGGGAAACTCAGTCTGGCAATTACATTTTATAGCAAAGTATTTTGGCTCACATCTAACACAGAGTTATATTGTAGAACAGATGGTACTTGCGTACTGTTAAACGAATTACGACTTTTAGAACTACAATACAGAGTACAAACTAGTTTGAAAATGACAAAACCAACAATACATTACAATAAGCTGTGATTTCGAATGTCTACACGCAAGGAATGAGACATGACTACTGAGAAACAGAAACTTTGAGGTCTAAGTTTACATGGCGTAGGACATTTGAAAAATAGGAATTAAAGCGTGGTGGATTAAGAATGTACAGAAGACTACAGTTTAACAGCAGTACCAACATAGTGTCATGATTATGATTAGTATCAAAATAACTCCGCACTAGACTGAGCCTAGGCTAAGACCGGTCGCAATGCAGGATAAACTTATGTTTCGACAGTTCAAAATAACGTCGCTTTTATACTTTTGCTTTCCAACTGTCGGTGTGTTCTTACATCTATTTCGCTAGTTCTATTCACAGCTGCGGCACGGAAATTATTTATATAAAACATGTTTCCACACTATATAGAGCATTTATTTCATTACACCACTGATATTGTATGAGATCCTGTCTTGCATTGATTGTACGATTTTGAATTGAGCTGCAAACGGACGCAAAACATGCCAGTTACTGGATATTTATAGATTAAATAGAAAATTCATGATTTTATTTAAATTGACACGAAAGTTAAATAAAAAGAAGTGATCCAGTAACCAGCATTTTTTACACCTGTTTGGTTATTTCATTCTTTCATCACGAATTAAGAATTTCCAATTATAACGACACTATATTTTAAACAGAACACGTCATTTTATATCTAAAATATTAATTTAAAAATATACAAACTAAGCAGTCATTCATGTAACACTAGGAATATTAAAAAAAAATGTTTGCATACCGTCATTCTGCAATAAAAAAATATCGTACAATAGTAAGCGTACTCAACTAGCTCGTAGTAAAAAAAATAGTTAAAATTAATTTAAAAAAGCTTATAGAGTCGATGAGGAACAGAATTTATACAATGTCGCACAGTTATAACTATTACGATTACACTTATCGTAATGTATTTAAAATAAATAATTTATTTACTCTAGCGTCGCCCCGCCATCTACTTTTAAACAGTAGAATTTATTTTAAAGCCAGAAAACAATAAAACCAATATGTATATAAATTGTACAAAAAAGTGTCATCACTGGTGTGAAGGCGGTATCAGACGGGGCGACATTATATCAAATATCACACACGGGCGTGATTCCATACGACAATATATGAGAACAAGACGATTTTTTACTAATTTATCAGTCAGTATTGAAAGTAAGTTAGACATGTTACAGAACGGATATATAATTTTCTAAAGGATAGTGCAATATTGTCGCATGGCTCACGTCAGTGTGCAGTCACTACACGGAAGAACCTGGATGTCTTCTGCGGTGTCTGACTGGTTGTGGGGGGAGGGGAGAGGGCACTTAGTCGATGCTCTTGACGCGCGCCATGACCTTCCCCTCGAACATTGGAAGCGTCTCTGAATCGCAGCTCACCTCTTCTTGGATAACCGTGTCCAAATCGGCACAGTTTGTTTTAAAGAAGTATCTGAAATTTTTGATTAACATTTTAGTGGTAGTCACTTTATAATTAAAGTGGTAAGTTTAACAATAGTTATAATAATAAACTGATTTTTCTTTGTAATTTTATTGATTTAATTAGAACATATATATGTTAAGGCTGCCTCATTGGTCCTAAATGATTCCGCATTCCATTGATTTCAAGAATATTGTCATTAGGTTACCTGTCAGGATCAAAAGTGTCTTAGTAAAATGTGAGTATTTATTCTCTTTATCTCTGCTTACTCCTTTCCTTAACTGATATAAGTGAGTGAGCAAGTTTCCCAGTTTTTTCATTAGTATTGTTGAACGTATCAATGTTTTTTTGTTAGTTGCGAATAAATACTTGAAGCTAACACACGTTGTTTCCTTATAATTTATACGACGCGATACTAAACTTTATCACAGCTGCATAAAGTTCCCGTATAAACTTACCTATAGTTGCCCTTCCTCGGCAAATATTCCTTGAAGGTTTTGAGCGTGAGGGGCGAGGCGGGTACCTTGAACCTGTAGGGCACATTCTCGTCCAGGAACGTCACCACCACAACTGTGTGGGTCTCCACCGCACCTCCGCCGCTGGTACTGCTCGACTTACTGCCACTGCCACTGTTGATATAATAACATTATATTCGTATTAGGAATACAGTCTACTTCAAGATTGAAATGATATGCACTGGAAAATACTCAATTTTTACGAGTATTACTTGTATTTTATATTAAATGTGCATTACATTTGCATGGATAGCAAAGGCTGTGAGGTTTGAAATACAATATACACAGAAATCCGGGTGGTCTTTCAGTCAGGTAATTGACTGAATGAAAGATGGTAGGTAGTGTTCATAAGGGATAAGAGAAGTCTGTATAAACCTAATAGACAGCAAGGTACATAAGAGAGAGAGTGGTCATACCGCGTCCTGGGCTGCTGCTTGTCCTTGCGGCGGTGCTCGTCGCGGTCGGCGGAGGAGCCGCGCGAGAGGTCGCGGAGGGCGCGGCGCTCGAGGCGCTCGCCCTCCGCCATCCACAGCAGGATGCGCGGCTCCACGCCCACGCCCTCGCTCACCACCGACACGCCGCTGTCCGTCAACTCCGTCACGGTCTTCTTCGAGAATGATCTGAAACAAATATTTTTGTGGTTAATAATTATTGAATGCCAAATAAACCTAAATATGTGGTCATAAATAATATAGACATAGATTTTTCAAAGAATGGAATAACAATAATAATATTTCACACAACTCACACACGGCTGTCTCATCCCAAACAAGGTAGAGCCTGTGCTACGGTGAAAAGACTGCTGATAAACATATATTCCTAAATAAATATTATACAAAAACTACAACCAGACACAAATCATCATACTCCTCACACAATATTTGTCTCGGGTGGGAATCAAACAGCCCAAAAGGCCCGTCAGTGGGTCGCGTGGCTATACAGTGATATACCTGCGAGTGAGCGAGTGCGGGTGGTGCAGCGAGTCGGGCGGCGCGTCGTAGTGGCCCGAGTCGGCCGACAGCGCGGAGGGCGCGTGGCTATACAGTGACATACCTGCGAGTGAGCGAGTGCGGGTGGTGCAGCGAGTCGGGCGGCGCGTCGTAGTGGCCCGAGTCGGCCGACAGCGCGGAGGGCGCGTGGCTATACAGTGACATACCTGCGAGTGAGCGAGTGCGGGTGGTGCAGCGAGTCGGGCGGCGCGTCGTAGTGGCCCGAGTCGGCCGACAGCGCGGAGGGCGCGTGGCTATACAGTGACATACCTGCGAGTGAGCGAGTGCGGGTGGTGCAGCGAGTCGGGCGGCGCGTCGTAGTGGCCCGAGTCGGCCGACAGCGCGGAGGCCGCGTGGCTATACAGTGACATACCTGCGAGTGAGCGAGTGCGGGTGGTGCAGCGAGTCGGGCGGCGCGTCGTAGTGGCCCGAGTCGGCCGACAGCGCGGAGGCCGCGTGGCTATACAGTGACATACCTGCGAGTGAGCGAGTGCGGGTGGTGCAGCGAGTCGGGCGGCGCGTCGTAGTGGCCCGAGTCGGCCGACAGCGCGGAGGCCGCGTGGCTATACAGTGACATACCTGCGAGTGAGCGAGTGCGGGTGGTGCAGCGAGTCGGGCGGCGCGTCGTAGTGGCCCGAGTCGGCCGACAGCGCGGAGGGCCGCGTGGCTATACAGTGACATACCTGCGAGTGAGCGAGTGCGGGTGGTGCAGCGAGTCGGGCGGCGCGTCGTAGTGGCCCGAGTCGGCCGACAGCGCGGAGAGCGCGTGGCTATACAGTGACATACCTGCGAGTGAGCGAGTGCGGGTGGTGCAGCGAGTCGGGCGGCGCGTCGTAGTGGCCCGAGTCGGCCGACAGCGCGGAGGGCGCGTGGCTATACAGTGACATACCTGCGAGTGAGCGAGTGCGGGTGGTGCAGCGAGTCGGGCGGCGCGTCGTAGTGGCCCGAGTCGGCCGACAGCGCGGAGGGCCGCGTGGCTATACAGTGACATACCTGCGAGTGAGCGAGTGCGGGTGGTGCAGCGAGTCGGGCGGCGCGTCGTAGTGGCCCGAGTCGGCCGACAGCGCGGAGGGCGCGTGGCTATACAGTGACATACCTGCGAGTGAGCGAGTGCGGGTGGTGCAGCGAGTCGGGCGGCGCGTCGTAGTGGCCCGAGTCGGCCGACAGCGCGGAGGCCGCGTGGCTATACAGTGACATACCTGCGAGTGAGCGAGTGCGGGTGGTGCAGCGAGTCGGGCGGCGCGTCGTAGTGGCCCGAGTCGGCCGACAGCGCGGAGGGCGCGTGGCTATACAGTGACATACCTGCGAGTGAGCGAGTGCGGGTGGTGCAGCGAGTCGGGCGGCGCGTCGTAGTGGCCCGAGTCGGCCGACAGCGCGGAGGGCGCGTGGCTATACAGTGACATACCTGCGAGTGAGCGAGTGCGGGTGGTGCAGCGAGTCGGGCGGCGCGTCGTAGTGGCCCGAGTCGGCCGACAGCGCGGAGGGCGCGCGGCGCGAGGCGTGCGGCGCGTGCGAGGCGGGCGCGTGGCGGGGCCGCGCGCGCCGCCCTCCAGGGGGGGACGCGCCGGGCGTGCGCTCCGACCACACGCGCGACACGTGCTGATCTGGAATCGATCACATCAACTTTAATTACCATCGTCATAACTCGCATAATCCATTAACAAATTAAAAGACGGCTAAAGCCGAGCGAAGAATAGACGTATAAATAACGAATTATATTGGTCGCTTACAACTAGTAATCATAATTTGGGTGATATTTGAGACGATATCACTAGCATGGATAGGACGATATTCCCGGCATTGCGGTAATTGATTCCCGTAATTATGGTAAGGCTTAAAAATATTTAATATTATTTAAAAAGTGCGGAAATAAGGTGCGGTTAAGGAATACGTTTATTAAAAAAAAATACATGAAATTGATTTTATTTTATGATTAATAGACCTCAATTAGTTAGAATATCTTTCTTTGAACAATACATTGATATTCCTAGCAAAATTTAATTAAATAAATAAATAATCCAATAAGTCTCATTGAAAAATAGGTCTGTATGGGTTAATAAGCTAAAAGCTCCTGAAATAGTAAATGGCGTCTGTCCACTCATCAAGTTTCGTATTAATTAATAACTACGTTGAAGGAGTATATTGCTGTACTTTATTGTATTCGTTAAGTTTCGTATTTAATTAATATTTACATTGACATCCGTCAAATTGCTGTACTTTATTTAACGTGTCAAAACAGCCATCATATCGTGCCACTACTTTAAAGTAATTTTAGATATCCTAAAGTTTTTCATCGGAAGTTTACCTACTACACAATACTTTGACAAATCTCAAACCTGATTTCGTACCAAACTAAATTTGTTCTAGGCCAAACTGATTTATCCTACATTATGCATGTCAAGATATACTAGTGTAGCTTAGAAAATCTAGTCAATAAACCGGTTTGGTTAAACAAACTATTTTGGCCTGATAATGGGTTTGCCCAGCGACATTATATTGTTTTAGATTGTTTATTGTTGGTTTTTGCAAAATTGTTTTCATGGACTTGTTAGACTACTTGTTTTATTTTATAAAAATAAACTTAAGTACCTAGTAAATGATTGTTTCATTTACTTATTTAAAAAAAGCCTGACATATATATTTTTGTTGCGTGAAGTATGAATTACATAGAAAAAAATAATTGTATAGAAGCACAAGAACCATTATCATTCAGAATTCTAATTTCCAGAAATTCTTGGTCAAAGTACCGATTCTTGGGCATTTTTGGTCATATTCATACTTTGGATAGTAATAACACCCAAGATTCCGATCTATGCTTATAACATATCTAGTACCCTCTAGTTTTGTCTCCGCTATGGTGGGCAACGGGCGTATTTTAGGCTGTAGGTAGACCAAAGATACCACAAAGGTAAAAGCAGACTATCTCCATACAAAATTATATTTAAATCGGTTCAGCGGTTTAAGCGTGAAGAGGTAACAGACATACAGACACACTTTCGAATTTAGTAGCCGTAGTATAGATACTTTATACAGTGCCCCACACCATTGAGAACTTTATCGAACGGATTTGGATTCATAAAGATGGTTCATGTGAATGTTATCAGTGGTACGTTCTTACCTAGGATGTCTTGATCGTTGTCGTCGTCCAGTTGTAACTTCTCACGTATAGCTGCCGCCACCAACTGCGGTGGTAACGCCTGACTTGACTGCACCTCTTCGCCATCACCCTGTACACAAAACCAACATGCAATAAAGACAAAAGGGTAAAGAAAAATTAAGAACTGTTATTTGTTGTGAAGTTTATAAGTTATATTAATAATAACGTTTCCTCAGGTTTTCATTGCGTGTAAAACTCTGTACTTTTTTCTGTTTTTTTTTTACAGCTTTTTCTGTTAATATAACAACGGTTAGATGATCTCGTGATGATCAGTGTGGTGACGGATTAAGAATACGGAATGTCACCATCCCTATACATCCTGTGGGTGTCGTAAGAGCCGACTAGGGGAGCAAACTACGCAGGACAACAGCACTGCAGAGAGAAGGAAAACTTGACACAAACCTTATATCAACCCGTCTGGCCAGCGTGGTATAGTAGGCCAAAACCTCCTGTCTAGCATCGAGAGCCCTAGGTCCAGCAGTGGACTGTTATAGGCTGTTGTTGTAGATGATCTCATGATAATCGGTTAAGTATTAATAATATAATAAATTCATTTTTGTATTTATAACAACACTGCAAAAAGGGACGTTATAAGGTTAATTAGGTGAGGTCTTTTACGGTATGTTTAATGTACTCAATTGACATTTCCTATTGTCAACATGAATATAGTAGTTATATTTAGTGGAGTGGTGCGTGTACCTCGGCGAGCCTCTTCTCGAGGCGGTCCTTGGCGTCCTGGTCGCGCCGCACGCGCTCCAGCTTCTCGATGAGCAGCGGCGCGAACTCGCTGGGCGGCAGCACGCGCAGCTGCTCCGACTGCACGCGCGCCGTGCGCGGGATCACCTGCAACCGGCCCCTGCTCACTCACCAGCCTGCTCGCTACTCTACTCTCTACTCACTTTTACCTAACATCCCAAATTTTAATTACCCACGAGAGTAATAAAGTAATATTGTTTACTTGTTGCGGTCAGTTAAAACCTCCTTTAAAGACTATTGATGATGAGTCTTTACCTTAAATCACCGACGCAATTTGTATCAGTAATATATATGGTTTGTTTTAACCTTCGGTATTTGAATAACTTATTATAAAAAATGCCAAAGCATTCCATAAAGTGTGATGTCATTATTTTACAGTACAATCCTATCCTTTGTGGAATGCAGTTCAAAAAACAATAACTTGAGTAAATGTTGAGTAGCGGCCATACAAATTTCAGTTGCGGAGTGAGAAAAAAATTTATTCATTAATTTTAGAGAAACCCCTCTAAGCGACTAAGAAGCTACGTTTCGCTTTATATATCAAAACTACAGCTTAATGTGGGAGGAATTACTAGCAGTGTTCTCACCATGGCAGTATCCTGTTCCTTGTTGATAACGGCGTGCCGGTCGAGTCCGTGCAACCGCGGCCGGTGTCTTGACTCGCGGGATTCGCGGACGCCCCGAACCGACATCCCATCGCTGTCGAAGTAGAAAATAACATAAACCTATGGCCCCACAAAAAATGCCACAAAATCGGGAATACCTACATATTAATTGTAAAACAACCAATTTCAAAGAAATTATAAAAAAATAAGTCGTTAAAGTATTACAAAGCAATGTCATTACTTTGCCGTTTTGAGTAAAGGGAGTTGGTTATTTTGCATTCGTTCGTCGGATGCAAGTTATTAGGGATCGTTCGGATGGAATGACAAATTAGTTATTAAAAGCTTCGAAACAAAAGAAAGAAACATTGAACTTACCTTTAAACTTTTGCGCAGTTGTGTACTCTATGATAATATGATCGGTGCTTAGGAGTTGTAAAGCGAAGTGATACCAGGTGTACTTACACACTACTGCCGGAGAGCGAGACGGCGTCGCTGTCGGTGCGGCCCGAGCTGAGCGAGGCGCGCTCGGAGTCCTGGCGCGAGGCGGGGCAGTACCCGCCGTACGACACGTGCGCGCTGTATACTGAGCGCTTGCGATGTCTGCGCGGGCGCCGGACGTAACGGGAGGGGTCGGGGGCGGAACGTTAAGGATAGCGAGGGTAATGAATACGAGGCATATTGAATGATGTTGGAAGAGATCGTTAAAGGTTGTGAAAGAGCAAGTGGCGAAGAATAAATGACGGTATTTTTTTTTGTTTACGGTAAATTATTTATTTTGAAAGGCCGTATGAAAAACGGTTCGGGTGTTTAAAAATACATGTTATTATTTAGAGATGATTTGAGTTCAGGTATTTGTACGGTCAGGATAGGGAACGGCAGATATCGCATAGTAAACGGACGGCAATACAGCGTATAGCGTGTAATGTTCGGCGGGGGCAGCGAGCATGCAGCAGGACACAAACATGGGGGCAAAACAATACACGGAAATAAATAAGCTGAACGGGGAGCGAAATTAAATTATATAACAGCACTTTTGGTACCAACGTCTTATAAATATACTAATACGAGTTACTTGCCAAGGTTTTTTTTTAGTTTTAGGCATTATCTTTGTGACTCACAGAATGTTATTCATTATTTGACGTAGGTAGTAAAAGGGGGTTAAAATAAAAGGCAAAATTAAGGGTTCGCTCATGCAATGCTGGGGTCACACGTCATGAACTCTCAACTTTATATGAAGTCATCATTATATCGGTTTGTAGTATGTCAGTAATTTTGAATTTTGTGACTTTTTTAATATTGATTTCTAGAATTTACGATATACCAAATCTATGAAATCAAAATAAATAAAGAACATGTTTTGTACTTTATACATACCTACTATCTAAACACTATACAATTTGACAACATTAAACTACTTCTAAGTTCTATGCGCACAACAATAGAACAAAACACTATAAACTTGCACCGTATTTACAACTTAATATTAATAAACTTAAAAGTCATAATACAATGCAAGCTTCACTATCTGTACAACTGACATATCTAAGGATTCATTTCAGATCACTCAAGCAAATATTATTCAGAATATAAATACATTTTATATATTATTTTTTATACATTCGATGGTATGCTATAAGTTTGGTAATACCAAACAAGTTTGGAGAAAACATAGATATATGATGATACTGTATACATGAAACCAAATTCGATGTATACAATTTAAATTCTTCGGTAAGTATGGCCAACTAATTAAAATGGATCTTTGAAACTGAATGTTACGTCGGACGGTTGACCTTATTATCTGAATAAGTTTTACTCGAGGACATGAAACGTAGACACGAGACGCACACGCGTATACACGTGTGATGTGTAAGGTACAAGTGAGCACTCACGGAGCGACGTCGGAGTGCAGGCGGCGCGACTGCGTGGCCAGCAGCGCGTCGTGCGTGAGGCGCGGGGGAGGGGCGCCGCCCGCCGCCAGCTCCTGCCCCTCGTGCAGCGTCGCCAGCCCGCCCGTCGCCATCTGCGGGTCGACACGCTCACTGTACCACTCACTCGCATGCTGCCATAATATAACCTCGCACATATCACACACGGCTGTCTGATCACACACTAAGCAGAGCGCGTGCTATGGTAACCAGACTGCTGATAAACGTACTTATATATTTCTAAATACATGCATATTATAGATAACACAGAAGAAACGATCGTGCTCATCACAAAATATTTGTCCTAGGTGGGAATCGAACCCACGACCTCCGGCTTAACAGTCAGGGTCACCAACTACAAGATCGACCAGCCCGTCTATGTTAACGCACTTCCTTTTTCGAAGCAACATAATCAACTGTATTTGAAGCCGTTGCAACAGTAACATTACAGTATACTACTCATTTACTTTGTATATATCGGAAGAGACAGCCAATTTTTTCTGGCACGTTCATTGCTAAAGTTATACCTAGGTTTTACCCGTTAATAAATCTTATCAATTCTTTTCCTCAGGATAAAAATTTACCTATGTGTTATTTCATCACAAATTTTTTACAAGATCCGATGAAACATGTTTACGTATTTCGCAATTATAATGCTAGTAGGATATGGAAAGTTTTACCTCTCGGACAAGATGCGGCGGGTCGGTGTCGGGCGAGGAGAGCGGCTGCGTGGCGGCGCTGACGTACGACACGTAGGCCTCCGAGCGCAGGAACGATTGGTACGTCGACTCCGTTATGGCGCGCGTCACCTGCATCACAAGTCAATTTCGACAATTTAATTTCCTTGTTAACTGATTTTATATTGAACATGAAGGCATATGACAAAAACAAAACTGTTAAAAAATTTTTTTTCTATGTTGGTCAAGTGTTATTTCTTATTTGACGAATTTTACTAACACCAATAAAACTAAAAACCTTTAGTGTTTTAAGTAGATAGGTAAAAACAAAGCCGCGCAGTACATTTTTACCGTCGGTTTGTAAACTGATTTCCTTTTTTCATTAGTTTATCATCTTATATATAAAATTCTCGTGTCACAATGTTAGTTACCATACTCCTCCGAAACGGCTGGTCCGATTTTTATGAAATTTTATGTGCACATCGAATAGGTCTGAGAATCGCCCAACGTCTATTTTTGATACCTCTAAATGACAAGGGGGAACCACCCACCCCTAAATTTTCTTTTCAGTATTTCCTAGAAATAATGTATACAGCAAAACAACGTTTGCCGGGTCAGCTAGCAATACAATAAATAATGTTAAATAGTTCGTGTCTTCGTTTTAAATGACAATTAATTTTAAAATTAACGAGTATTTTCAAGTGGTGATTTACTGCTATTAAAGTAAAAAAAAAATTGAGTGACAAATTGTGTATTTTTTAATTCATCATCATCATCACCTCAGCCTATGCTTGTCCACTGCTGGACATAGGCCTCTCCCAATGATTTCCAGCGGGATTTAATTGAGAGTAATCAATTAAGACATCTTAGACTTTTATGAACTAGCTTAAAAGAGTGTGTGTAAATAGTGAAATACCTCCTGCTCCATATTGTCGAATATAGTCTTCTCAATGTTAGAGCCATCCTTCAGGCTCTGCTTCACCTGCGCCTTTAACTCTTCGGGCATCGCTAGCTGAGACTTGCGCAGGAATCTGAGAAAATATTATTACGTAAAGCATTAGTCACCGAGTCTTTATTTCACGGTTACAAGTATGAGAAGACCTGCAAAGCTTTTCATTGATAAATTTCATTAAGTCGCTTTCCTGCAGGTGACCCGTCTGCTCGTTTGTCCCCTATTCCAAAAAAAAAAAACACGATCGCATGTTTTCATGTGGAGAGACCAGTAGGTACAGCATTAGTGTGTTTTACCATCAACACTTTTTACTTTCCTCTCTGTTCCTTTTAAAGTCTACTTTTGAGTATTTCATTCACTTGCAATTTGGAGTTATTCATTCCTTCTAAAGTAATAAGTACAGACCATCTTTTTTTTGATAAACATTAAGGTGAATTTTTAAACAAATTTGTTTTTTTTTCTGGCATATATCTCTAAGCCTTTTTGTAGCAGAACCGCAAAATTCTGTTCAAGGGATTTGTAGCGTTACTTTGTTAACCGACCTTTTCGATTATGTTGAGCATTTAAGATCAACATCACATCTAATTAAGAGTATTTGTTTAATATGATGATGAAAAATTATGTAATTAAAAAGTGACAAACAGACATGGTATTATTAGTTTATTTGTGCAAACTTAAAATACCAGCAGACATTACCACAACTATCTGTAGATAATTTGTCACATAAAATTACTCGAAGTCACAAGTAAGATTATAATGTAACTGTAATTATGAATGACAAGGAATATGGGTAATTATCTACTGTATATGTAACTTACTTGTAAATAGCGGAGACGACCTGTCGTATCTTGGAGGGGTCGCTCTCCTGACGCAGGCCCTGCACCGCGAAGTAAAAGTTGAGTCGGTCCACGTGCAGACCGCCCGCGCCGCCCACGTACTTGCGGAACAGACGCACTCCCTCCGCATCCTAGGCACAAATATAGAATAGAATAGAATAGTATATGCTTTATTGTACACCAATTACAGTAAGTTGGTTAAATATTACAGATGGATATGTACAATGGGCGGCCTTAATGCTAATAGCAATCTCTTACAGGCAGCCTTTGGATGGACCAATCGACAGTATATAAGAAGAAACAGTGGGTATTCTAGTCTTCTAGTAGTCTAGTCAGATCAGTCTAGTCTATATATATTGTTAACAAAATTTATTCATTTTCTTATTACTATTCACAATATTGCGACTCTAAGAGTGCTGCCAAAGACAATTAATTTTGGTCCACCTCTACCAAATAATATGTCATGTAGTATTTTTAATTATGACAATCTCAAGAAGAATATTGATGGTTACTATCAGTATTGGTCTCAGATCACAATTTAAATGTAAAACAATTATGTAAACATTTATTCCCAGAGGCCAAGCGTGACCTGTTTGCACAGATATATATGTGCTCATAGATTGCGTCTTAATTACAAATGGCCATCATTTCCTCCGTTTATATTTTGGACAAAAAAGTTAAACATTGACAATGTCATGAGCTCGATGAGCATCTATGAAAGCTTTAAAAAGAATCTGCTCTCGAATCCGTTTAAATATACATTTCGAAAACAACTTTAATTTAGGTTAGAGTAATCATCATCTTCCTACATTTGGAATCACTGCAATGAGTTTTATACTTCCATTCTGCTGGATCACTCGATATCCCCTTTCATCTTTCACGCACTCCTTCATTTTATTGCGAAATTGAGAGGTCAAAGTGATCACCGCATACCCTACTTAACTACTACCTTGATAGTAAGAGGAAAAATCCCTGAAAAGATAAATGGTGTACTTTTATAATAGCGTGTTACCTCGAGCAACTCGTGGAGGCTGCGGGCCCAGCGCATGTACGGCGGCGAGGCGGGCGAGCGCGCCGAGCTTCCCGACGAGCCTTCCGTCTGCTCGCGCCACGCCATGCCAACTCTGAATACCAAAAAATCTCAATATTATCAATTTATTACCGACTAGCCTTTACCCGTGGTTACGCCCGCATGTATGTCGGCTATCGCGGTAGAAAGTAGCTTATGTGACTCGCTGATAATGTAGTTTTCTATTGGTGAAATTTTTAAACTCGGTTTAGTGGTTTAGGCGCTAAAGCGTAACAAACAAAGTCACTTTCACATTTTAAATATTTATGTGGAAGTATAGATTATCCGTTGTTGGAGACGGAATAACCCTTCGTTAAGTAAAGGAATCCGTGTGGTGACGGATTAAGAATACGGAATGTCACCACCCCAATTCATCCCGTGGGTGTCGTAAGAGCCGACTAAGGGAGCTAACTACGCAGGACAACAGCACTGCAAAGATAAGGAAAACTTGAAACAAACCCTATACCAACCCGTCTGGCCAGCGTGGTATAGTAGGCCAAAACCTCCTTTCTAAGGAGAGGCCTATGACCAGCAGTGGACTGTTATAGGCTGTTGATGATGAAGTAAAGGACACAATTACATACGGTATATCTTGGGTTTTCTCTAACCATCTATATTAATCAGATCTTCTTCAGTCTCTAAACTTCGCAAAACGAAATTGAATAAAATGTTAAGGTTCTAGCTATTGTTGAGCTAGCTTGAGTTGTCTAATCTACAAATAAAAATATTCAGGCGGCTAGTAATCGTCGTTTTTAGCATGAAAAAAGTTCCCCGATCTACAACCCAAAAGCCCTATTACTGGCAACAAAACTGATGAAGTAATAATAAAACAACAATTTAAATGTATTTCTATCTGATAAACGATTGTAAGCGAGAGACCAAATGGTAGTTTATGTTCCACTTTAAGAACAACACATAGGGCCTTGCTCTGTAGTATTACATAAGGTATACTTTTTTTTTTCCTGTGCGGATATCCCCTCGGATACCACCCACCGGTGGGGTGGTTTTGTCGGAGTGATACCGACCAAAAACCGCCTCAGGTACCATCAGCCGGGGAACCAGGTGTACCCTAGGAAGGAAATCCCTGGTATCTCGGGACATCTACGGCGTGTAATCATACTCCATGGCTATCTTATGTATTTTTAGACATTATAATGTAACAAGATCTAAAAAGACCTTCGCTTTAGCTATTGCGTCGTGTGCAGTGGAGTGAACGAAATACTTGAGAAAGATAATTGATTGAAATATAATATATTGGCGAATACACCGATTAATAACTTACTTGGACAGATGCGGTTGTGTGAACACATGTTTGGACTGAGATTTGCTCTTCTCCTCCCCCGAAGCTGGCGGCAGCGACGACCTCTCAGCAAGCTTGTGCTCCCAACCTGCACACGTACAAAAAACTATTTTACGGGACAGCACAAATAATTACAATTTCGAGCGATTTCAACACTTTTGTGGCGGTTTTTTTATATTTGAAGAGTTATACATGAAGCTAGTTACAATATAAATAAAAGGGACATCGGATTGTCAAATACTCAGTTCAAATCCAGTTCTTACAATCTTCTACAGGCATTCGATCAAAAATTTAAACGCAATTGTTAATATACGTTATTAGTAAAAAAAAAAATAGATTTAAATGTAATAAATTATAAAAAGAAAATTATTTTCAGAAGTGTGACATTCGGATTAATTTGAATATGGAATTATTTATGCTGCTAAATCGTCGTAATATATGCCTGTGGAGCTTATCCAACATAGACATCACGACGGTCCGCAAGTACAACTATCGATATTATCGATACTAAAAAAATCACTATTATGATAAAAACAAAATAGTTTACCTTGCGGGTGGCCGCCTATAGGAGTGTGGCTCATGGCGCACAGGCCCTTCTCCCACCCGCGCGCTGCATGGCGAGACACCACCTGCATACAAGGAAACGAAATGTTTCGAAAAAGTTTATACTTAAATACACTAAAACTCACATTACCATAAACCACAATTTACTGTTGAATATAGGCATATCCTAAATAATCTTCATTCAACTGCCATCATCCAATGCTTAGGCCTTAAAAGTATATGAAAATACACATATTTTGCTAATTTAATGAAGGGTCTAAATTCTTATTAATATAAAATAAAATTTCAATGATATTTGTTTGTATGTTGTAGAAAATTCTTTTAAATAACTTCTGGATTGTGCAAAATACAGGTATGCTTAAACAAGTAATAAGAAGTTTAATTAAATAAACCATTTTTTTCTATTTTATATCACCCAAAAAGTTATACATCACCATACAGGTTTATACCAAGCGTCTTGGTGTTCACATATCAAAACATTAGTTACGCAATAAGAACCGAGCATCAAGCCCCATAAAAAATCAATATGCCAAACAATAAGGATCATGCTGCTGTATTTGATTTGTATGAGTTAAAAAGAGATGGCAAACAAAATGAGACAGCGGACTGAAGTCAAGAGTCTCCGGCATCGATCGGTGTTGGAAGCGAACATCACTGCTATGAATGATATATCATTGTGAATGTTATACTATTAGCTATTAATCTACTTAAAATCAGAAATACAATATCATATTTCATAACAACCCATATAAAAAAGTACAGCAGAAAACTAAAAATAAAAAAGTCTATTCAAAAACTTTTTAATATTGCTTGAAAAAGGAATAGATCTTAATAAGAACATGTCAAAACAAATTAAATCATAACTTCATGGTTCAATAAGCAAGTTATGAAAAAAAAAATTATAATAGAGTACAAAAAAAAAACATAAAAGACCTTACCATGTTCATTGTGATTAAACAAACAATACACTTCTGTGCTACACAAATTTATAGAATTATTGGTTGAATATTATGATTTGATTCTAATATTATAAGTCACAAAAGAAATATTTTTTTAGAAAAGCACGACTGCGCTACACAGCAGCAATGGTCCGAGTGAAAGCTCCGTAGTCGGATGGTGATGTTCCACACAATAGGGTACGGACTAATCTCTGTACCCTCGTATACTGTAGAGTGGTTTGTATTCATGATAGGGTTTAATAAGAATATGAAATCAATAACAGCTTACAAAAAAGGTTTGTTAATGCTTAAGACATATTTTAATTAAAATAATGTGCTGTACATTTTGAACCAAGTAGTGATTTTTAAAGCTATATCATGAATGACAATTTGTATATTACATAAGTAATTTTGAAATTGGTATATCTGAACTTTTCAAAACTTTTTTAGCATAAAAAAATAAGATATAAAAATTATTTTGAATTATCAGGATACAAATAGTTCTTGAAACTTCGTATTGTACCAAATTCAACAATTTTTCATTGAGCATGATGAGCATAAACACAGGAAACAAGTTGTAAACAAAGACACAGCTCGTAAAACTTACATCGCGCCAACAATCACAACGTGTAAAATTATAAATTAACTATTGAAACAACACGAGACCTTCAGTTTTATTTAATAGCGGTTCATCACAGACACTATCGACGGCAATAAATGCTATTTATGCCAAAATACCATGCTGAAACCCGGAAGGGCCGTATTTATAGAACTATATCAGTGAAAACTTACATAAAAATATATATTTCTATTTCTTACAATATTTTCAAAGAGTGCTTCATAAGGTAAAGGAATACATTAACTAAAAACTTTCTTTGAAATAAATAATAAATTAGCTTGGCTCGGATTTGTGTACAACAGTGAATTTGACATTTGTTTGACAACCTGCCATGACAGACAGACAGCTGTCGAAGCACGCCACCTATCGACGACGCTACGAAATACATTAAAGCGCGCGAAGGCGTTAACTGTAATTCTGAAGTTAACCGTTTATTACTAAAACTACTAGATGGCGGGATTAGTCTCAAACAAAATTGATGCGAGAAATTTAAACAATTTCTCATAAGGTAGAAAACTTATAACACTAAAGAAAAATATATGAAATACCTGTGTAGCAGCTCAATGCCGCTGCATGTTGGTGTTTGTTTCTGCTCTCTTAGTTGCGTAATCTGAAACATAAAAAAACAAAATCGTGAAACATGAAAAATGAAATTAACAGGGTAAACAATGTGATTCAATTGTGTATTACTTATAACTTTCGCATTGATCTTAAAATATATATAAAAATATTAAGTTGGTTTGTGTAGGCTTCCAAAACGCAAAAAGTTCTGTGCTGAGCATTTTTCTGCATTGATCTCAAATCTTGTCACGATATGTAACCCGTTTTAGATTTTATCTTTTTTTTTTAACCACAATGTGTCACAGCAAAGCGTGGCGGGGTACATTTGGTTTAGTACAATTTTGCTTTCATAGTACGACGATAGCATGTTATACCTACATGTTTCATTACATATACATAGCATTTAGGTACCTAGATAGGGTGTCATATCGTTAAGATACTCACCTTTTGGAAGCAAATTAATTTGGGGATTCCAACTCGATTTACAGATGAAATGAATAGATGGATATCAAAGACGTTTCTCTGAGTGTAGCGCAGATATTTGATTTCGACAAGATCAGACGGCAAAATTGATTTGTCAAAATCTTGTACGGTATTGTGATTTGGCTGTTGCTGGGATGCTGAAGTTTATTGATGTCACACAGGTAATTAGGTATGTGTGTTTTATTAAAATGTATTTTAATAAAACAGTCCGAGCGAGAATTGCAGTCGGATTGTGTTGTGATGCCAAAGTTTTATAAAATAAACAAAAAATGTTATATTGTTTTTTTCTGATAAGCTAAAAAACCAATTGACTGGCCAAAATAGACCGGCAGAATAAATGCGTCATTTATGTCTATTACTTCTTCACTTTTGCAATGAAGTTCCAACATTAGGCATATTATATTATACTGGATAGTCTGTGCCTGTGCCCAAATATATTAATATCTATATATTTATAGGCAAACTAAATCCTTTGTACACATATTAATTTTAATAAAAATCTTTATGGAGGAACGTGAAATTTATAATACTTAAGATGATAAGATGGAAGAAGTGCAAAAGCAAAATTAAAAAAAATTATTACTGTTATTTATAAAAAACATAAAAGAAACACGCTTCAAATAAAAGTTCGGTTTTACCAGTATATATTATGTTTGATACTTTTTAAATACCGCAATTTTATTTTATAGATATTCCTTTCTTCCTCTTCTTGTTCCTTTATTAAAAAAATATAATGCAGAGAATTATGACCTAAGTCTTAATGTAAAAGCCTACGTTTCCGTAGGCTGTATGTACGTACCAGTATTATTATTTGTAGTACACGAGAGTGACTTTACCTCAGAGTACATTATCTCATTTCTATATTATATTAATACGTGAAGCGAAAACTTAGTATCCCCCCTTTTTAAGAAAATTTGCTCGAAGGGATGAATGTGAAATTTGACACAGTTAAAGTTTTATGGAGAAGAAGTGTACAAAGCTATTTTTTATATAAAATGCATTAGAAATACATTAAATTAACATAACACACCCTATTGCTTTATTGACATACAACATACACACACAAACATACGATACTAACTCTTTTGTTCATAGTTAAAATCTATGGTCAAACTGTAGCTTAATCTTATAATAAATATAATATATGATGAAACCTTTGATTATAGAGTCTTTGACAAAAAAACCCTACAAAAGTTCAAACTTAAAAATTAAAAGAATTATGGTCGAATTTCGACCATTGGGCGACCACTAGTATCTATAAATAGAGCATCCTAAAACATAATTAGATAACATGAGCACAACAAGCCGGGAAATTATACAAAAAATATTTTTTACATTCAAAATTATTTTCAAACTTGTTTACAAACAAAACTCCCCATTATGTTGATTTCTTTGAGATTGAGGTTAAACATTAATAGTTAAACTAAGGTTAAACACCATGGCAATTAGCTTTGAAACGATTCTGTCAGACATGTATCGATTACATAGAGTCCACATCCCTGTAACGTCATGAGCCGGAGCGATTAATCGAGTATCGATATCGATAGAGGTACACCCCCAACCCAAAAGCATCATTAGCCGAGCACGCACTAAGCGACTCTTTGATGTGCGCAAACTTTTCGTTTCCCTTTGATTGGCATAATGGAACTGTGCGTTGTTATTACACTAATTGAATTTTCGCAAAGTCCGAGCAATAGGTATTACTGAAATGGATTTTGTAACATTCTGTTTGTACCTGACGGTGAATCTACGGGCCTTTAATTCGTTTGAAGCTCGATAATGTATGCTAACTTTGGTCATTGTGTTTCAATTTCGCCTTTGTACTTTCATATTAGAATACAATTATTGTTTACCGACAGTTTAATAGAGAGTACTTTTCCTTATTGCCTTAACGTGTTTTCTTGTTTTTGCAATATTTTAAGTTCGTTTTATATATAGTCAATACATTAACGATAAGTTGTACTAATTCAGCTTTTAGTCTAGTAATAAGGTTGAGTCATTGATTTTAAAAACCTACGATCGCTGCTTATTGTTATTACTTTGTTTATTAAGTGGACTGATCTTGAGTATTAATAAAGTTCTTTAAACTAGATTACTGGACGATGTTTTTATTGAAAAAAAAATCAAGTAGCATTCCTAAAAAATATCTTTCTTTCACAACTATAGGTTTAAATAAGTTGACATTCTAATTTCAACTTATTTACGATCCATTTTATAAAAATATTACTTTGAATGAAAACGTTGCGGAGACCCATTTATATTTTTATAACAGTTTGATAACAATTTTAATAAAACATAATAATATCATACTTGCGTCTCATCGTTACGATGACATATAGCTAAACTATTTCGTATGAATTCGACAATACTGTTATTTATCATCCTGAAAATTTATTTATTGAATACACCAATATTACTTAATTGTACTTTATAAAATAGAAAACACCGTCTTATTTCTCTTAGAAGCAAATTATACAACTGTCTGTATCTAAAAGTAAAGACAAAATTCTCTATGAAGTGAAGTTAAAAGGGAAAATACGACTGTATGATTGGTTTTACAAGTCAGCAAGATCAAAGGCTCGGTAGTCCTTTCATTTCGGCCCGCCATTCGCGGATTACATTAAAAAAGAGAGAGAGAAAGAAAATGTAAAAGTTAATTATAGGTATTTAAGTGAAACAGTCGCAGATAAATGAATCACTGATTACAGACTAAAGCCTAAATAAAATCCTTTGAAGAGGTTATGCTTTGATAGGTCGTTGGCGCGCAGTTTATGAATTATTAGTACTCAGATATAATATAAAATTACTAACATAGGTACACGAGTTAATAACTTTCTTTCTGTTATGAGTCCTTATCTTTAAGTTCGTTCATTTTTTAGAATTATATAATGTACCCACTTTCAATTCGCAATTTTAAATTTTGATTTGGCTCTCGATTGCCAGACTCTTGTCTTTTTTCTTAAACTAGTCCGGCACTAGCTATCAACCATTATTATTATGTATGGATCAAATCCGCAACATTCGACACCATAAGTTCAAGTGACTATTTAAACCACTGTATAGTTTGAACATTCTTATAAGAAATAAGCTACGTTTTCACTTCAAGAACCAGAGGACATTCAATCTCGGCTTCATTTAAAATTTTACCTGCAATATCACAGAAACTCAAGGCGATTGACAGAAGCGTTCAAACGTTCAAAATGGATCGTAACAAATTCTCCTTGCCCTTTCAATTACACCCAACAAAACACTTAAAAGGTTTGCGAATAAACGTATCGAACACAAACGTCCCAATACACCGTCAATAATTGTAACCGCCGGTAACAAGAGATCAAAATGATAAGGG